CCCTAATTAATATATAAAAAGATAATACCTAAATTAAACTTTATTAAATATTATTATATACAAACTCTGCGAGAAAAAAATAATTAACTTAATTATTTTAATTAAAATTAATATATGCCTATAAATATTATTTTAATATATTATTTAATTATTTTGTTTAGCTATTTATTTAAAAATTGTCACGGTGCAGACCTGAGGGCGCTGCCAAGCCCGCCAGAACCAGACAGAACCGCCAAACCGGAAGAACCTGTCCCTAATCCTGATCCCCTGACTGCTTAAAAGCCTGAATACCAGAGATTCTGTTATAGCTCTTTAAGCTATATCTTATTTATTATTTTGTATATAGCCTAACTATAGTAGCTATCAAAGATCTTATAAATCTAGCCCACCTAATCTAGCTAGACCGCCTGCCCTATCTATCCTTATTATACTAATTTTATTAACTTGCTAGCCCGTACTTTAATATTATATAACTCTTATTTATAGAGCTAGTACTTATTTAATATACCTAAAATTTTAAAGCCCCTATCTCTTTTTAAGAATCTTAAACTATTTATCCAGTATATTACTAAATATACTAAGAAATAGTATGTTTATTATAATTAGATTTATATATTTATAGTAAATATTAATATTAATTAAGAATATTTCTGTTAAAAAGTTTCCTGCCTCTAGTAAAATATAAATACTGTTATATAAATTACTACCCTTTAAGTAAATTATAAAAAAAGTTTAAATCTTAAACTTGTTTAAGCTCTAGCTGATAAAAGTATAGTAATTTAAAAATAAAATTATATAATCTAGACTATTATGCCTGTAGTTAATATCCTAGACTAAACCTCTAAACCTACTATTAAAGGACCCCCAGCTACTTTAGTAAGAGTACTTATATTAATTAATCCCGGATTTTCTGCCTCCGCCTACTTTTCCGAACAACTACCCGACCTTAATAAGTTTAAAAGTACTAGATTAGATTTTTATTATTTTACTTTCTAAATTAAAAAAAAATAACTATAAACTGTGACTGCTTCCTAATTCTCTAGGCCTATATAGTCTATGTTTTTAACTGCCTAAAGGGACTTTTTTATACCTAAATTCTTTTATATATTAAAGATAGAATTTATTAGCTAAAAAATTATACTAAGATCCTAAAAATACTTAATTATACTTATAAAGATTTAAATCATATTTATAATATCTAGAATATCTTATATAACCTAAAATAAAAAAATTAAGAGTTTTTTGTTTTTTTTACTAAATTCTAATAATTAATTATAAAGGAAGAAATAGCTAAAAATAGCTTTTTTATTTTTTTTAAAAAAATTATTAACCAAGAAATAAAAACTATATTAATATATTAGAACCTGCCTATTAGAAATTATATTAACTTTATTATTTTTTTATAAAAGTTAAAAAACTACTGTATTTAGTACTCTTGCGGTTAATTTTAAAAGCCTGCTTTAATTTTAACCGGAACTAGTACTCGCCTGTAGATTATAGTTAAGAATACCCGAAGCTATTATTCCTAGAGTCTGGTTAATAAACCCCTTTAGCCCACTACTATTATCCCGAATTTTAATATTATAGATCTCTTTTTAACTTGCTACCTATCCTTTTATTCTAAAGATAATACTTATAAAGATTATAGTAAATATTTTTACTGCAGATTAAATCAGTATATAATTAAAGATTATTCTAAATTAAATAGTTACTTATATTAGACTAATTATATTATATGCCCTGTTTTCCCCCTAAAGTCCTATTTACTTTTTTAAAAATAGTCCTCCTTTATACTTTAGTCTTACTTTATCCCGCAAGGCCTACCTATATTACCGCTGCTTTAGGCTCCCTAGTCCTAAATAATTCCCTAAATAAAATACCTATATTCCCTAGATCTAAGTAAATAATTAAAAAAGATTAGCCTAACCTAAGCTGCGACCAGGCAGACCCCTTTATATATATTTATTAAATTTTTAAAGCTGCTACTAGAGAACTTTTTATTAAAGAAAAATTTTAAAAAATTAATTTATTAATTATTTTTATTATACTAAACCCTGGTAAGAGTAAGATTACTACTTATATTATATTTGATATTAACTGCTTTATATCCTATATTATAAATAAGAGTTAGACTAAAGCCCAAAATTTAATCCTATACCTTTTAAAAAAATCTAAATTAATTATAAGATTTAATAGCTATAAGAGCAAGACTAATACTATTACCTATTATATCTATATAACTTTAAAGATTTATAACCATATTAAAAAAGATATTTTATTTTTAATTATTTAGCTTATATACTTTCCTATTATAATTAGACTCCTCTAGCTTAAGACCTATAATCCTAAAATAAATTTTACCAAATATACCCTCTAATTTAATAATTAATACTACCAGAAATACTATAATATCCTATTTTATCTTTAAAAGATCCAGGCCTTACACAATATCCCTGCCTAAACCTGCTTAATTAACTTAAAGGCCCTAAAGGCCCTCTAAATCTATAATATTTTTATAATATTTATAAGAGCTTACGCCGCGTATATAAGATAGGAAAAAAGAATCTTTATTATTACTATAAAATAAATTAATTAAGTAATTTATAAAAGATCTCCTGAGAAACCTCTAGCATAAAAAACACCTAATCTTAATTAAAGCCTTAATATTTTTATAGAGTTTTAGGACTTTAATAATATATTTTTACTAAAAAAAGTAAATAAGTTACCCCCGCACAAAGATTATAACTATGTAATTACCCTAGAACCTAGCAAAAGACTATTATTCAGCCTCTTATATAGTATGTTTTAAGAGGAGCTAAAGGCCCTCTAAAAATAATTATTTAAAAACTTATAAAAGGGTTTTATCTGCTTAAGCTTATCCCTTATAATATTTCTTATCCTATTTATTAATAAGCCTAATAAAGGCTTATATTTTTATATTAATTATTGAGCCCTGAACATAATTATAATTAAAAATTATTATTTATTACCTCTAGTAAAAGAGACCCTAAATAACCTAAAAGAGATATACTATTTTACAAAAATTAATATTATAAGTGCTTTTAATAATTTATATATTTAAAAAAAATAAAAATAAATAATCATATTTTATACCCGCCTGGGCCTATTTAAATTTCTAATAATATTATTTAGCTTAACTAGGGCCCCTGGGATATTCTAGTATTATATTAATAATATTTTATATAATTATTTAGATATTTTCTATATTACTTACCTAAATAATATCCTAATTTATAGCTAAACTTACTCTAAACATATTTATTATATCTACTAGATCCTATAAAAGCTACAAGGAGCCCACTTATTCGCGAAATTTTTAAAATATAAGTTTATTATTCCTAAAACCAAGTTTTTAGACCTAATTATTAATTATAAAGAGATTTAAATAAACCTTTCTAAAATTAAAATAATTATTAATTGGCCTATTCTAACTTATATTATAAATATCTAAGCATTCCTAGGATTTAGTAACTTTTATTATTATTTTATCTGAGATTTTTTAAAGTTAACTATCCTATTTATTAGTCTAACCCGCAAAAAAATATTCTAAAAGTAGACCTTATCTTACTAAAAGGCCTTTAATTACTTTAAAAAAGTTTTTATAAACACCCCAGTCCTACAGCCCTTTAACTAAACACATATTATAATCTTAAAAACTAATACTTTTAACTATATTTTTACAGTCTTATTCTAGTATAATAATAATAAAATTTTATACTTTATTACCTTTTTTTTAAAAAAACACTCGTCTATAGAGTGTAATTATAAGATTTATAATAAAAAATTACTTATTATTATTTAATATTTCAAGAAATAGCATCCTGAACTTAAGGGAGCCCTATCTTTAATATAAATTATTTTTAATTATTATAATCTAAAATATTTTATATTAACTAAACTCCTAAACTAATAATAAGCCCGCTAGTTTAAATTTTTATCTTAATTTAAGTTTAAAATTATATATTACCCTAGAAAATATAAAACTAAATTAAATAACTTAATTAGGAGGTTAGAAGATTTCCCTAAAAAAAAGATAAGCACTTATAATATTAAAGCTAAATAATACTAAAGCACAAGAATTTTAATATTAGTAAGCCCGAATTTAACCTAGCAAAAACCTCTAAAACCTTAACCCTACTTATCTTTATAACCCGAACCTGCTAAAGCATTACTTTTAAAAATAAATAAGACCTATAATTATTACCCGAAGTCCGGATAAACTTAAAAAAAACATATAAGAAAGATAATCTAATCCGTGAAATCTAAAAGACCCTTATTATAAAAAAAACTATTACCTAAAGATTATTTTAGCTATTTATAAAAAATAAAATAATCTTTTATTTTATAAAAATTACTTATAGATCTCTGAGGACAACAAACTCCGAGCCGAGTTAATCTACCTAGTATATAATAAACCCGCATTTAGGCATTTTAGGAGAAACTATATATATAAACTTCTTGCCTGTAAATATTTTTAGCCTAACATATACTAATATATAATCTAATAAATCCAAAATTATTATATTTATTACTAAAGTACTCTATCTTATAAAGCTAAATAAGATATCCTAAAACCCTTATCTATACCTAAACATATTTAATAAGATATCTTTATAAATTTTATTATATATCTGCCTAAAAGCTAAAGTTATAATACTATTCTAATTATTATAAATTATTTAATTAAAATAAAGTATTTAATCTCCTGCAACTTAATAACTAATATACCTGTTATAATTATAATATATATATAGCATGTGTGAAAGCTGCATGGCCTATTTTAAATTATTATATTAGACTAAGAACCCTAGTTTATCACTAAATTCTAAAAGTACCTAACCTAATACCTAAATATTATAAGCAAACTATTAACTATGTATTATCCTGAGACTAATAATCAGACTAAATAAATAAATACTATATTAAAGTAATATCTTTAAGCCTATATAAGCTATTTATAAAATAATTAAAGTATCTAGCTTCCTCTAGCTAAGTTCTCCCTAAATACCACATATTCTGACTCGATTAAAACTAGCCTATTTTTTACTAATTACGGCTTCCACCTATATATGGGGTTTGAACCTGTCCTAATAAAAGACCACTGTACTTATAACTGCCTTATTATATAAGATATAGAATAATTTATTACAAAAATATAAGTGATTACTAAGTTTACTTAAGCCGAGATATTATCTGCTTAAGCCTATTATACTAAGTAGATAGACTATTAGCACTATCCCGCCTGCTTATTTAAAAAAAACTAATTAATTTAATTAGATATCTAATATATTAAAACCCTGCGACTTAATAAAAAACTAGATTAAAATATTTTAGGTCTATATTATATTAAAAAAATTATTAGCCTATATATTTACTACCTGAAACTCCTGCCTAGTATAAAAATTCACCTTATATTTAATATAAGTCTATTTATTTTTACTAACTTAAATATTTTATCTGGCTAATAAAATCTTCCTTTATCCTATATTAAAGTTAATAAATTTAAGGAATAAAAAGTTAAAAATATTTTTAACTTATTCTGGGATCACCGCGGCCGTGGCCGCCCTCGCCTAACATATATTATAAAGTAAATTAAGTATATAAACCTTACTGCTAAGCCTGCCAGTTACCTAAAATATACTGAATAAATTATTTAAAACTATTATTACTAATACTTTAATAAACCTAGCCCTCTTCAGCCTTAATAGAGCTCGGCTATAAAAAAAGAATATATTATTATAATATAAACTTAAAAATACTACTAAGCCCGCCAGAACCAAACAAAACTACTAAATTAAAAAAATTTGTCCTTAATCCTAATCCTCTGACTACTTAAAAACCTAAATACTAAAAATCCTATTATAGCTTTCTAAGCTATATCTTATCTATTATTTTATATATAGCCTAACTATAATAGCCATCAAAGACCTTGTGAACCTAGCCCGCCTAATCCAGCCAGACCGCCTGCCCTACCTGCCCCTGCTGCGCCAACTCTACCAACCTGCCAGCCCGCACCTTGACAAAAATAATATATAATACTTAACCCCTTTTTAATTTACAGATAGTATATAAATTCTAATTAAAAGTTTTTCGCGAATATTAACTTATAATTAATAATTATTTTTATAAATATATTATAAAGTCTAAAAATTTTATAAGTTAATTATTAATTAAAGTTATCTAATATTACTTAATTTATCAGAATTATCTGATTTAGTCCTATAACTGAAATTTACTATAATTTTATTCTTACTTTATTAAACTCTTACTTCTACCACTAAATTATATAGGAGAAATAAGGTAAAACTAAGCTTAATATAAGCGGAAAATAAAAAAAGAAAAATTTCTAAAGAATTTCTTATTTTAAACTAGCTTATCTTCTTAATTAAAAAATTATTAGTTACTAAAATCCTATAGAAGTTAGAAAATATAATTTAATAAATTTCTTATTTAAGAAATTAAAAGTTTATTTTAATTATTATAATTAATAATTTTATTTAAATAATTAATATAAAGGGTCTAGAATATCTTGCTTATTTATTGTCAGATGGGGTAGGTAGGTCACGTGGGTTGAATAGAAATTTCAAATGGCTAGATAGAATAAAGGAAATCGATCAGTCATATGAAGTAAACAGTTCACCTGGACCACCTAGATCTGAAATAGATAGACCAGAGGTCCTACCATTCGCTATGCATGTAGATTGGTGAAATTGATTAAATGAATGAATGGAATTCAATTAAATGAATTGAGTAGGTAAATCAACTTGATGAAAAGAATGAATTAATGCAGGTCATTGACTGCATATTTATAGATAATTGAATCAGGGCTAATTCAATCTGGCCCTAAACAAATATTGCAAACATAAAATCATCAGATCCTTTTAGGCCTTTACCTGTGAGTTATATTATTAATCTAGGCCTTCAAGATCAGCCTCATAGATCATTGTTAGATTAATATTTAATTATTTAAATAATCAAATAATCAAGATTTCATGATCAGAATAATCAGAACAATCAAGATTTAACACATAAATCATAATAAAATTATTTAAATGATATCAGAATAACCAGGGTAGCAATATTCACTTTATGGCTTATAAAATAAATAGGCGAGACATTCTGGACCCTTTGTATTGATCATCTGAACAAAGCCATTAATCACAGTAGTTAAAATAAACTTTTAATTTCCTAAATGGGAAATTTATCAAATTATATTTTCTGACTTCCATAGGATTCTAGCAACCGGTAATTTTCTAATTAGGAAGGTAAGCTAGTCCAAAATAGGAAATTCTTCAGAAATTTTTCTTTTTCATTTTCCGCTCACATTGAGCTCAGTTTCACCTCACTTTTCCTATATAATTTGGTGGTGGAAGTGAGAGTTCAATAAAGTGAAAGTAAAGTTGTAGTGAATTTTGAATAATTTTGGTTGTGGGGCTAAATCAGGTGATTCTGATGAATCAGGTGATGTCAGGTGACCCCATTTGACATTTATTTTATAAGCTATAAAATAAATATTGCTATCCTGGTTATTCTAATATTATTTAAATGATTTTATTATAATTTATGTGTTAAATCTTAATTATTCTGATTATTTTAATTATGAAATCTTAATTATTTAATTATTTAAATAATTAAATATTAATCTAATAATAATCTATGAGGTTAATCTTAAAGGCCTAAATTAATAATATAATTTATAGGTAAAGGCCTAAAAGGATCTAATAATTTTATATTTATAATATTTATTTAAAGCTAGATTAAATTAGCCCTGATTTAATTATCTATAAATATATAGTTAATAACTTACATTAATTTATTCTTTTTATTAAGTTGATTTACCTACTTAATTTATTTAATTAAATTTTATTTATTTATTTAATTAATTTCACCTATCTACATGCATAGCGAATGGTAGGACGTCTAGTCTATCTATTTCAGATCTAGATGGTCCAGGTAAACTGTTTACTTCATCTAACTGATCAATTTTCCTTATTCTATCTAGCCAGTTGAAATTTCTATTCAACCCACGTGACCTACCTACTCCATCTGACAATATATTATTCTTTAACATATTTAATAATATATTAAATAAATAATTTAAAGTCTTTAAAAAAAGATAAAAGCTTTAGAATTTTAAATATATTAGATAAGTACTAACTTTATAAATAGAAGCTATATAATATTAAGGTGCAGGCTGGTAGATTAATAAAGTTAATATAATAAAGATAAACAAAACAGGCAGTCTAGCTAGATTAAATAAATTAAGTTTATAAGGTCTTCAATAATTACTACAGTCAGACTATATATAGAATAATAAATAAGATATAGCTTAAAGAGCTATAATAAGATCTTTAATATTTAGGCTTTTAAGCGATCAGGGGATCAAGATCAGGGGCAGGTTCTTCTGGCTTGGTGGTTCTGTCTGGTTCTGGCGGGCTTGGCGGTACCCTCAGGTTTGCACCATGACATATAATTATTTTATTATATAATTATAGTTTAAATTATATTTCTTGAGGTTATATAAAAAATTTTTATTAAATTTTTATTTATATATAATAAAGCTTATTATTCCCGCCTTAGCAGACCTAATCCAGTATAAGGAGAGTTTATATGGTATAAAAAGAGTTTATATAGTATAAGAATTTTAATTTTTTATATTAGCTGAGCTTATTAGCTGATAAGATCTGATCTAGTATATAAATTTTAAGAGACTTTTCTTATACCAGGTGAGAAAATCCTTATACTAGCTTAACTGCGACCCTCTAAGAATAGAATATTCCATCAAAGCCATGCCTGACTAAAGAGCCGATTTAATCTGACCCAGGGAACTAGACTAGGTGCCTGAAAGCCTAAGGCAGGACCCACCATAGCATGACCCTGACTACAACTACAACTACAACTACAACTACAGCTCCAAAACCCAAACAAAGGTCAAACATAACCATCAATTCATTGCTCAATAGCTCAACGTCAAGAAGAAAACGCCTCAATCAAACTGTTCAAAAAGTTCAAGGTCCCTAGAAAGACAGTCAGCCCCACCCTTACTCCCCCCCAAAAAAGGGACAACTAACCAAGAACTTAAAGTGACCGTCATCGTTGGCGATCTTATCAGCCAGCATCAGACCCTGGCGACCCTTTGATCCACCGTTATGCGTGCGCAGATCGGCACACAGCTTGGGGCCCCACTCGGTGTGCTCCAGGGTGACGTTGGACGCGCTGCGCGTGAAGTTGCTACCGCCCCAGATGAACCATCCTATAGACAGAGTATTAGACCTGGTTGAAGTGGAGGAGCAAGGGAAGACAGGGAGGACATACCGTCGGTGTTTCCAATGTGGTCGTCGAGACGGATCTTGCGGTGGTTGTAGTGGCCGTGCTTGTCACGCAGGTCGGCCGAGAGGACGGTGAAGCCGTCTTCGTGGCCCAGCTTGAGGCCCTGGGAGGTGGTGTGGAAGGACATTATGATTTAGAGAGATGAGATGGATGAAGACAGATGGATAGAGAGCTGGTCGAAGAGGAGGAGCAGGGATGAGGGGCATATTTATGTTGACCCTCTCCCAGCACACCGGCTGCTGCGCATTGCTGCCCTACAGACTAACGCTGCATGGTGACACATTAAGTGGAGAGTGGCGGTAATAATTGGAGGGCGACGCCACGGCGGTGGGTCGCGATGGGCCAAGTGGAGGCACTAGTGCCAGCCTGTGGCGGTGTGTATTTACTATTTGCCAAATGGGACTAGCCGGTCTTTATTTTGGGGATTCCGATGGAGAAGAGGGTCGGTGGTGGATGGAGAGACGGGATGTTGCGTGATGTCAGTGGTGGGTTGGGCGAGGCTGCAAGATGATGCCGGATCGACGCGTGGTGGTGGGGAGCGAGATTGAATAGCTTCGTCATGGTGGTACAGAGTTTTTTTAGCTATGCCCGGTTGACGTTGCATGAGGGTGTTTTTGTGGCGATATCTACGGCGTAGAGGATTTCAGATAGCTGCACTGGATCGGACTCTTGAGAGACGGCATACTCAGAAGCTGGATCGTCAAGTCCCGACGACGATGCAAAATCTGTTTCATCTACAATGTATGCCCCGCTCTGTTTGCAGATCAGCTCTCGAGTCATTCCCCCACCGTGAAACTGGACCACAACATTGGAAGGCAACAGAGAGAAAGCTACGGTCTGGCCACAGCTTGAATCGATCTTGGAGATCCTTCTGCAGCTTGCGTCAAGCGCATCCCGATGTCTCTCTAAATTTCAACCAAAGGGACTTTTCCTTCATCTGTTTCGTACAGAATATGATAAAAGTCGCCGATTTCGCTGGAAAGCTCGCAGAGAAAATATCAAACTGAAGTTGCAGTCAAAGTACCTTTATAGACGATCTTTCCCTTCAAGATATAATTGGCTCTGAGACGCTAGAGAGAATCATAAAGTCATCTATCAAATATCGGTGTAGTCAGATTGCTGAGCATCATTCAACGTAGAGAAGACCAGTGTGAATTCGAATTAAATGACGTAAACTCACTATGAAACCGCCAAGCCTATGCTCGAATATTTCAGTATGGATATTGTCCGACTGGCAGTAAGGAGAAAGGTAGCAAATCACGATCTCCAATCTTCAAAGCACACACGATGAGGGCAGTCGACATCCTGAGTCTAACTCCCGTATATTGTAGCGTGGACCTTTCAAAGCGTTCCGTGGAGCGTTAGATTCGCATCACGATATCACTGTAGTAACATCAAAATTCAGATTTATTCCAGCCCTGTTTGACCGAAAATAATTCACAAGCCCCTTGAGCAGACAATGGGAATCTTAATATTAATTGATGTGGGGATGTCGAGTATCTTTAGTTTGCCATCGGGGCTTGAGTGGGGGTCTGGAGTTTTGGTAACCCGAGATCTAATGATTTCGATAGTGGAAGTGCTTTATGCTACGAATTCTAGGTATTATAAGGTTTAGAATTTGATTCTAGCTTGATAATGAGTTCCGCTGTAGGGTCATCTAAGTATTTGAGAACCATGCCATTGAATGCCAGTCTAAGACATGCATTTTAATCTTTAATGTCCCCATCGATTGAATCAGCGCTCAATAAAGTCCGTCTAGTAAGAATATGAGACAGGTCGAACTATTATCTACCAAAGAGTGGACCTGGACTGATCGTGATCCGGATGACGCTGACTGTGTGCCTATCACAAATAGACTGGATCGCACTAGGCCAAATTGAAACAGCTTATTAGCTTATTGTCTGTCACTTGGTACTAGTTGCTACGAGGCAATGCCCTGCACAAAAGGAATGACACTGGTCTCATGACAAGTTGACATGGTAAAAAACCTGGAATAGGGAAAGCTAGCAGCATAAGCAGTAAATGATAGTCTCTCAATATCCTAGAAGCTAGGATTATGGTTGAAAGCTTGTTGAGGGAGGCTTGACGGCTGAAATTCTCACAAGGGTCTGGAATGTTGCGAGGAAACCAATAGCGTGTAAGCACCAGACTTAAGCAGTGATTGACCAACATCAACCAACATATTATGAAATAGGCCACCCCGTGCCAATATAACAAGACATTAAAGCCCAGAGCTCTCAACTCAATCAAACAAAACAAACCAAGCTCAGCCGTGACGTATTCAGGAATGCAAGGGACGCATACAGCAATGAGCTTGACCATCCCTACATTCCTGTTGTAAACAAATATAAAACGCCAATCCCCGGGGACATGAGCACCAAATATTCCAACTTTGCACCTTAACCACACTTGAACCTTGACATAAGTCTTGATCTTGGTTGGTATTGCACCGCTTCCCGAGTGGTTATTTCATGAAACGCTAACAATACAAGAAAATGCATCTCTCCTCCGTCTTCTCCATCCTCGGCCTGACTGCCGTTGCTTTCGCGCAGTCCGGTGCTGATCAATCAGATGCTGGTGCAGCGGATCCTAACCCTTGTATGTCCCCCCATAACCCTTTGATTAAATGCCAGATGCTAATATCAATAGATGACGCGCCCTGCGGAAGCTACAAGACGTGTCTCGCGACCTGCCCGAACGAGGACTTTTTCCCCTTAGCGGATGAGTGTGATACCGATGATGATGGAAAGCCTTATTGCTATGTGAACTTCTGGTGCGCTTAGGGGTTACTGCACTCTAAAATGTTGAGTGTTGTTGCTTGAGGGGGTCAGTGTATGGTAGTGTCAAGGAGAGGGGTGTTTCGGTCATTACTATGCCGAGGAGTTATTCAACGTCTAATTCAATTAAGAACTGCAGAAAAGAATTCCCGGAATAGAACTTCGTTTTATCCAAATAGCCCCGCGATCAAATGGAAGTTTATGCATCGTGCCGGCTACGAAGCATCCGCTCCACAGGGCCACGTTTGCTCGGCACATAATCCCCCGGATGAGAAATCATAGGGCAGGCAGTGCATGTGCAAGGCCGACAGGTTCATTCGAATCCTGATTCCCGTGTCTGAACCGAGGGATGTGCAGTCGTATAGAGCGATGATCCTCGACCGATGGAGTAAAGAACACGGGCGCTTTCCCAATCCGGGAACCGATACGGATACGCTTTTTCAGGGTTCGCCGCCAATGCTTGTCTGTGGCCCGGGGATTCCGGGGTGGGCCTGAAGAAGGTTGATCGTTATAACGGCGACGGCGTTGTGTCCGTGGACATCTGGTCGTGTGAGGCTGGGTTCAGGTATAAAAGGAGGGAGAATTCAGGACTTCTCTTGCCAATCAGTTCCTCAATCTGTTCCATTCACTCGTTATGCGTCTTGCCACAGGAACGGTTTTAGGGCTACTTGCCTCTGCACAAGCCCTTGCCTCGACACATCTACATAGACGCTCTGCCCCTCCCTCTCCGGAGCCAATCGTGGTGACGGAGCTCCCCCTGCCCCCTGTCACGCCAAACGACAAGAATGGTTCCTGCACCCCGCAGATCAACCCCCGTCGGACGGGATGTATGTTGCAGTCGTCGCAGGTCCAGAGCGGCAATTTCCTGCCTGACAATAAGCATGTCATTGTCAGTGTGAACTTTGCCGGGGCCCGGGACAGTATCTACAACGGTACGCAGCTGGTTATCGTCAAGACAGACAACACGACCTTCCCCAACGGCGACCCCTGGAAGTGCATTACCTGCGGCGTCCCGGAGAAGAACAAGGTCGGCAGCACCGAGTTGACCCCGTATCCCCAGGCCTTTTTCGATGGCAAGCGGGTCATGATCGGATCAAATATCGTCGACTGTGGCTCGGCAAAGCTGCCCAGCAAGGAATGTACCCCGGACAAGGTGCATATCTACCCGATCCGGTTCAGCGGCGGGGATATTCGCGAGCTGCGCATCCATCCGGATAACGTGCATCTCGGATTCAACGTGTTTAATTTCAACAGTGGAAAAATGGACCAGTTCGCCTACTTTGGTCGCCTGCAGTTTAATGACTCCTCGGTCGCCCCGGGGTATGATGTCGTGAAGGCTACTACGTTGTTCGATGCGACGTCTCCGCAGCCGATCAGCGCGAAGAACGGCCGGTTGGTCTTCAACGAGTCCGCGATCGCAGTCGGCGAGCTGCGTGGCTTCAGTGGCCGCGGAAAGGAGGTCATCTACGTTGGAAGTCCCTTGGAATCATGCAACATCGACGTCTTCGCTGCCGACTTGACCACCGGTAAGGTGCGTCGTCTGACCAGCCATCCGGAATACGTCGACCCCATTGATATCTCGCCCGACGACCGCTCTCAGGTCATCTTGGACACGCGCGGTACGGGCCGTCAGATGTTTATGGCCGGCATGCGCGGCATTCCACCGATCATTGATATGGTCGTTACCACGGCGGCCTCGTCGACTCGCAACAACGGAGCCCGTCGGTTCTTCCTGCCGTGGTTGCTCGATCATGACGGCGACCGTGAGGACTACTTCGGTCAGCAGATTAATGCCGGAGGAGACGGTAGTCCTGGCAGTATCAACGACCCGAACTGGAATGCTGCGGCGGACCCGAAGTGGTCGTTTGACGGGACTCGCATCGCGTATACCGAGAACCTCGTCGTATCTCCTGCCTGCGGTGGGAAGAATCCCCTCCCCTGCCCGAAGTCGACAGCGCCCGGAGGTCGCGTTACTCGGCTAATGGTGGCACATCTGACGAGTCGAGAGCCGCTGAACCTGGATCCCGTCGAGCCTGTCGCGGACGAAGTCCCCTGGGGCGTGCCCTTCGACGAGAGCGACGAGACCCCAGAGCGTCCGTACCCGACCTCAGGCAATTACACGCTGCATGGAAAGAGCTCGGGAACTGCCTCGGTGTCGGTTACCTATGAAGAGGACTTGATGAAGACGGTGGCGGTGACATATCGCAACTATTCCGACGACGGGAAAATTGTCATCGAGGGGTCTGAGAAGGTCACCCGGACGATTGAAAACCTCACGATCAACAAGGTGGACTGGTATTCGGACCTCACGTCGACCGGGGAGCAGAAGGCGACCAAGAAGACCAGCCCCGGGGGATTCCACCTGGAGATCGACTCGATGACCAACATTTTCCAGGCGAATGGCACGTTGACGACGACGGTGGATGGAAAGGAGTGGAAGCAGCCTGCCAACGGGACTTGATGATTTGATTCATTTGTGTATAGCCAGTTCTAGTCTGCAGTAGTGGGAATCCTCGAGTGGTGCTAGTCCAGCCTCGTCGCGAATCCTTCGCCCCACAATTGAACATCATTTCTGGCTTTCTTCCACCGTGTCGCATTCTTCTTCAACTCACCATCATGTCTCTGCCTTCGCTCCCCCTCGAGATTTTCGGCCAAATCCTCGATAAACTAATTACCACTCGCGAGGGCTTCTACGCCTCGGCCGATCTGCGTCTTGTTAACCGTAAGTCTCCCTGCCCTGATCTCAGCAACCCATCTGACCGCACCAGGAACTTTTGATCTGGAGATCCGCCGCGCGTACGGGCGTACTTCTTATGGCAAATGGCCTCAATGGTTCTCTCTGGATCCAAAGAAAGGCAGTAAATGCGCATTCTTCGCCAAGTACCTGCTGCTTCGACCGCATGTGCGCGAAGGAGCTGAATACGCGCAAGTCTCGACTCTGCTGAACGATCTCATCGATCAGCTGCAGGACAAAGACAGCAATGAGACCGCAGAAACTCCAGACGACGACACAATTCGCTACCGACTTCTCATGACCCTCAGTGCGAAGGTCAAACCCGCTCTTCTGCGCAATGCCCGCACCAGCACTCGGCCCAACCCCAAGACCACCCCCAAAATCACCCCCATCGACCTCCTGCTGGCCGCCATCTACACCGACCAGATGCCCGTCCTCAACCGCCTGCTCCCCCAGATCGACTTCCACGAAACCACCGCCATCTTCGACCCCGGCGCCGCCAACCCCATCGAACTCCCTCTGCTCGCCGCCGTCGAAACGCACAACTCCGCGGCCCTACACGCCCTCCTCGCACACAACGCCCCCTTCCAATCCCCCGACCAAGTCCCCCGACGCGCCCTCCGCCCCAACCCTCTCCTCGTCGCCGCCCAACGCAACGACATCCCCACGCTGACCACCCTCCTCAGCCCCCCTTCCACCCTCTCCAAATCCGACCTCACCTACCAATACGCCCTCGTGCACTCCATCTCCCCGGACCCCTCCTCCTTCCCCACCACCTCCCTCCTCCTCTCGCACTACGACGGCGTCCTCTCCTCCTCGCCCTACCTCCTCTGCGACGGCCTCCGCGCCGCCTGTCGCGCCGGCCACATCCACATCATCACCCTCCTCCTCGACGCCGGCGCAGACCTCAACTCCGTCATGAACTACCTCGAATCCCACGCCATGGCCGCCCCCATCGCCCAAGCCGCCTGGACCGGCCAGCTCCCCACCCTGCACTTCCTGCTGTCCCGGGGGGCAAGTCTGGCCCCGAGCACGAGCGCCGTGAACGTCGCGCGCACGCAACATCCCGGCGCGGATGCCCTGCGCGCTGCTACCTGGGGGAATCATTGGGCTGCGGCCCGGGTTCTTCTGGACGCGGGGGTAGCGAAGTATCTAGGCAAAAGCGACTGGTGCTCGGTGTTCAAGATCGCAGCGCTGAATGTGGACTGCGCGGGCGTGGCGGTGCAGTTGTTGGAGTGTGGGGTGATCGGGCTGGATGGGTTCGCGGAGGAGAAGGTCGAGGCGGAGGATGCGGTGGCGGAGCTGGTGGCGATTATCTGTCAGAGGGGGAATGCGAAGTTGATGAGGGCGTTGGTGCGGCATGGGCTGCCGCTGGGGAGGCATGCGATGTATGAGAGGGGGTTGTATGAGGTGCCGGTGGTGCAGGCGTTGGCGTGGGAGAGGACGGAGGTGGTGAGGGTGTTGGAGGAGGTCGGGGAGACGGTGGATGAGGAGGTGAGGGAGTTGGCGAGGGCGTATAGGGAGAAGGAGGCGGCGAGGAGTTGGACGCGGGTTGGGCCGGCGGTTTGTGGGATGCCGCATTATACGGTGTTGAGGTAGTTGATTGGGATCGAGGGGCTCTTTAGAAGGTTCAAAGATAGATTGAGTTAGATGCCGAAATGAACCATCCGCTGACAGATATCAGTCCTTAAACACATCATACCAGAATACCAATAAGCCATAACCCAACCAAACACCTATCCAATCCAATCCAATCCAATAAACAAATATCATAAATCCTCCCTCTCCTTCCCATCCTCACTCCTACTCAAATCCAACCCCCCGGGCCACCCATTCAACCCCGAATACGCCTCCGCCGGCGTCGTACCATGCAAAACCTCATAATGCGTACGCTGTCCACATCCTCCCTCCCCATCCCCCTTCCTCCCCTTCCCTCTCCCCTTCTTCATACTTCCCTCCTCCTCACAACCCCTCCCCAATAATAGATCGGCAACCTCCCTCCCCGCATCCCTCCCCTCAAACCACGCGCCGTGCAAAAACCCAAAATACGGCGCACTCGTGGCCTCGCCCGCAAACCACAACCTGTCCACATTCGCCCTCAAATTCTGATGCATCTCCAACGTCGTACCCGCGGGCCAATTCGAGTAACTGCCCAGACTCCAGGGCTCGGTGGACCAGCGCGGGTAGGTGAACGCGACTGGCTCGGGGACGTCGATGTCCGGGAACATCTGGCGGAGGATGGACATTATATCGGATTTGGTTTGGGATAGGGACTGGCGCTCGACGCGGTATGCGTGGTCTGCGACGACGGTGGCGAAGAGGATGCTGGAGTTGGGCAGGAAGGAGGGGGAGGAGAGGGATTGGAAGACGGGGAAGAGGCCTCGCGAGGACGGGGAGGCGTAGAGGAGGAATTCGGAGGAGGTGGGCCAGAAGGTGTATGGGAATTGGAGGAAGAGTTTGGTGTAGGTGTTCATGTTGAATTTGTGGATGGAGGTTTGTTTCCACGGGGGTAAGGGTGGGGAGAAGGTGACGGCGGAGTTTTGGAGCACGCCCAGGGAAAAGGTGCAGATTGCGTAGGCGGCGGTGTGGCAGGTGGAGTTTGCCGTGTGGGTTGTCACCCCCGAGGGGGAGTGGGAGATGTGCGTGATGGGCGTGTTGAGGTGCAACCGGGGGTCGTTGGGGGTCAGGAAGGTGGCGGCTTCGGCGGTGATGAGGTGGTTGTAGCCTCGCGGGTCGAGGACGAGGTGGTTGGCGGGGCCGAATTGGTTGAAGGTGAGGTTTTCGCCGGCGATGCCAAACACGAAGGAGCTGGTTTCGGGGGACGAGGCAGCTTCCCAGTCTTTCCTCTTGTTAGCTGTGACGGGATAGTGAGAGGATGGATGAGGAGAGTAGGCTACCCCAGTTCCACCACTCCACGGCCTGCGCTTTCATATCGTCCTTGCGAGGTCGCCAGCCGGCCAGTGCGAGTCCGCTGCGTGCCGTCTGGTCCTGCAGATTCTCAGAGAGAATCCGACCGGCTTCTCGGGACGCGATCTTGCTGGCCTGCGCGTACTCGGCCAGGATGTCCCGGTAGTCGGTGTAGCCGGTTTCATCGTAGGTGAGGATGTTGTCGTAGTTGGAGTAGGTGTTTTTGAGCTTGTGCTTTTGGGCCTGGCTAGGTGAGCCCGGGTCATGAGATCCTCTGAGTGAGACTGACCAAAGTCCAGACGGGGTTTTCTGCACAGGATTAGCCTCATCCAGGATAATATAGAACAGACATACCCGTCACGTTAGACCCCACACCTTGCAACTATCTACATTAGTCCATCATCACCTCAACCCGAGAAGACCTACCCAGTTCGCCCCAAACTCCACGACATAGGGCTTGCCATTCTGGTCGGCCCCAAAGTCCGTATGCCAGACTCTCCCGCCGAGCGTATCCCGGTACTCGATGATGACGAAATCATCGATGGAGGCGTTGACCAGCGCTTGCTGATGCATATTAGCGCCATTTAACCTTAAACAAAGACAGACTCACTGCAGCCGCAACACCCGCCATCCCGCCTCCCCTGGGCTGTTAACTCATGTAACGCGCATGGATTAGCAGTCTTACAGAATCGCCACGGTCGACTGGGTGCATTTCTCCGAATCGATCTGCCTCGGCTGGGCGACGTAGGCACTAGACAGCTGGACAGTAAACGAGGTCGTTAAAACCAGACATATCGAACGACTGATATGCATATCGGACTGTGGTCAGCTCTACGTGGGGCAGCAAAGCATGAACGATCAGATCCACGTGAGACCAGTAAGCAAGTATAAGCATACCCTAACCGACAGGGGTACGTTATATCAAACGAGCAGATATAGTCCACGGAGCATGGAGTCGAGCGAAATCTCCCGGGTCAGACGCCGGTAGATAAACGGAACAAAGAAAGCCTCAGCCCCTAGTCCCTCCCAGCAAGGCAAGGAATGAGTGAAATCCACCGACCTGCGCAGCCAACAGGCGCAGAGAGAAAGCCAGACAGCCCGACGGAAGGAGAACCGGCCGGACATTCCGTCGAACGTCTCCTATCAGTGTCAGGGATCCGGATCATGCAGGTTGAGGCGTTCCACCAGACCAAGTGAGGCGGGCTTGTGATCGGTGGAGCGCGCTTGGCATTGCGACTCATCACCGGACGGGGAGGGGCGGTCTGATCGTCAGCAAGGGGTGATAAGAGTTAATGATAGGTTTGTTTATCGGTGACTGGGTGCTGCTTTAGAGGAGGCTGGCTGGGTTGAGAAGGAGATGAGCACACTCACGGGGCTTGGGGACACGCACCTGCAGGAGGAGTCACGCTGACATCCCTGTCTATCTTCTATAGAAATCACATCCTAGATAGCCAAGTATACGGTCGGATTATGAACGATCGCGTAATATCCACTCGTCCTCTGCCAGCTCCTTAGCAGAGCCTCGCTTGCCAGGCTCCCACTGCAGCATCTTTCGCATCAGCCGCAGAAACGCCTCTCTTTCCTCCTCGCCCTGCAATGTGGTTTCTCGTTCCTCCAGCGGAACTCGATCTGTTAATAGATCTTTCGCTCGAAATACACCTAAGAAACCGGCTGGGTCAGTAAACCGAACTTGCGACCGCACAAACCATCAAACAACAAGACTTACCCTCCTCAAAGAACTCATCTCTCCGCCCCCCTTGCGCAAGAACCCCCGCCGGCGGAGGTCCCAGCAGATTAATCATCTCCGCCAGATGCGCTCGACTGCGATATCTCTGAAACTCAGGATCCCGACCACTGAACAGGGACCCGCCTTCGTAAATATCCCAAACCTATCGACATTCAGCTAGTTACGCAGGAGGATCCCAATTGCCAGGTAGACTCACCATACATCCCACATTCCATATATCAATACTATGTGTCCACGGCGCTCCAAGAATCACCTCCGGAGCGCGGTAGATATTTGGCTGGACGAATTCCGAATGCGAGGTGCCGACAACTGCCGACCCAAAGTCGCATAGTACCGGGGCACCGATGTTCTTAGGCATTCGGATATCCCGGGACATGTAGATTGTTCTTCCATTTTCTACTTCTTTTCTCGGGACGGGGTGTTCGAGCTCTTTGGTTTCGAAGTCGTGGAAGACTGAGTCGTCGTTGATTCCGAGCATGATGTTGTCGGCTTTGATGTCTATTTCAGGTCAGTGGATCGACGCAGAGGATAAAAGTAAGGTGAGAGACCAGTATGCGTGATTTGACAATCCGTGTGCAGGTAATCGAGCGTTAGGAATAACCGCTGCAGAACATAAACTATCACCGCTGAAGGCAGCCGCTCGACGGGGTTGCGGCGCAGGAAGGCCAGCACACTCTCCCATAGTGGGCGATGGACGAGACACCGGTGCGAATCATCAGGTCCGTTGATATAAAACGTATCGAGTAATTTTCGAATAGCGTCACGGCCGGGATGCCTCGTGGGGAACTGCTCCATGCGTCGGTACATGTTCAACTCGTGGTCCATTTGCTGGCCCATGCTGGAAGACTGGAGGAAGACTTTGAGCGTGACGTAGCGACGATGGCTGGATTTATGTATGAGTTAATGCAATTACCATTGATATGGAGATATTAAGAACATACTCCATATCCCGGGCAAGCCACGCAGTTGAAGTAGATCCGAAGCCCAATTTCCCTACGACCTAATACCGATCGTAGATTACTTCGCCGATTCGAGCCGGGTAGTACTACGAGGGAACGTAGTCGGGGAGGGTTTCCTCGTCGATCTTGTGGTATTCCGGTATTCGAACGAAGTTGGGGTTGGAGAAGTCCAGTGGCTTCCATCTCCGTCCGAGTTGTGGTAAAGACCGCAGTAGGGATGATAGCATGCTACTAATTTGCAGAGGGTTCTGTAGCAGATGGATAGGGCGGAGAAATCGACTATCATCAAGGTCAATCTGTCAGTCTAGTCGGCGTGGCTCAATGCGTGAGGCTCTTTGGATTTGAATATTAATGTTGAAAGTCGACCAACATGTCACATCCTAGTGCATATCGTTGCCAAGGGAACGGCTGGTAGGTGGTTTTTGTAAACCAAGCAGGACTCAAACTGAGGCCCTGTAGGCACTTCCTGTCCGAGAATCCTGTTCATTTCTACTGCTCACCGAGCTTAGTGAATAAGTACGGGATTAAATTATATACAAGTCACCGAGGCTGATCCTGTCCATTAGCACACTATTAAAGAAACTAGAAAATATATAGAAGCCGCATCCTCTACCGGTTATCCCATGTGCCAAAGAATATTGCCAGCACACGCACCCATCACTCACTCCACGACCGGACCCAACCCCCTCCAAAGCAGCATCCCTCCACCCAATCAATCCACCTAATGATAATAAGCCGACCATTCAGCCCCAACTAGCGGAAACTACTGTCAACCTACTCTCAGCGATACCCCGATAACAGCAGATCGGCAGTCCGATAGGGTTCCCCCGCATGGACATTCCGCATCCATCTTGGCGTCTTTGCATCTCCGCAGCGCCCGTCAAGGGATGCCATCTACACTTCCGCTTATAATCAGCCTTAATTCGCATGACGACCTGTCAGACGAAGTTCCTTTCATCTGACAGCCGGGAGGAAATTTTATTCCGTCGCTATGGCTGATTTCGAGAAACCGCACGATGTCCCGGAGGACGACGCCCAGCTGGCTCGCATGGGCCATAAGGCCGAGTTGCAACGGAACTTTTCGACTCTGTATGGCGCCATCGCTGCTGCTATTCGTGGCTAATGTGATGCTTCCAGATCGATGTTGGGATTGGCGTTTGCGGTGTTGAATGTGAGACTTACCTGACGTGCACTGGGCTCGGCAAGTTCCGGCGCTCCGCTATCTCTTATCTTTGGCTCTGGGGAAGCTGATCTCATTTGATTGTGTTGGTTTAGTCGTGGACTGCGCTGTCGGCGAGCCTTTCGATTAGTTTGACTTCGGGTGGAAGTACTAGTGTTATTTGGGGTAGGTTCTCTTCCACCATACTCTCGATGAGACATCTCTCACGACAACAGGCCTCGTCACGGCTGGAACATGTAATCTCTGCATTGCCGCATCGCTGGCGGAATTCCTATCCGCTTATCCAACGTGAGTTCGCCGAAATAAACCCATTGGCACCAGATTCTGATCTGATTCAGGGCGGGCGGCCAGTATCATTGGGTGGCTGGTAAGTTCCATCGCATCTCCTTACTTGTGTCTCATAACGAGTGAACTAACTGGATGCCTCGTAGTTGGTATGTGGCGTGACACTTGCCTTCTATTTTGTCCTTCGAGTCGAAAACCTCCCGCCAAGACTAACCGACCCAGTATCCTGGCCGCAGTGGGTGCCCATTCTATCCTGGGTAACGGGGTGGATTAATGTTGCCGGATGGGTATGCGACCGACCCTTGCAACAAACCCCTCGATAGGATGGCTGTTGGCGAGCGAGAAAACTAACCGAGTGGACGCCTGTAGATTGCCCTGGTGGCGACCAATGCGCTGCTGTCGAGTCAATTGATTGCCGGGATCGTGTCGGCGGTTTATCCGGTGAGTTTGAGTTCGCCGTGTAGCGTCTCTGCACTATTCTAATGTGCATGCGATTGGTATAGGATTTCGTGTGGCAGCGCTGGCAGCAGTTTTTGATCTATGTCGGATACACCATCCTTGCGTTTGTGGTCAATGCGTTCATGAACTCCGTTTTGCCGGTCATTTATCGCGGCGCGTGTAAGCTCTCCTGCTGCTGCGTTTGGGCGATGGCTGATTCGGGGCAGTTACTTGGTCGATTGGTGGGTTTGCGCTGGTCTCGATCACAGTGTTGGCGTGCGCGTCGCCGGATTATAGCTCTGCTTAGTGAGCCTGACCGAGGAGGAGATGGTGGTGAATGCTGACTGATGGGTAGTTTTGTTTTCTGCGACTTTGTCAATCAGACGGGGTGTAAGTTCGTGTCTCCGATGAGAGAATGTCGCTGATGAGATAGGGCCTGATGGCGTCGCTTGGTTGTTGGGGGTTTGTCCATGTCCATCGCTTGATGATAGAGGATCTGCTAACAACGACAGCTTCTCCAAGGAGGTTTGGGAGTGACTGCTTTTGTGGGTTCCCTCTCGATTCGTATCCGCAATGCGAACTAACAAAATATCGCAGGATGCCGTCGCACATATGATCGAAGGTACTTACTCATGTCGAACATCCTCAACCAAACACTAACCCCAGCAGAGGTCCCGCAGCCATCCATCCGCGGCCCCAAGATCATGGTCTCCTGCGTCGGCATCGGAACCTTCACTGGCGCCGTCTTCCTGATCGTGCTGCTCTTCGTGGCCGGCGATATCGACGAGGTGATCAATTCCAGCGCCGGTCCGCTGCTGCAGATATTTCTGCACGCGACGAAGAACACCGCCGGGGCGATCTGTCTGCTCATGTATGTCCTGGCTGGACTTACCCGTAATTCGAGTTGAATGACGAAGACGTGTTAACGACGTGCTAGGCTCCCGCTTGTTTGTCTTGCCTTTGCGACTCTCAGCGTCATGACGACGAGTAGTCGGATGATTTTTGCGTTTGCTCGGTGCGTCAGCCCTTCTAACACCCCCCTCGAACCCAAAAGGTAATGCCATGCTCATCTGGATGATATCAGCGACGGCGGTCTCCCCGCATCGAAATTCTTCGCGCGCGTACATCCCAAACTTGGAGTCCCTATCAACGCGCTGGGCCTGACAGCCCTGGTGGTGGTGATCTTCGGATGCATTTATCTAGGATCGACGAGGTAGGCCTGACCTGTTCGCATTCATCATCGTTTGTCGAGTTCAAGAAGCGAGAGCAAGGAAGTTAATCGATCCAGTGCCTTCAATGCCATCATCTCGTCCTCGGTCGTCGCGCTCGATCTATCCTACGCCATGCCCATCGCGGTCAATTGTCTGCGGGGCCGGAACATCCTCCCCGATCGGTACTGGAAGGTGCCTAGTGTGATGGGGTGGGTTATTGATATGGTATGTATTCCTCGCCTCGGGTCAGGTCTGAGGGCAGAATGGAATGGAAAAGAAAGGAGATGCTGATAATGATGATGATGATAGATCTCGCTATCGTACATTGCTCTGACGACGGTGCTGTTTCTTTTCCCGCCCGAGAGGCCGGTTACGGGGAGTAGTATGAGTGAGTATTCGCATCCTGATTTATTTGTCTAGGGGAGGACTAATGGTGGTAGATTATTGCATTGTTGCGTTCGCTATCATTGTGATTGTCTCGGTCGTGCAGTGGATTATTGACGGGAGGAAGAATTTCAAGGGGCCGAGGGTGGATGTTTAGCTACTCTACCGGCTTGTTCTTTGGAGCTTTGGGGATCCTGGACAGGCAGGCAGGCATTTTGCATAAAACAAGTGATGTTAACTAAGCCGATGAATAAAAGTCTTTTGTACAGAATATCTCTGCACGCTCTAATCAAATGATATCACTCCTAACCTGACCAGCAGAAAATCGGAAACCATAAACCGGGGCAACCAACTCCGTACGGACGGAGTAACCAAATCTCATGATTGCGACCAAAAGGAGGCAGTGCAATTGTGGGGTGATCGAAGCGATCGGCGCCCAGACAGGATCAAGTATCACAGCGTGGAGAATTGGGAATGGCGAGCATCCGATGGCCCGAATCGATGCCGATAACGTAGCCGACCGAGCGACCGATGCCAACAGGCCACGTACGCAGTCAGTGAAGCTCGGGTGATTGCATGGTTGCCTGCCTGCCTGCATCTCTACGGACTGCGAATTAAAATACAGAAAATAAAAAATGATCATGATATTCCAATATTTCGCTAATACCCAAAATCAAATCAAACGGCCCAAGAGCCGTTGCCGAACACCGCTCCCGAAATGAACCCAATCAACCAAATCCAGTCCGCCAGAGGCAGACACAGACAGACACACAGACACAGACACGTCCGGCATGTCTCATAGCATCTCATCGAATAAAATATGTGCAAATCGTCGATGGTGATCATAACCCCGTAAGCAGCACCATCCTAGGCACGCAACGCCGTTAAAACTCCATTGCAAAGTCGTTCATGACAGTAGAAATGAAAATGGAAAAGACAGGGACAAAAGCAGTCAACCCGTCATCGGACAGGCCGACTCACTGGATCTCGTAGACGGCCAGCGCCCGCTCGATGTCATGCAGGTTGTCCTTTTCGCCGTACGCGTCCATGAGTTGGCGGTTGCGTTGCAGGCGCTCGAATTCCTCCTGGGCCATTTCGTGGCGCTGCTGCTGGTTGGTGTAGAGGTTTGCGGCGCCGAAGCCTGATCGTTTGTTAGTTGGGCATTCATTGCATTGGAATCGATGGTGATGGTGTGGTGGATGGGGTGAAGTGGTGATGTCATGACGCCGGGGAAGGAGATCCGGGGAAACGGAGCAAGGGATAGGAGGGTTTACCGAGTGCAATCACGGCCATGGCGGGTAGGTACCTGGCGAGGTCAGTATGATTGGGTTCCCTTGTTTGACGAAGGCAGGCAACAGGCAGAACGGACCATTTGGAGGGCTTTGCAGGGATGAAGAAGGGGCGTTTGTTGAAGGCAGCCGGGCGCGGAGGTGTGGAGGGCGGAGTTGCGGACAGTTGCATGGTGTGGTAGGAGGGTGGGAGAAGAGTTGATGGTAATTGCAAGTGGTAAGTCGTAAGTAGTGAGCAGTAAATGCAATAGTATGTAGACACTGATAGCAGTTCAGGTAGATCAACGAAGATATTTATAATTCTCGTCAGGGTCAGGAACGGAAGAAGGGGAAAGAGGAGAGAGACAACATGATGAGGTCAAGGCGTGGCGTGGTCCGTCGTATGATGATCGTCTCCCCGCCGAATCAGCCAACGTTGACTGGTGGACCACTCGGACGAATTTGTGGGTATTGTTCCACAGCTTTCAGTCCGGGGTTCTTCACTGCAGATGACGGTGGGAATGAGATGGAGGGTCAAACAACATTCTCTTCAGTTGGGAATGAAGATTGGGATTCATGATGGATGGCGGGTATTTAATCGGCTTCAATCGCCGCATCTCTCCTTCGTCTGTATTTTCCCAGACATCCATCCGGTCAACTTGCGGCATCTTTTCTTTTCTCCTCCCTCTCTCTCTCTCCCTCTTTTTTTTTTTTTTTTTTTTTTTTTTTTTTTTTTTTTTTTTTGTTTTGTTTCGTATACTCTGTCGGTGTTTCATGATCCGTATATCCCTGTATAGATCTATGCCTCTACCCTTGGCTATATGTTGATTCCCTCCGTACCTATCAGCCGACCTCGGCATTTCATCTGTTATGGTCATCCCTTGCCCGACGGCGTTGAGCTGACCGTCTGGCTTTCGCTTCGTGGCGAGTTGACCAAGTCTTGTATATATTTCATTCATTGCTGTCCGCTTGATAATGGCCTGGATCTCGCGGATGGAGCTGCCTGTTGGGAGGTACAGAGTGACTTTTTCTTTTCTTTTGCTTATCGTCCTATTTTCCCTTCTTCTCTTCTACCAATCTTGTCGTGTTCTGTCTTTCCGATGGCTGGTAGCAAATGCATGGGCTCCCACGCGGGATTGACCCAGTCACCATCTTGTTCTGTACCGAAATGACTCACAACGCATGCCTTGCTCTCGAGTTGGTAGTTAATAAGGCATGGGGTTTGATCAGACAGGCTTCTGTCTTTTTGTCGGAACTATGAGCAGGTAGGTCGATTGTCCCGAGTACCAAGGAAGCGACTAAATCTTGCACTAGACTCTGATAGTGCTACTGGGTCGGTTGATGCTGGCCCTGACGTATTGACGGTCGTCCTGGATGTGCGCGAGGCACCTGGAAGCAAATTCATGAGGCTGAGTTCGATCAGGTTCCCCTTCCAGACCTCCAGGTATTTTCCTATACCTGCCCACCGTTCTATATCGTTAACGCAGTCACCAGGTTCAAATTCCTCGTCCAGGGTGCTGGTTGCGTTGTTTGCCCACATCGGTATCAGCTTGAGTTGATGCAATGGGACGCAGATATGAGAAGTCCGCAATTCTCGCACCATACCCGGCTCTGTTGGACGGAGCAAACCCGGTTATGCCACTGCACACGCGGTGCTCCCTGTGCGACAGGTGTGTCGCCTTGCGTGTGAAATAAATTCGAACTTAGGAGTGGGGTCTGCTCCGACACATAGACAAGCTGCCTGACAATCGGACTCGCGGGAATCACCTGATTTGCATCCTACACAGAAGTTCTAAGGTATGGTTTTCTCGGTTTGCCTGGTTGTTCCCACGATCTAGTCGCTCATCAAGGGAGGTTGTACATTCCGGCGACATAACATTGGCTGAATAATGTTCCCAATGGGATGGAACTTTTGTATACCCATATACTCCAGCCTGTAATTGAGCCGGTGTACTTCAATGAGTTTGGACCCGGGATATACATAGAAAACATATCCCGAGAAAGTCCATGAAGGTTGGAAAGTTCAAAATGATGAAGTCACCTTGGAACATTGTGAGTGCTCGCATCATATTGTCTGGTCTTTGAAACCGTGCAAGCTCGACTAACTCGAGTTAGACATGAATCATCGTCGGCATCGATGCTAAGTTGGTACGACACGCTTCAGGGAGTGCCACAGCTTTCGCGGCGATATTAGCCTTTCAGTTGTCACAGAATGAACCCGTGCACAGGCGCAGAGAAATTGTCAACCATCGCCTACCCCTGTGTCTGATACCACGAGGGATTTCGGCGATGTCGCACGCTCAAAGTGTCGAAGACACGAACACAAACCCCAGAGCGATGTTTACGGCGTCTTGTCAGACAGCCACGTTTCTGTTCTCGATGCCATACAATATGACTTTCACTGTCTCTTGGTTTCTTAACTGATATCTCCGAGAGCCATATTGCCGGATCATGGAAGAGAGTAAGCATCGCTTACAATTTCCCAAAATTGCGAAACGGTCGTCGCGAAAGACCCCGTCGGGTTTTGATCCGCGGTCACGCAGGAACTGGGAAGACGATGCTTTGAAAGAAGGTCACCCAAGCCTTATCCTTGCCGTGGGGGCTGGCGTCTGGCAATTCAAGGAAGAAAGCAATCCCCGATGTTCGCGTCTCGGGGCGGATTCTGATGCCTCCCTGCAGTCGACAATCCCCAACCCACAGTCTAGATCTCTCGGCGGAGGTTGACTTGCCACTTGAGGCTCCTTGTGTAGCCCCGAGAGCGGCACAAATGGGTGAACTGAGATAATCGAGCGTTCCTTATCCATGCGACCTTATATCGGGGGTTCTCCCTCATTGTGTTTTACATCCGAATACTCTTTCTATAGATACACCAGGTCGCGATCTCAGTCCGGCTTCAAGGCAGTCGACTACTGCTGTCTGCGCAGGTGGCTTTTCCCAGTCACCAGTTGCTTTGCTTTCTTCTCCACACCGAAAGAAGGGAAATCCAACCTCTTCTAGAGCCCAGAGCCTCCCATACACTCGTCCTCAACAAGTGATGCCTGCGGTTGGTAGACCACATTCCAGACAAGCATTCCTCTCTCGGGAAGAGCTTAGGGAAAGACTAGACATGAGCCTGAAATTCACTGCGTACACAGCAAGTGGCACTCAACCAATGAGGGAAAGTCAATCCGTCGTACACTCCTGGTGTGGAAAATAGCGCCGGCCTCTTTCGCAGGACGAGCTGGACGCTCTGAGACCTGTCACAAGTCATGATCACAGCGATATGGACCTGACCGTGGCGGTGATCCCGGGCGAACAGCTAAAGGGAGATGCTCGGTGTACTGGTTCGTGCTCTGGGAGGGGCAGCATCCAATAGCAACCTGTCTGGTCTCACCGAAGGCCCTGATTACGCACTATACTTCAACAGGTATGCCACTCGGTATGATTAGTCGGTGACTCCCAAATATGGATCTTGGGGATTTGCAGCTCTCCATATACAGCCTGCGCCGAAAGAGCTCTCTTTCTTCGGAATTCGAAATGATTGCAAGAGGCAGAGTGACTTGATATATGCTCCGGGGACAATCGCACACCACGATGAGCAAACATTATTGGGGCCGGAACGTTATCTGACACTCGTTACTTCAAAAGCCAGACATTTGCCCAGAAAGTGTTGCGCGCCTTGTTTCGCTAGGTTGAATACCCGGGTTGAACGGTGACACAAGTACATCGGCAGTTACAGTATCGAGTCAACGGCATCCCTGGCCGACTGGGGACGTACTAGAGGTCCCGTGGAACGGGCGCATCCATTCTTTTTTTCGCCGCAAGGGTGGCTCTTTGATGAGTGGGTTGTCCAGATCCAATATGGAAAAGGGAAGGCTGAGAAAATACAAGATCGAAAAGCGAACCCGCTGGCTGTACCTTGTGCAATATAACCGCGTCGCTCCGGACTTCCGTTACAACAACTCTGGATACCGGGCTCGACGCATTTCTTCAAGCCACACATTTTGGGCAGATTATACGTATCGCAGGATCGGCATGAGAAGGTGGGTGATGAAAGCACGGTTGGACCGGTATGACGAAGAGCTCGGCGTCTGGGCATATGAAGAGCGGCCAATCAAGTCTTTCTCCAGAACTATCATCATCAATTTTCGGCCGTTCTACCGGCTTCATCGATGGTTGCACTTTATTTCATTAAAAGTCTTACTGTCAGGTTGATAGTCATCTTCAACTTCCATACGTCTTCAATGCTCCCTAGAAACAATACTCGTTAGAATGAGGGAGCTCATCTGCACAGTTCCGGCCGCATTGTCGGCAGTCTTGCAAGATCCGATCAAATATTGAAGAGCCGTCACACCAATCGAACTACGATGATTGGTATAATTGGAAGCAAAGAGGTTTGAATACCACGCGACCTTTGAAAAAGGTCCCACCAATGGAGCTTTTCCACAACAGCAGCTTAGGAGTTGCCATCATGAGCCATGATGATAGTGGACAAGAAGAAGATGCTAGTTGTGTTCTTCAGTCTCACGACGTCCTGTGATTTTGACTCTCATTCGGGTATGCCTCGGCCATGGGTGTCTGTCGGGCGTATTTTGACCGAGCCGTTCAGGCATCTCCGAGAGTGTGTGGTGAAGATTGAACCAAGCAGCAATGTCCACGGAAGGCCTTGTGGAACACTTGCATCTACGCGTTTAGATAAGGTGTGCCAGGGTTTCATTCCTTAAAAGGTGCTATCCGGTCTGCATCCATTTGGCTACCCTGATTGTGCACTCTCACAAGTCTGAGAAAGTGCCATCATATGCATTTTGCACTACAAAGGGCTGCTAGACTGGCGTTCCGAATGCCCTACTTGAGTAGGGAAGTACAACGGACGCTACAATGTCATGTGGCAGTTATCCTGGCCGGGAAGGGAGATGGACATTTGGTGAGGTTTCTGGAGCAGATCGCAGGGAAACCGCGTGATCTGCTGGGAATTCCCCATACGCCGAGCCTATATTTGAGACAGCTCCTCCGCCTGTCTGGCTGCATCACCCAATTTAGTGGATTCATGGACCCATCAGCGGACTCCAGCTAGCATTGAAAGCCGAGAATAGGAGTTCAGGTCTACAAGATTCGAGACGTACAATCAACCATGACCTTGCTGTTGTCGAAGATCACGAGAATTCTGAGTTGAGACTGTTCGCTCAAGTCCGAATACCGGAACAGATATCGCCTGACAAATTTAAATGATAGGCTGATAGGAAGGCAGTGCTGAATAGATCGCTGTCCTTCGGCTTTATACGCCTTGATATTCTCGATTCCGGCCTTTCCAGTTTCTATAGAGACAGGTCACCAAAGTCCAGGTCTTTGTCCAAATACTTCCGGAGTATCCAGACGTGGGCTCTCCATCCGCAATTGATGTGCCTCTTGGGCTATCCCTTACCTCGAAAATGCAATGTCGGATCTTCCAACACATTTCAACCCCTGGGTGTCCTTCCACATCAGAAGTCACTGACTTGCGACATGCAAATTCGCTCGCAGGGCACCTCGGTGATTACGCTCGCCTCAAGCCTCCTGATTTTGCATACCGTTTTCCACACGAGCAACGGCGCCCAAGAGATCCATACCGGACCAGACCGACGTGGCAGAGGCCGATCTATAATGTCACTTGGCGAACGGTACTACGTCCACGACCCAGAACAGATACGGAATCAATACAGACTTCACCCCATCAGAGCTGTCCACGTTTTCAATATTTCATTATCTGCCAAAAATATGATCGCGCGATCACAACGAAAATATCTGGATAAAGAAGCTCTCGCCATTCGGAATCAATTTACCAACAGACTGCGCAAAAACTTCCAAAAGACTATCAATATCCATGTTTTGCTAACTGTTGTCAGATGAACTACTGAAGAACTGACCGATGTCGAGGCGTTCCCCAAGCTAGAGCACATGGACGGTGATCGCCTGCCGGTCTCTGACTTTCATCATTGTGAAGGAGATATGTTCAAAATGTGGAATACAGCGTCAGGATTCCGGTCGGACCTTGCATCAGTGAAATCTAAACTGCGAGCAACGGAGATAGTCAATTACCGACTAGAGACACAAATGTCGCAGAGGCGATATTGTGTGTTTTTGCAACAATCCCAAGGTCCTTCGACTTTCTTGCTCAGATCCACAACCCCAACTCAAGAAAATGCCCCAGGTTTGGGATTGTATTTCTCCTTTTGATGGCTACGGTGCCCACTGGACATTGATCGTTGAGCCTCCTGGCATTCCAAAAGATTGTCTGGCGGACGGAAGGTGACAATCCCGAGTATGTTATACACAACAAGCTCTATCTAAGAGGTCTTGTGAAGAAGAAGCAAGGGCCTCAGAGATTGGAAATTTATATTGAAAGTTCGATGCCAATAATGGAGCTTCACAGAAAGTGCATGCGACGTTTTATGCTCGGTGCTTTATAGCATAATGGAATATTGAGCGGGGATGCAATCCAAAGGTCATGCATTCATCGGCACCATTTCCAAGTTACTCGATGCTATAGGGCGTCTGTCCGACTTTACCTTCGATATTCCGCTCTGGTGCTGACTGGCCCAAGAGCCTGTAACGAATATATCGCTGATGAGTGGACTGATGCGCCACCTCGATGGCTGCTTATCATCGATCCTCGTTGGAATCAATGGATGGTCAGGCCGTTTTTCATTCAGCGTGGCGGGGAGATCTCACTGCGGTTTCAAAGGATGACGAAACTTCCCCAAAAGCAGTTTACAATGGACCAATCTGCTCAAAATGCCCTTGGCGATATCGATCGAGGCTGGTCCTACTTCAGCGAGTCATTCCCAGTTTCTTGTCTTCACAGCACATGCTCAAGTGCCGGCGCAAACAATCTCCCACATTTGTGAGGTCTTTTTCATGAAAACCAGGGACACCCGTGATCATACCCGCAAAAAGCCGTTCCACGATAACGCCAAACTCCAACAGCCCGCAAGCCTATCTTGGAATAAAATGGCATATGGCATAATGGACACACATCCGTGCGATCAAGATTAAATCAGTGAGCAAATGCAAACAGGAATGCAGGCTTCAATGTGCAAGCTTGATCGGTGCCACATTCCACCTGCTCGAAACAGGCGGAGGCGGATGTATTGACAGGCTAAACCAAAGTCAGGGCCTCAAAACCCTATGTCACCGTGGAGAGAAGCAGAAGGCCGACGGCGATCTTCAAGAGGCTATCGCTGTCATAAACACAAGATTTGATGCCATGCCTGACAATGCAAAATACCAAATTGATTGTTTGAGAATACCGGGGTATATTTCCATCCTATGGTACAACATGCGAGAGTATGTGAATGGTCTGGTGAAGGCGGCCGACAGATATAGAGAAGCCGTGATCCTTTTCCCGACATTTTGTGCTCGGAGATTGAGCTACTTCTCAATGTCCGAATTGCTTCATTGCTTCAATTGCCTGGAGTCACGCGGACGTTACTACGAGGTTCTCACCACAAAGTGGACAGGCAGGACGCGTAAAGGGCAAGAGAAATAAGTTACTGAGTGGTCTCAGATTATGCACCATGACATATCTTTCAACCCATCGAACTTGCGGGCAAATCCTTGCCCTGGAGGTTATGCGCCAGTCCTTGCAAGAGCTCGATAGATGTCTCCCCACCATTGGCCTGTATGAGACAGTCCTCCGCCCTTTGAAGAATATAATCAACAAAGCAGTCGTTCCTGCGGCTGATATATAAGCCTTCGAAACATATTGTCAACTACTGCATAGATTCGCCTCACTAAAGGGCTCTTCCCAATGGAAAAAGCATTTTGGCTAATGCGAATCATTCTCTTGTTTCTGGGGTATGTGAACAGTCACTCGGAAATGGCATGATGTGCTTCTGAACTCTTCTAAAGAAGTTGTCGACGAGTTGGCGATTCAATTGAACAAGAAAAACCCCCGATTCTTGACGAGCAAAAGAATATATATCGTCGCGCCCCTTCACTATATCGGCAGCGAGGAGCTAGCCCCATGCCCGGCGGAACGTCTATGAAACCCATCAACCCTCTATTATCGACCTACTCAAGGCCCAAGGGCTGGAACCCAGCCGACCTACCAGGATATCCACATACACACCGGAGAGACGATGTTCTTGGGCAGAAGACTAGAAAGAATCAGCTGATCTTCCCTAGTACGTCATTGGCGAAACAAAAGATGTCAGCCAATACAGAGGCCTGTTTGAACCCATTTACCACCTGCCAATTGCTTTCAAGAGACCTTCCTGCGCGAATTGTGACTTTCACATGTGCGTTGAAGCCAGTCATGCGGCGAGTGTTTTCGGAGGCGGATTCTGTTCATCGAGACGCTCAGTGGCTTAGACCACACTGATTGGGACTTTCCAGATCGTGGAATATGGGGTCAGTCTTTCTCTTTCGGTGAGACAAGATAGTTGGAAGAGAATAGTCTCGCGGTCGAAGATGACTCGAATTTACGTTCGCTTATGATGCCGGTGTTGCGTTCTCTCCCAAAATGGATGGCGTTGTCGAGAATGAAAGACCAATCATGGAAGAACTCAACAGAATGCAGACCTCACAACACCAATACTGAAAGATCCTCAGTATCCAAATGATGCATATATTCAATCTATCCACAACGATGGATTGAATATATGCATCATTTGTTTTGCTGCAGGTGAAGTCCGATACTTCAGTCAAACTCGTTTTTTCCAACTAGATATGACATCCAAGCGAATCCATGGAGCAATAAATCAGATTACGCTAACAACCTGAGAAGAAACACACAATCACATATGGTAAGAAATATGGTATATTGTATTTTTCTAAAAATGTTGATTCTAACTATTAAAAAGAAATGATTTCTGCGCGAATCTTTGTGATTCCTACCATCGAAATGTGACGCACGCTTTCCAATCCAACTAGGCAATGATCATGCGGAACTGGAATCCTGCTATCGGCCAGCGAAATTCACCTTCGTATCTCGAAGGAAGTGAAATAATTTTACTTATCAACTGCTTGATGGATTTCTCTCCCTCAAGTCTCTAGAGCTTCAGCTGGAGACAATCAATGGCCTGTATCGAGCCTCAAAAGACGCCGAATATACCACATGGTATAGCGACAAGACTAAGCCTGAAAACAATGTGGTGATTGTTGAAGCCACAGGATAATCTTGGAGAGGGGAGACGCAGCTTCTGGGCAGAAACGTATGAACCCTTTCTCAATTCTTAAACCGCATATAGTATAATCTCTGACAGTTGCCTGTTGCCCTTGCAGCTGTCGTTTCCCATATGACCGTGGACCTTTGCCTTGAGTATTTTAAGGTCTGTACACTCATCACAGAAAGCACACGTCATTCTCTGCTCCAGACGCTGATCTGAAATCGGTCAGGAAACTGAAAACACCCTGGGTAGAAGAACATATTCCCATGGTTAGGCGGCCTTGACCATTTTCTCGGTTGGCTTCCAATAGCCAGCCTTTCCGGTCTTGCTCTCAATCTAGTCAAAAGTATCTCATTATTCGGTACTTTCTTGGTGGACCAAGTTACATTTTGCATTGACAAGGCTCATAGAAGTCGAAAATGCGAGGATCTGGTTGAATGCGTCGATCTTCCCGGATATTACTTGTCACTCGGACCCCTCATTGGCTTTACAAGGAAATGTCGATCTGAAGCCAGATCAGTTCGAACTCTTCGTACGCAGTCTGATTAACAGTTTAAACTGCCAGGAGGAAATTAAATACTTCTTGGATAACCCCACGGGCTGGTGGACACAACGAGCAAACCTCAGTACCAAACGATATATTTCGGGAACGTCACCGTTGGCCTTCACTTCGAAGACATTCAGAACGACAGGAACCTAGATCGCCAAACAGCCAAGGAGACCTATTTCGAAAAGCTTGATCAGCTGTTTTCCCGTGTCTATACGATACGTTTGAAAAGGTATGCTGTTTACTGAGTCAACCTTGGACCACAAACATACCACCTCGAGCTCTGGGATTGGTATCACGCGATGATCAATCCGGTGTGAGAAGGTGCGAGAAGGTCATCGGAGCCATGAAGCAGTTTGAAAGCCCACCTACATTGTGCACCAGGTAGTGCATAATTTGGCGCCAGTGCGCCTCTGCATCCGACAATTGTCTAAACTTATGTGAGACCTTGCTCGTCCTATTCGGAGAGCCTCTGTGGTAGCCCCCTTCGATTGGCTCTCGTACGTTGACATCGGACCTACGCCGCTGGAAGACCTTACGGAGTACTATGAGCAAATCCCTCCCTAGCATTGACAAAGATACCTCATATCCCAAGTCGCCAGGCGACCATCATCGCATCTTTCTGGCACTTCGGGACGAAGTTGATCAGGCCATGAGAGGGAATGGCTCAACTTATATATATGATCGACCGAATGTATATAACATGCATTGGAAAAGGACCTGGATTTAAGTTATTCTACCACCGAGGCGACAACGGAACAGTCGGCAATCCCTACCCTATAATTGAGCGATGAATTAAGCACAATTCCATTAACCTAGGAAATGTTCGCCTCTCATCCCGTCTTTAGGCAATCGTTGTCGCATGTTTCTGACCCTTAGAGGGATGAATCCGACCACGCCCTTCCAAGAAATGATTCGCTATTACTCGCTGGATATAGCATACATCTGAAGAAAGCCTGTGTGCAGATAACACTGCCACCGGGGCGACAAGGGAACAGTCGACATCATCAACTATATATATTGAGTGAGGAGCTGAGAAGGATTATATCATCCGGGGAAGGATCTGGCTCCCTTTATACTCAGTCTTCAGGCAATTATTATCGCATGTTTCTGGCATTTGGGATTGGAGTCGACCGCGTCCTTGAAAGCAATGATTCGTCACGACTCGCTGAACATAGCTTGCCCCGGAACAAAGCGTGTGTGCAGATCATGCTACCAAGGATAGCCTTGAGAGATGGGCCAGAATTCTGAAATGCAGAGCACGACGTTGCGGCTAATCCGAATATATGAACCTCACACTAGTTGGGCAGGTGCCGTTTGATCCTTCGCGTGCCCTTGGAAGGCCAATACAACTTACACCCAACTAGAAGCTCTCCTGGTATGGCCCAGCACTGATTATGACACCAGCATCACTATCTCTGGCCTCGATCGATCAGAGGGAAATTTTTATATACCTCAGTCCTACAAACCAGGTCGACAAATATTAATCGCTCAATGATTTAAAAGGCATGCATACATTCGACAGATGCGAGGAGGATCAAACTCACTCCAGACGCCGTTATAAGGCATTTGGAAGAGGATCGTTGTTTGCACCTGGTAAATTTGGATAACTAAGAATCGATATCAACTAAGCACACATGGTCCTGGAAAAATGGAAGTCTTTTACATCCATGCGATTGAATACAAGACATCCATTTTCAGACAAGCCAGTCCATCAATGCCTTAGCTTTATCAACACTAGCTTGCGGCCTCGTCCAACACTAGCCATGGTAGCAAGAATCAATTTGCACCGTTGTCCTGATTCCAAAGATCAGACAGTTAGAGTGAGTCCACCTATCCTTATCGCACCTAGAGCACACGACTAAACACAGATCTTCAGCCGTATGAAAGATGAGGGTTACGCTACAAGCCCTGAAGGCAAAGGAAAACGGCGACTTATAATGCCTTATCGAAGTTTTCAAAGCGATTGCTACCCCGTTTGCGTACGGATCGTCGAGTTTCGTGTACGGTTCTGGAGCCCTTGAAAAATAAATTCCCAGCTTGACCTGGGGCCGACGACTAGACCGTTCTCGCAAACGGTTGCGTCCTAAGACTAAGAAAACATGAAAGAATTCTTGCACTGACACGCGGATGAACGCCCCGCGAAGCATGAACGAGATAATATTCCGTCCGCTCTGAGCGCAGGATCTCGAGTACACCCAAAACAGGCACCTTAAGGGCAGACAGTGCCACGTCGACAGCTTATCGGAAAGTGGATTTCATAGTACTATGGAACTGCCTCTGCGGTCTGTTGGCCTTTTGAACGAGGAGAACGCCAGGGTCCGCACCCAGAGTCGTGAAGTTGAATCGAGTGCTTTGCTTCCGTGACTCGAACTATCACCAGTTGACAGGTTACGAGTGCCCATTGCTCGAGGCCTGGGATATCTATCGCAGCTGTAATTGCAGGACCCTTCGTGGAAAATATATCCCCGTTTCGACTTCAAATCAATGTAGCGCCTATTATTAACCGAAGATACGATGAGACCAATGAAGTCACTTACAAAGAAACCCACGATGTTTCTAGAATACTGATTAGCAATCAAAAGTGACGACCTCCAAACTTTGTCGAAGAGTTGGTCTTTAACCTTACGACAATCCCAATCATCGCCGACTAGCCACGTCAACATTTATAGAGAATGGACTTCGCTCTGTCGCCACCGATAGGCTTTCCGCGGCCGCCCAAATGCTCGCTGGACCCGCTCAAATGCTATAGTTGTTCAAAGTATCTCGAAGGAAAGGATGCGAGGATCATACCCTGCAAACCCATTTTTCTTGGGGGCGTCGCAACGGATGCATGGGCTGCTGGGGATCGGGAGAAAAAGGCCGTGACGATCGCGCATTTTAACAATTTGGCGCAGTCCTCTGAGTGACCAGACAGGGTTCTTGGCAGACAGGAAACGTATGTTTTCGGCCCTTGAACCATGATGTCTTCCGCCTGATGCAGTTGAGGCGAATGCAGATGATATTACCTGACTGGCTTCAAGCGTGCGGTTTGTATCTTGTCTGGAACGATCTCCGACAAATCCGAAATCCTGGTGTCTCAGTTTGCCCCCGCTGTGGAATTCCGGCCTCAGGCAGTCCTTCGCACCGGTTACAGGCCGCCGTAGAGGATGTCGTCCAGGTAGGAATCCCCTATCCCGGGCCCCCAGATAGCAGACCGATAACACAGGCTTCTAGGGATGTGACCGCGCACACTGATGCCGTACAGGTTCAGACAAAGGCTCAGAAACAGGCTATTCTAACACGGAGATGTCTACGGAGACTGACACTGTACGGTGCCTATCGTGTGGACATGCCGATTCCGGATACCCCAGCATTTGACTATACCCCTGCTATGAGGGGTATAGTTGAAAGGATATTAGCCGCCAACGAGTTAGCAAGAGGTCAGAGCTCGGAGCATCTCGATCAATACAAGAAACAATGCGCAGAAATAGGACACGCGATGGACACTGTTAAGGGTGTGGGGTCCGTATCCCACAATTACGATCCATTTTCATCTAGCAATGACATATTTGGATCTCGACAAGACCTGGTCAAGGAAGTCGGGCTGGTTCGGATGTGAAGGCATAAAACATGTTTGCCAAAAAGTTGAAGTGTGTCTTGTTATTGACTTGGACATACCCGGTCAAGTCTACTTGTACAATTCTCCATTTTTCAACGTTCCGGTTGGATGGACGCTGAAACTTGCGAAATGGATCTCCTCGATATGGTTGAGCTTTGCCAAATATGTCCGGCCTTGAGAAGCTCACATCCTCCCATGGGAGCGTCGAACCAGGCTTCTACCTTCATACCGCAGCCCTCGCCCGCAGGATATGTTGCCCGAAATAGACATTCCTATTTCTTGACCTCAGCGGCTATAAGTGCCCGCTGTCATGAATGCTTCAGCCCTGGAGCCAGCCTTCATATCAGCAGGATATCGATCTCCTGCCGGTCGATACGCGAGAAAACGCTCGCATAATTCACCTTAGCCTTACCAGTGGTTGCCCCTTTGGCTGGACCGGATACTGCGTCCGTGAAGGCCGGTGGCTATCACTATGGTATCGCAGCCCGTCAAGAATCATGGCTATCAGCCCAATGAGCTAGATTCTCGTTCGTCTGGTACCATGACAGCTATCTCGTATCGAGTATTGGCCGACAGTGCCAGAAAGGACAGGTCTGCGAGGCCTGGATAAAGTCCTCACATAGAACTTTGCATGCACGCCTTTCGACCTTGGATTGATCCAAGGCGGTATCCCGACCACGCTTGCAAACACTGGACTGGCTGTGATTCTTCTCAGAATCCCACAGAGAGGAGTGCTCTGCAGTTCACATGCCACTTTGAAGGTGCTTTGGAGGCCACACTCAATGGCGGCAGAATTCCCTGCGAACTTGCAAAGGTATCTTATCTTGTCCTCGAAGCACTCAATAGAACAGAGATAGGTTCAATCGAGAATACCATCGAATTCGCAGGTAGCTTGGCTGCCGCAGTGCTTTAATATACGAGATCGAACAAGAGCCTGCTGCGAGGCAAGAAAAAGCGCTGATTGGAAAATGAGAAAAGTCAGAGAAGACGGCATCAACAGGTCTATACTGCATCTATCAAAATACCGAAAGCACTAAGCGTCAGCATCTCTTGCAGATTATGCCTTCAGCCGCACGTTCATTCTGGTTGACCTACAGTACAATCAGCGCCGTCTCCTTCTGGCGCCGCGTGAATTGAACGATTGGCTAAAGGTTCCAACACAAGGTATACTGCTGTGGGACAGGATGGAGGTGTTTGAGAACTGTGATATACTTGATCTGCCAATCTTCAAAAATGACGGAATCCGAGCGCGATCACTTACCCAGAGCATGAGAAATATCTTTGGAGATTCATGACAGTTCATAGTCGCTATTGCGATAATGTGATTATATATGGCGGGGCTGTTGGGCCTGGAAACCAACAAGGACTGGATCAGCCTGATCCGGAGGGATCCTTCGGTGTCACCCTTCTTTAAGAGCAGCATCGAGAGTTATAAAAACTTGTATAACACGGATCTTAAGGGTCCCAAGATCCCCAAATATAACCCAGAGATGTTGTACTTGTTATGGAAGGACTGATTATATGATATGATCCTCTGCGCCCCGGAGGCCCCTGTGCTAAAGCTTGATGATCCTGATTTCGAGTTGAAGAAGAATATGTATGAGACCCTTGTGATTGGCAACTACGCCTTCAGGTTTATGATGGCTAAGCAGTTATTATTTAAGCGGTCGGACCTGCAGAACAGGAAGCGGGTGATTGATAATGAGGATTGGTTTACCGCGATCTTAACTGTTAACTGGGCTAACCGGAACTTCGGGGCGAGGAGTAACATTAGCGAGGATGGTGGCCAGGTAAGTGGACTGGCTTTACAGCCTGTGGTTTGAACTGATACTGACCAGAAGCAGAAAAAAAATAATAGTCCCTTTTAAGCGGCTTAGCCAGACGCAGGGGCTGGGCCAGAGTCCATTGGGTGTTGGCGGCGCGGCGCCGGGCGCTACCTTGGATATGCTCAATCTCACCGCGGATGAACTAGACACCCTGCACGCCGCGGACGGCATCATGGCCGGCAGCCCGGTGCACGCGGACGAGACGTACCGTGTGGTCGAGACTAAGGTAATCCAGGCCCTGGCAGACCGCGACCTGTCGTCCATCACCCGCCCCCCGATCGACGACAGGGTCCGGAACGATTATTCTTTCGACCCGCTACAACAAATTGAGGCTACAATTCGCAGGAATAGTAAGTCCATTACCTCCCCCCTAAACACCTTCTTAAGTGTGCAGCAGATTAACTGAGACTCCTGCATTCTAGCTCCGGTCTATTCGAGCCCTTCTGAAACTAGTTTGTTGCTGCGGTACGTGCGAGGATCCATATACTGTTTATATATCCGCCATTCCCTGACTGGACCTTCGAGATACCCCTCCAATATTGGTGCTTTGCGTTTTGCAGATATCCACGGAATGATAGAAGTCCTTAATCAGGGCTTTGACGATCAGGTTATATACCATTCGCGTCAATCCCGTTCTTCAACAGCCTGCATGTGGCCAATGGGTGAAAAACGCCTGATTCAGAAGTCGTCATCAGCAACCTACGAGCATTATAGGTAGCTCTACGGGAAATTGTTCACGAAAGCGGCAGGAAACGTTTAAGACCTGGAAATATTAATCCGCGCAGATGGGATAATGAAAGCTCCCAGGGGCTGAATATGATCAGCAGAAAGCTCTGGGCTGCTATCCGCCCCGTTCTAACAAAGCATTCAGAGAACGCGTCTGAAGTCTGCGTTTCCAAGAAATGAACAGCGTGAGCTAAGTTCTAATCACTGCGTCGAAAGGTCGTTTACCAACCCTGAGGTATGGTTTCTTTTCCCGGTGTCTTTATTGATTGCTAAGTAATTAATCGGAAAGGTCTGCGGCGAATCGAAGAGCGTTTCTGATCCGCTTATTGATTTCATACAAGCACAGGGTGGCCTTAAATTAAATTAGTGCAAGATAGCATGTTGAGCTATCTTCAAGACGGCCCTAAAGCGTCATTCAAACACCAATGTCACCCCGAAACCTTTCGTATCCTTACATCTCAAAGGTCGTTACTGACTGCTGATAACTGCGTATATGTTACCGCAGGAGTTTTTCGATGACCATATGTTCATCCTTTGCGGACCCGTCTGGTACACACCTTGACTCATTGCGTTGCCCCCTTCCCCCGTGGCTTTGCCCGAGTTTGCCTTGCACCTGGAGCCCCTGCACCATTTGTGCCATTTGTGTGATTCGACAGGGGGGAATGGGATCGACCTGTCCGGTGGCAGTCTCTGCCGACGTGTGGCGGGCCAGCCGCAGGATCGAATTGAGCTCGGCTGGTTTATACCAACCCGGCAAGTTGATACGGATCCTTGGGCTGCCCCTGGACAGGCGCGAGTCCCTGTCTACCCCGGAATGCCAGTGGGTCCAGGATCCGGTCCGGCGGCTACCCTTGTAGTACAAGAGTAATGCCCCCGTTGACAAGCTTGCTATGAGAGCTCAGTACCGCGGGAGTTATATAGACGAGCTGAGGCTTCTTCTCCTTCGTTAAATCAGCCGCAAGATTGCATTTCGCTTTCACAGCTGCTCGCTTGGTTACTGCTCTACCGGGAGGAGCCTTACAAGATACCACAATAATCACCAAAGCCTGGCGAAAGGATTCGGAAATCAGTTAGCCAGTCAATCAAAAGCATCACAGGATTGAATCGGGCTGCAAAGAGCTTTTAAAAAAAGCCGTCTGATATGCAAGAAATTTCACATCTGGCACATGCATGAAAAGATGACTGCGAAATTTACGGCCGAGTGCTTTCACATGGATTGATGCAGAATTTGAAGCCAATCTGGCGTTTCCCATTGAGTTATGGGATATCCAATCAGCAGAGATTCCACTGAGCTCTTTAGTCGTCATGACCCAAGGCATTCAGTTACTTATTGGGTCCTGATCCGGAGGCCAGGGTTAGTTCAAGGTTTTGGCGTTTCAATCTACGTTAATTCCATTCGCAGTTACATTCTGTTCGAAGAGACCTGATGCCTACAGTCAATACCTACACAAAGATGGTGTTAGCCGGCGTGGTAACGACATTACTAGCAGAAGGCTGATCAGCACTCAGTGAAAATAATGCCTTGGACCAGCGTTATACCCAACCTTCCTCTATGTCTTGGATCTTTTTCATATAGACAATTAAAGTGTCGCCCTTGACAGTATCGAACTCATGGGAAGGAGCGATATGGAGGCACGAGAGAAAGCCGGCGTCGAGAGAATGGACGACAAAGCGGCCTTAGATCTCTGGCCCTTCGAATCAGGTGCAAATACTGCCCCATGCTAAGGAGCTATGCGGCCGGACAGCTTCGATGCTCCCGTGGTGAAATGAACGCGTTGTCATACGATCCAGACTGGATGAAGATATACCTTCAATTACCAAACCCTCCAAACAACAAGAGCTTTGCCAGCCTGCCGATGACTTCTCCTTGGAAACTACGAGTGTATTCTGCTTTTCCCGATTAAGGTATCCATGACTTCATGAAACGGATAGGTTCCTTCGCTTGATCACAGACTCCACTGGATAGAAACATCAGCAAGTCAATATTTTCGAACGGCTGCAAACCGAATATCTAACTTGGAATTCCAAACACCCTTCGCAGAGACGTCTCACTTAAGGGAAAACTCCTGGGAAACAGGAAGGGTGAGCTGTGAATTCTCATGGGCGAAGGGTCTATCGAGACCCGATATTGTCTTTCCGCCGAGTACATTCGCGACATCTGCCTACAGATGACACAGGAGAGGAACAAAGACTGACTGTTTGTCAACGGACCGGGCCTAAGGATTGACAGAGAGATGCCCGAGAACAATCGACGGATAGAAGGTAAAGATTTGCTTCGAGAAGGCTCCAGGTAGCCAAAGAAGCTGCACCGGGTCTCTTGAACAGGGAGAAAACATCTTTCGAATACACAGGAACGAACGCTACCTACCCTGTTGATATGAAACTATACGATTTTGATACAGCCAATATCGACCACCTTCCTTACCATTTCTTCCGGGACATCGCAGATCCCACACCACACTATCGCAAAAGTTCTACATGATTGTGTCATGGAAGAGTCTACCAATAAAGAGGACTTGACATGGGCCGATTCAACTAGATCAAGATTCTCGCGAATTGAAGTTGTGGTCTTTGAAGTCTCCTTTTCGAGTTTCTTGTTTATATTTACGCACGCAGAGTCGCAGACGCGATTCAGCGATGGTATCATTGGGTCGGCTTCCAGTCGCGCGATGCGATGGACGCACCGCCAGGGATGACTTGACGGCCCTGGACCGGTGGTTTGCCCAAGCCGCGATGATAGGGTCTCTCTGGCGGGCGTCACCAAGACGCTGCAAGATGTACTGCGGGAGATCCCATTCATCTGACGGCTGTCGAATTCCAAACAGTTCGGTCACCCGATCTTACCCCTGCCGCCGCGGTGGGGATATGACCTGAGCTGCCAGGTCCCCGAAATAGCCCCCCTGTCTGGGATCGAGTATGAGATAATCTGGAGTTCCATCCCGATAAAACAGCGGGCAACCCAAGGCCGCTCTTTTAATGATCCGAACAAGCCGTGCTAGGTGCTTCTGACCACATACACGGTAGGGGTTCGGGGCTGAACGCACACCGTGAGTGCTGCTGGGCTATCCTGATAGCGTTGCCGCCAAACCTCTCCCTTCTACTTCATGCGGTCAGACATCTATACCGGCTGGGGCAGCGCCACTCCTAGAAGGCCTGGGTCCTGTTCTAAGAGCACACAATAACCCGCTGGTAAGAGTATAACATCTCTACAAAGGCAGTTGGATAGCTTGCGGCAAATATGTGATACCAGATAAAATTAGAGGCAGAGGCCCCTGCCAATTACCACCCGGGCAAGGCCCAGAGGGGTGCCGCGATACGGAGCAGGACAACCAGGAGAATGTTTGCCGCAGAGATTGGCTAGATGGTAAGGGCGCAGTTGATACACATGCTTGGGCAGCGCAGCTGGCGAATGGATGATGATGACGTTATGAACCCGGGGTTTAGTGATGACGAGCCGGAAGTAAGACCCCCTGCCTCCTTCTTGATACGCTCGTGAGTACTAATATAGATGCTAGGCTGTATTTATATTGAGGTTCAGGCAGAGATAGGAGTGGCGGATATTCGCTACTGAAGTTGGATATAAAAGTGAAGAGCCGGAGATCTGGCCCGCACAGAGTATCTCACTCATGCTAAGATCCAGTCGTTTGTTGGTATGCCCTTTTGATCAGTTCAGAAATAGAGTATTACATCGAGAGCAACTCGGGGACTAGAACGGCGACATGTGCAAATTTGTGATTTCCGAGTTCGAATCTGGATGCTGGATGTTATTGATGACATGTGTCAAAAACAAGCAGCAGGTAAGCTTTAACTTTCAAAAGCTGTTGTCTCGGTGCGCCTTACAAAGCTAACCTCTTCTTAGGGCGGGGGAAGAATTTGACGACCTTAAAGAAACGCTACCAGCAGCTTTAAAGACAAAAGCCATGCTGCCAGTGTGTTCAAAGTGGGAAGCCCCGTCGGAATACGACCGCAGACTTCGTCAAGGGCTATAGGAGCTCCCTGAACCCGCCGCTAGGCACTAGAAACTCCCGAGAAAAGCCGACCGATTCTGTCGATCGGTTCTGTTGGTGATCCACAACCTTTGTGAGAAATAAGTATGAAGAAGTTGAGATCAGGCATGAACGTCAGCAAAAGGCTCAAGAAAGTAAAGAGCTACACAGACATTCTCTCTACCAATATACGTCCGAACCAGTTGCTGGAGAATCCATTGCAATCTTGCCCTCCGGTGACTCGTACATGGCTGTACCTCTCGACAATATTGGAAGGAGACATCGAGGGTTGAAAAGTCGACAATCAAAGCGGGCATAGAAACAGACCTGTCTCGATCTACGGTTTCGGGATCCTTATACCCCCCAACCCAAGTGTCTGATTAGGCGGGCTATGAAGGCACGGCCTCGGGCTTCCTAGTGGGCTGAGGATAGAGTTCGAGGGCTACTTTGATATGGACATTTCTAAACAGCACTATCATTGGTAGACTCCTTACACATTCTTAAAATACTGCGAGGCGACTTTTGTTCGCTCTGAAGCGCTCGGGTATAAAAGTCTACTCAGAAACATCTGATGTGCCTCAGACTTCCCGCAAACATAGAATCACAGGCTGCAAGGAGTAGAGCACCAGCCTCACAGGCGCATCATCTCAGGCACGACAGAAAGAGTTGCGGTATTTCCCGCTGAATATCCTATCACCGAATCTTGTTTACTATGTCGATCAGAGCAATCGGGATGATAAGGCTCAGCAATCTACACAGCCATGCTTAATCGCCATCGCTGATGCAACACTGCACCCGGAAAGCCGAGGATGATAAAGAAGCAAAGGCAGACCGCAGAGACTAAGCTTTAGATGAAGATGTCGAACAAGGATCGATTAAGCCCCAGGTTGGGATCATAAATGATCTATTTGATGACGCATCTCTGGAGGTTGCTACTACTTACATCGCGGGTATTCAGTATGACATCTTTGAAATCCTTTAACTATACGGATCGGGGATATTTAATCATTCGTCAGCCCGAGCTTCCTTTCTTCAGCGCACATGCTCAACTTCCGGAATAAACAGCCTCTCACCCTTTCTGCGGACCTTTGCACAAAAACCAGGATTCATACCGAAAGCATGGCGAAGCGCTAAAAGAGAGCGACGAAAGCCGGATAAAGCTAGCCGTACTAGGACCACGCGGAGGTCTCTTAAAACTGCTGCGAAATAAGACTTCAACGATCGACCTCCTGTACAATCTGACGCAGACCGATGGGTTTGATCAGAACCATTACGGGCATCACATGTTCAATCTCTGGTTATTCCAGTCTACCGCGCAGTTGTTGGAGGCCATGAGTACGACAATGAGGTATACCAATACCGACAGTTACTGTTCAGAGCCGCCTTCAATAACGGCCATTAATGAGGCTAGCACTACAGAGCGGGTGGAGCACAAGTGACTGACGACGAAAGCTACGAGAGTGAGGGTGATAGGACTAGGGCAAGAAAACTGACTCCAGCAGTCAGCGTCTTGTGTCTTCTCACCAAGGATAATCCAGTTGCCCTGACCATCAAAATGTACGCACTTAGATTCATCATCCTCGGTAGGAACATTCCGAAGATGTGGAGGAATGCTTGAGTTTATCGGTTTTGGTTGTCCTGCGAGGCTATAGAAGAATAATGACTGTATCTATAAGATTGATATCGGTGAATAATCAGCGGTTCACTTCCTGCGACGTCTCAATAATCCCAGTAGCGCCGAGTATAGGCCTCTTGGACCCATAGCCGAATTTAATAGATCAGTAACCTGTGGCGTGTGTCTTGTACGAAGTGTAGATCCACATTCTGCTGCGGCGGCCAGAGGGCGCGCAACCAGGAGAACCGCGAAGCCCGCCGGGAGGCAATCCAGACGCTCCCTGATGGTCAAACTTGGCGTTGTTGGTAGTTCAATAAATTGGCAACCCGATCTAAAGTTTAGCAGGACAGTGGGGCAATTTGTGTCAAAAAAGGCAACACTGCGAAGTGAGTAGTAGGATCGGTCATGGGGAGACTGGCTACCACTATCTGGGCCCCTGAAAAGTAGAACCAAAGGTTAAAAAGATAGAAAAACAGCTAGACAGTATAGATTTAGGCTATTTAGGAGAAAATACTATTATTAGCAGATATGATTAATACGCGAAATGAATCCTTCTCTAAGTCTTCTCAATCATTATATTGAAAAGACATCTAAAAGCGCAGATTGCCGGAAGATCTGCTACACGGCAGGACCTTTATTAAACCAGCCAAAACTGTCACGGTGCAACTTCTGGGGCGAAGGAAGTCAAGAGTATGACACCATAAAAGCATCATTATTAGAACAGTTAGCCTTAATATTATAAATAATAGCCGCCAGACACGCGCCTCACAGTCCCTTTTCTACAACCTTTATCTTTCCCTTTCCCTCAGCCTCATTTGAGAGCCATTATTTCTACTATTCTCATATTGAGCCAAAGGCAGATCTCATGGCCAAGTATTTATTCAAGTTCTTTAATATATTCGTTCAATCCCTAGGATCGGTAGCTGGAATCCGCGAGAGCCAGGTATCGGACGATCTATATTTATATGAGAGGAAGCCAGCGGCTTTACATTCGAGCTGTCTGAATGAGTGTAACATCTTATTCACAGAGGTTGTATTTCACGCATACTGTGAGCGATCCCTCCATCCAGGCCGAAGATATTCGCCATCAAACAGGGGATCAAAGCCTGATCTATGTACACCCATGACCTTCCATTTCACATCGACCGCCCCTCCAGCTTGCTCCATGGCCCAAACGCTAAGGCCGACAGTGTTGTTACCGCTATAGTTGAGGATACCTGGAAATACTGGAGGACTTTTAGTCAGCGACCTTCAGGTTGGGTTTGAAGGTCTCCAAAAATACATACCGGGAAAGGTTCTTTCGTTAGAGATAAAAGGTAAAGTCTTCGCAAATTGATACCCATTCACGTATAGCTGAGCCCGAAGCTTCGCCTTTTTCTCAGTATGCAGTTGAAACGCTAAGCTAACGTCATAGCCCCTCGGAATATCCAATGGCACGACGGTCCTGTAGAAGCGTGAACCAGCGCCGGTGAATCCGTCCCCGGGGACTCCTGATTCCCAATGGCTGTCGTCAAATCCCGGTAGGTGCCAGCCAAGACGCTCTGCATGAAGGCCACCTTCATTGTACGTACCGCGTATTGGCTCGAGGAGATGGTTTCCACCAGCATTGCCGGCCACCTTCCACGAGGAGAAGTTCGCAGCCGAGCCATCTGCAGCGTACAATGTTGCGTTTAGAATGCCGCGTGGATCGGGCGCTGCTTCGCGCTGCTCCTTGCCCATGGTGTCTTGGATGACGAATAAAACGTTTTCCTTGGTTGTGTGGAGCGTGACATCCTCGAATGAGACCTCTAGCTCCCCTGTCTTATTGGCCATTGAGCCATACCAGGATCCAAGGAATTCGCCATTGATGTAGGCCGAAAACCCGCTTGCCAGGCCTCCAATGACACGGAGGTATGCGCCTGAGGGAGGTTGATCTTCTGAAGCGTGGAATCGACCTCGCCAAAGAATGTTACCGGCTTGGTAGCCATACTCGTCTGCAAACAGAACGGGGTAGGTATCGGGAGGAACAAAATGAGGAGTTTCCATATGATCGGCGTCTGTCAGAGAATAAGTCAACACAGACGGTAATGAGTATCTGTGGATGTTCAGCAGCCTACCAGTCCAGTTAGAGTCGTCATAGTTTACAGCGGTCTCTGGGAGATTTTCTGCCACTTTCCAGTTGATAACGGGTGGCAGCTCAGCAGCAAGACTTTCAATGGTAACGTCGGCGGCGGGAAGAGTGCCTCTCAAACTTGCGTATTTGGACTTCATGACCTTGACCTTTAAGCCGTTGAATGTAACATGTTTGACATTCTTCGGAGCCCAGATCTCTAAGTCAGTCTCTTCGTTCCAGTCACCCGTGACGTGGATGGTGTCGCCGTTTATTTTGGCGGTACGGATGAGATAAGGCCCATGGACAAGAACTAAAGAAAGCTTTCAGTACTTGTTTATCAGGTCTTTCTCTTCAGGAATGGGCTTAGTTACCGGTTGAGCTTTCCCATGCAAGGGGGTTGTTATCCAAAGTCGGAGCCCAAAACTTGTACGCAGACTGCCGGTCGACCACCACAGCTTGGACGTCATTGTCGTAATCAATGACTGTCGACTCTTTGCCGGTGACCACATTTGTCACAATACCATTTCTGGTCTTTGTCAAAGTATCGTTGCTATTCTTTCCTATGACGTTGCCCCACTTGGCGCCGTTAATCAAGAACTCGCCCTGTTCGCCTGCCGGGGCCCAGAAGACAACAACTTGACGATCACCTAGGTCGCTGACGGTGAGGACTTCCAAGGTAGCGTAAGTGATCTTCTTGCTGGATGAACCGATATTGAAGTTGGTGACCAGAACTTTGGACTCCGTTCCATTGATTGTGATTGATCCTTTGCGTGGGACCCTCAATCTGCCAGCCTCAGTGGTGACATTCAGGCGGAATTTGGTCAGCTCCGTTAAAGGGGAGTATTCATGGCGGACAACGTAAAAGGCCGCGCCAGTATCGGGGTTTCGGAGCTCAGTGGTGAGTATACTTCCGTCTGTAGCATACGCCGTGCTGTTTGCTACTCGCTTCACCTTGGTGAAGTCGCGGGCAGATCGCATGAAAAGGCCAAAGAGCTTTGCTTCGTTAAACTTGTCGCCGATTAAGCGATTCTCGTGGATGGGCGACGAGTAGTCATAACTGGTACCGACCTCGGGGAAGCCAATGTTTCCCCAGTTGGTTCCTCCATAGAGCATGTAGATGTTTACAGCAGATACCTTCTGTGCCAGGTTATGCCGAAAGAACAGATTGACCCAAGGAGGTCCCATATTCTCCTTACAGCCGCCCGCTGGACCATCCCAGGGGTTGAATGAGCCTCCCTGAAACTCCATGAGGAACGAAGGCTGGGTCGATGACACCTGCTGGAAGTGGTCATAGTAGTTGAAAACCGTGTAGGGCTCCACATGGCCATTGACTGACAGGCACTGGTCTAGATCGCAGGTCCAGCAGGCCGGATAATGATCAAGGCCATACATGTCGACTTCACCACCGACGCTGCTGTAATCTTTCGACCAGGATCGGGTCCGCATATTGGGGTTATTGTGGGTGAGAGGAACATCGATACCCCATTCTCTATGGCTGTCCTGAAGAAGCTCCATATAATTAATAGCGGTCTCATTCGGTGTTTTCAGATCAGGATCAAGCCATTGCACTCCGTACTCGTTTTCAATTTGCCACATGATGATAGGCCCTCCGTTGGTAATGAGATATGGACGGACATAGTCTGCAACGGCCTTGGAGTACCGAGTCCAAGCCTTGGTGTATTTCTCACTGTCGTCGCGGAGTGGGCCATACTCGCCTGTAGTCAACCAACCGGGGAAGCCTCCGCCATTTGCCTCAGCGTTGCTGTATGGACCCGGTCGGTAGATGACATAAAGACCAATTTCCTTTGCGAGTTCAAAAGCCTTTGCGAAGTCATGTGCACCAGTCTCGAAGTCTAAGGTCTCGTTGTTAGGAGCATGCCATCCCCAGTGCTCATAAAGGCCAATTCCGTTGAAACTGCTCGTGTTAGCGCAAATTCAACTACACAGATATGTATTTGAAGTAAATGTACCCAGCTGCCTTAATCTTCTCCAAGATGTCACGCCATAACTCGGGCACGGGGATGCGCCACAAATGCAACTTTCAGGATATTAGCTATGTTGAGGGGTTTTGGTGTTGTGTACTACTCACCTCTCCAGACCAAAGGAACAGCCTTTCTCCATTAACCTGGATACTATAGTGGTCCCTGTTATACTAAGTAAGCCTTAAGATAGGACAGCCCGTGGTGAGCAAGGTATATCATACCATTGAACAACCTTATTCAGACCATTGTCGTGCAATGGCCAGTCTTGAGCTGTGGAAGGGGTTGCCAATCCAAGGGCAAGGGCGGTATTCAAAGTGTGCCACAGCCTCATCCTCGCAGAGGGAAATATCAGAAGTGACCAAAAGGAAACCGGATGGCAAGATGCTGATAACACATGTGATGAACCATACCAATTAATGAACGTTGTCCGAGTACGTCCTTTCTGTTCTTTTATACTTTACTCGAATAAAATGGAATGTCCAAAGATCTCTAGTTCGATAATATCCCCGCGATGCACTTCCCCGCTTCATCATTTCCCAGAATCTCTCTTTCAAGGGGTGTTACCTGCAGATTAGCTTGGCAGTATGGACATGACACTCCATAGTGGCACACGATGGTGTCGGAAAAGCCCTGTCATACGTCAACATCCGTCTTGGCCGCTTATCTGCGTTATCTTTGGTTATCCGACGGCTAATTCACCCGAACAATGCCATGATTATTAGTGGCTCAGACCCACTTGACATCCTGCGAACTATTCGCCCATGGGTCATAACTCATAATTACTATTCGTTTTCTTTCGTGGGTTAATATAAATCCTTGACAAGGCACTTGGGAAGCGCATCGAGAGATGCCACCACGATAGTGCTCTACTCCTTGTCTTATTATTAGCGCCTTGAGCTATTCATTTATTATATGTTGGTGGACATTCGATGGCGAGTCGACTATTCCCTCTCGGAATATTTAATTCTCACCGTGATTCCTCCAAGGTATCCATTGTGAGCAGTAGAGAAGATAACGGAACATGGAACTAATGGGCGAAACATGAAGGAGTTCGATCCCCAGTTCGTTCGTTTCATGTTAGACAGCGGAAGCCGTTTGGTATATTAATGACAAGACTAGCATATAGACTAAAATCAGTAGGGCTGTGTTGCTAACAGCTACATAGGTTACGGATACTCCGAGGAGGGTCCGGCCGAGCCCTAAGGGACCCGGTGGTTACGAATCTTGACCCGCCTATAGGAACCCGTTTTCCGAATATATAATCAACTATTCTGGTATCGAGTTGTGCCTACTCCCCCGGTATTTGCTTCAGAATCTATCTTCTATTCCAGCTCATGATGCAGGAACTTCTCAAAGCCCTCCTTGCGGTGGCAATGTCCATGCCGTTGCATACTGCTTGTGCCTCATCACCAGGCGATGTCAAACCTAGGGCAGATCCTCTGACATATGTCGGTGTGGACTGGTCATCTGTCATCGTCGAGGAACGTGACAACGGCGTCGTCTACAAGAACTCACAGTCCGTCGAGATGCCGCTGGAGAGTATCCTTGTCGAAGCAGGCGTCAACATGGTGCGTCAACGCGTCTGGACCGTGGATGGCGACTACGGACTGCAGTACAACCTGAAACTGGCGCGACGAGCGACCAAAGCTGGCTTAATGTTTGGCCTCAACCTCCACTACAGCGACACATGGACGAACCCAGACCTGCAAGACATTCCCACCGGCTGGCCGCATAATATCGACTCGCTCGAAAATAAACTCTACGCCTACACGACAGAAGTGTGCGAAACGTTCGCGGCAGAGAATCTCCACCCCGAGACTATTACCATCGGCAACGAAATACCATCCGGAATGCTATGGCCCACAGGCCATTATGAAAACCCCGAGAACCTGGCCCGGCTGCTACACACCGCCGCCAGGGCCGTTCGAGATTCGTCGCTGGGAGACCACACAAAGGTCGTGACTCATCTCGCCCATGGCTACGATGTTGAGCTCCAGCATTGGTTTTACGACTTGGTCTTGGACACTGGACTACTCTCTGTGGATGACTGGGATGTCATCGCTGTCTCATTTTACCCATTCTGGGGGGAGGGAGCGACGATGGCCGCGTTGAACACGAGTCTGACGAGCCTATCAACGAAGTATAACAAGGAGGTTCAGGTGGTGGAGACGAACTGGCCGACGGAATGTAGTAACCCGGATTATCCATTCCCGGAGGATCAGCTCGACATTCCGCTCAGCCCGGCTGGTCAGACTCAGTATCTCCAGCTGTTGGCCTCTACCCTCAAGGCCATACCAGCTGCGACTGGCCTGAACTACTGGGAGGCCGCTTGGGTCAATAATGCCGTTTTGGGGTCGTCCTGCGAACGCAACATCATGTTTGACGCTAATGGCCAGGCTTATGACAGTTTGTCCGTCTTCGGGTCTCTTTATTAAGGCGGGAGGTGGATGAGACGTAATGGAGATTTGAGACACTGCGATAGTATTTGGGCTACATCGTAATTACGTTCATAGTGGAAATTCTGATGTGTTAATGCATCTCTTATGCGCAAGTATACAGAGTTGGTTAAACTAAATCCCCTGACAGCTCGCGATAAGCTCCTCCGGTTGTTGTGTGTAATCTTTAGAGCTGCGTTTGATTTCGGGAAGTTCCAAGCCCATGCTCAACATCAGTACCGGCATTGTACAGGTAAATCGAACAATTAATAGCGGGAGTTGCTTATGAAAAGGGGCTTTCAAATTCCAGAATTGTCATGTTTGAGAAATACTATTTTTAGTACAGACAAAAGTTTGCGTGTCCTGGATCCTTTCACTCGAGGGATCTGCTATGCCGCATGCATCTTCTCCAAGGTGACCAAGGAATTGTCTAGGGCATTTTATAAGCCAGCTCTACACATCGGAGAAAGGCTTCCGACGGATGTAAGGCGTGAACTGTCATTAGTGCATAGGTTCCGTCGGATGAAAAGGTCCCTTGCAAGCCAAAAATGGAATAACTAGGCGTCTTGGAGGATCCTTAGTGTTTCTTTTATTATATTATCTCTAACATCTAAGTGAGATCAGGTCAACTCACGGGCTCAGAGATATCCGCGTTCTATCCCGGATTTGTGCCCGTCGGTTTAAGCTAATTCGGTTATGGGCATCGAGGCTGTATCTGTCCGTTTAAAGTGTGCCTAGGCCACAGATGAAATGCTATTTCTTTGGTTCAACTGCTTTAATTGGACTCTTTGGCGCTCACCGGACATTTCTTCAAAGAGACCGCAACAAAGAATGGTCACCGATACCGAGAATGCCCGTGAAACAACGTATATATCGAAGACCGAGGCGCCTATCACCTGGAAAGCATATGTTGTTTGTGTGTCAGCTGCCTTTGGCGGAGTGTTCTTTGGATATGATATCGGGTGGATGTCAGGGGTGCTGGGAACCCCGATTGTGATCCAGCAATATACTGGTATGGAGCATGACTTCAATGCCGGAGCCCCTGTTGATTCGTCCCGTCCACTTACCATCCCTTCTTCTGACACGTCCCTCTTGACTTCGATGCTGTCACTTGGAACGTTCATTGGGTCTCTTATTCCCGGTGATCTGGCTGATCTATGGGGCCGGTGCATCACTATCCTTATGGGATGCGCCATCTTTGCCTGTGGCGTTATCGTGGAAATCGCCAGCAGTGACCAGATAGGTGTCATCACGGTCGGATGTCTGGTAGCCGGTCTGTGTGTTGGTTTCGAATCCGCTGTCATCATCCTTTACATGTCCGAGGCTTCACCCAAGATGAGAAGGGGTACACTTCTCTCGGCCTACCAGTTCTCCATGCAAGTCAATCTGGAAGAACTTTGATAATATTTTACTTTTCTAGATATTACTAAAGCATCCACAGCACAATCGGCATGTTGCTAGCAAACTGTGTTGTTTACGCCAGCCAGGATACAAATGATACCGACTCCTACCGTATTCCCATCGGGGTTCAGTTTCTCTGGGCTTGCGTACTCGCCACCGCACTGTTTCTTTTGCGTATAACTCCCACCTCGACCCTCTCATCTTTGTCTTCCAAATGCTGACCGTAATGGAGCCGAGTCACCCCGATATTTCGTGAAGAAAAGAAGACACGACCACGCCGCCACATCTCTATCCTTCATCCGAGAACAGCCTATCGCCTCGGGGTACATCCAGAATGACCTTGCCGAAATCGTGTCCAATCACCAGTATGAGACAACGGTTAATCCTGAAAAAGGGCGGTTCAGCTCCTGGGCGATCTGCTTCAAGGGCCCAATCAGCAAACCCAGGTCCTATAGGGTATGCAGCAGTTGTCTGGGATGAATTTCATTTTCTATTATGGAACCACCTTCTTCCAGCAGCTGTGAACCATCTCCGACCCGTTCCTCAGCTCGCTGACTACCACACTTGTCAATGTTGTATGCACCGCCCTCGCATTCTGGACAATCGAGCGGTTTGGACGTCGCCCGTTGCTGATCTACGGCGGGTTATGCATGTTCTTGATGAAGTACATCATCGGGGCCGTCAGGACTGCTCAGCCCGAGAACGAAACAGCAATCAAGGGTGTGATTGCTGTTACATCCTTCCAGATCTTATTCTACTCCACAACCTGTGGCCCCGCAGCGTGGGTGGTTGTGGGAGAGACGTTCTCGCTCCCCATCCGCTCCCGTGGAGTGGCCATCTCGACAGCGTCATGCTGGTTCTAGAACCGTGTGCTAGCTGTTATCGCGCCTTATATGACGGGCAATGAAAAAGAGGCGGTCAGCCTCGGTACGAAAGCGTTCTTTTTCTGGGGTGGACTAAGTCTACTAGGCGCGCTGTTTGCATGCTTCCTTGTTCCGGAGATGAAGGCTTTCGCTCGAACAGATGAATCGTATGCTTGAGGAGAACAGCCTAAGGAAAAGTGCTCGCTGGATCCCTAAGGCAAGATTCGCTCAAGAGAATAGTGTTGACGACAAGCCTCAAATCATTCACCACAAGGGCGATGGAGGTCGTGGCGTTTAGATTACTCTGCCTTGTGGGGGTTTCATGAGCTCTATGGGGCACTCGTTTATGATAGTGGGTCTGTTTTAAGATACATTTGTCGACTGAATGTCCTTATCCCCCCTGGTTTGGAGGAATAAGACCCAGCAATTATTTGTATTGGCTTTTCGGGAAGACTCACCGAGCAAAAACATATAAATTCTAAGCAGCCCAAGTCGTTTGGGGATGAGAAGTCGTTCATCGCGAAAATAGGTTCATCGGCTAAATCTTGACCAGTCGAACAGTTTTATGTTGGCATGCTCAGCTGAAAGCAGACTCCTTATCCCTGTCGAGCTGCATGTGGTGTTTAGTTCAGCTGGTAAAATATAGATCCTAAGGCACCTCCCCGCATTCCCGAAGTGGACTAGGCCCACCGACTACGTCTCCGTCGATTTTCCCTCTTCAACCTCATCTCTTCTCGTCTTCATTCCATCCCATTGCCATGCCGCCAATGTCTTAATTGAATTATCCATCACTTGCAATCTGAGGAGTTGCACCATGGAGTCTCCTATGGGGCAAGAGAGCCTTGCTTTGCCTACCACTCCCAATTCATCGGAAGAGTGGTCCCGAAGATCAAATCGGATCCGCGTTACGCGTGCCTGCGACCGCTGCAAGAAGTAGGTTGTTCGGGACCATCTCCACCATCTCAGAATTTAACATTGCCTATCAATTATCTGATCGTGTTGACTTGGTTGAGTTGCAGACGAAAAGTACGGTGTTCTGGCCGTCAGCCATGCCAGGTATGTGTTTTGGCATCCGCGACTTGCTCCTACAACGCGTCGTACACCAGAGGGAGACGCCCAGCTACTCGAGTCACGCAAGTTGGTGCTTCGGCTGAAATAGCCGCAAATCCACAAACCTTCCATGGTGAGAGCCACAGGAATAAAGTCAATAATCGGATGAACGGCACGACCATCCGCAATCCAGAGGGGCTTGAACAACCACAGGGTTCAGTTGCTCAACAAGACGAATCCATGCCGCTGACTGAGCCCATCTCTCGCGCTTCACCTCAGCCGACACAGATTGATCTTCAGGGTCACTATGTAGGCCCTTCATCCGGTATCTCATTTCTCTCTCGAGTTCAGGCACGGCTCGACCAGTCGGTGTCCTTTCCTCGTGGTTTATCTGCTTTCAATTTCGGTGACGCCCCATTGCTTAATCATGACGCCGGCTTGAATCCTGGGGACATTCCTTCAACATATCTTGACCCAACGTTCCCCTTGCTACTTAACCGGGATGATACTTCCCGCCTTGTCCAGAGATATTTCGACTTCGCAGTCCCTGTGGACCGATTCTTGCATCGACCAACTATTGAAAAATGGTACAATGAGTTCTATGAGACCCATGGCGTGATGTACGATAAAAGCTCTGCGCCCACACAGACAGCTGTGCTCTTCATGATATTTGCTATCTCGCAGGAGCATACAGTTCCGAAGTCACCGTCAGTAGGAGCCGAAATGAGGTCTGTTGACATGCCACCTTGCATCCAGGAGTTATCCTATGGTATTAAATGATGCTAAGACGGCCTCCTAGTGTCCGATACTTCCGAGCAGCAAGCCACCAACTCTCCAAGGAGCAGGGCTCAGTGCGACTCGCAAGTATCCAAGTACGTCTTTGCCAGTGCCTTTGGTTCTTATCACAATCACGGATCAACCATTGTTGGAGTCTGTTCGGAACCATCGCTCGGCTTATCTTTGCTCTTGGCCTGCATCGAAATCGACATGCCTTCTCCAACTCCATGACCCAAGTCGAGATTGAGTGCCGCCGCCGGACGTTTTGGAGTGCATATAGCCTCGACAATTACCTCAGTATGGCGCTTGGAAGACCGCGGACTTTCAATGATAAGGACATCGATCAAGAGCTTCCCTCTTGTGTAGATGATGACGACGTTCATGGCAACATCGACAGATCTGCTCCGTCGTGTGGAAGAGGGCTTTCTGTCATGTTTGGCCCAATTAACTACGCAAGGTACATCGCCAGTACCTTTCTGCCTCAGGAGCTGACTGATGCTTTTCCTAGATTGTGCCGAGTATTGAGTGGCATTCTGGGTGACGTCTACTCTATTCAGCCTATGTCCATAACCGAGCGCTTAGCCCATACAAAAAAGTACATGAAAGACCTCAAAGCCTGGCGTATGGACATGTATGGCTTTCTCGACCAAGCTAGTTCAAACGCTGCGCCAGTAGTCTTGATTTACCAGCGACAGCAGAACGTCCTCAATCTTGCATACTGGCATACCATAATTCTTACGAACCGTCCACTACTACTAACAAATTTCGCAAGGCTAACGAATAGCACGCGGAGATGGGACGAGGGGGGACAGGAGCGAAAAGCACATATTGAAGAGCGCATATCTGATTGTCTCCATGCTGCAATGGAAATTACTGGCATAGTTGACATGATGACCCAAGCAAAGCAGCTCCTCCGCGCTTTCTGGGTATTTAAACTTCCTTTTCGGTGAATTTTCCAAGTTTATACTAACACGCAAGCCTCTAGTTTACTCCCTACTTTGCCTTCTCCGCTTCTGTCATCTTATATGTCTACACCATTCAACATAGCAAGGAGTCAGATGATGTATATCGGTCGTATTTCTCCGCCGCAGAGCGTTGTCAGCATCAGATCGCAGACGTAGCCGAAGAAGGATCTTTGACTTCTCGGTATTGTGTCGTCTTAGAAGAGCTCCGTGCCGAGGCTGTGCGGCAAATATCCCCGGTTGAGACTTCCGAGCACCCGTCCACACAGGTTTACCCTACCATGGACACGAGGGGTAGAGATATTGATACATTCGCCACAAATATTGGGGATATGTCAGCGGAATTCGCGATATCATCCCCGGACGTTGCAGCAATGGGTCCGCTGGAGGATTTGCACGTCAGTCCTGGCGATTCCCTTGAGGATCTGACAGGCTGGGGTAATTTTGACTCGATGGTGAGCACCCATGAAGTCTCTGCTTTATTGAGACCGTCGTTGGTTAATTGTGAGAATGGCAGGTTGTGTCTGGCTTCAATAGCGTGTACCATTTCAACTAACAAAACCACTCTTATCGTGGCACCTCTCGCAACAGCTCGGTGCTAATAACTTTTTCGCCCTTTATAAAGCCACGCGGGGCTGGGGGGATAATCACTATCGTAACCCAAGTTTTTTTTCCCAGCACTCCAAGTGCCCCTTCCTACATTAGGACATGCTCACGGGCAATCATACCGATAACCCCGATAGGTTAAGCACTGGAGACAGCCGGGTAGGTGTGGGTACCCCGAGTGGATACGGACATGTCGGAAGATTCGAACCAATAAAATCGCCCTTTCTACCCGACGGAAATCATTATCCGTCCTCTGCATCAAGCAAGACCCTTTTCCAAGACCAGGGGTTAGAAAATGGCACCACATTTAGCTTAAAGCCAAACCCCGCCATGAAAAGACTTACCCACAGCCAGATCCGTTGCAGCGTGACACAATAATGTCACTTCAAGGCAAAGTGTATGCCGTAACAGGCGGCGCAAGTGGTATCGGCCTGGCAACAGCCAAGCTGATCTCAGAGCGAGGAGGAACTGTCTGCATCGCGGATGTGAACCCCGATGCACTCCGTGAAGTTGAGTCACAGTTTGTCGCTAAAACATCACATGTTGCGTTCATGGTCACGAAACTTGACGTGGCGGACAAGCAGCAAGTCCAAGCCTGGATAGCCAGTATCGTTGCCAGGTATCATCGTCTAGATGGAGCAGCCAACATTGCGGGGGTTATTGGAAAGGACCATGGAACTAAGGCTGTGGCGGACCTTGATGATGATGAGTGGGATAATATCCTACGTGTGAACTTGACGGGTTTGATGTATTGTCTCCGGGCGGAGCTTAACAGCATAAGTGACGGTGGTTCCATTGTCAACATGGCTTCTATCCATGCCACAACCGGTGGGTCTCTCTCTCATAACACCCTGATTCTGCCGCCTTTGAGCTGGATGTCGCGCCATCTTAGCATCTCTCTAACCATCACCAGGTTTAGCAAATCACGGCGCCTACGCAGCGAGTAAACACGGCGTTTTAGGCCTGACTAGGGTTGCAGCGAAGGAGAATGGCCATCGAGAAGTTCGAGTGAATGCAGTTGCGCCAGGTCCGATCCACACGTCCATGATGCAGGGGTTCTGGGACCGGATAGGACGGCCGTCTGATGCAGCTTTTGATGATCCTATTGCGTTTCGGCGTCAAGGCACTGCCGAGGAGGTGGCGAACGTGATTGTCTTTTTGCTTGGACCGGAAAGCTCGTTTGTTAGTGGGAGTTGCTATTCTGTTGATGGGGCTTGGATATGATTGTATGTACGTAGTTCTGTCTGGGACGCAATGACTGCATGGTTTAGCTTCAGGGTGATTTGAGACACGCCTTGCAACATATAGCTGGTCTTTTTATGGGCCTGTTCACCAGTATGGGCGGGCGGCAATGAACCATTCCAGCAGACGATGATAAATTAAGTTTTTTTGGCAGAGACATATTTACAAGGTTGTTAGAGCACGCTCTCCTATGGATGACTAGAAACATCGGTTATAGTGTCCAAAATCATAATGCCGCCACGCAAAGCAGTTATATTGGCATTATGCTGGTTACGAAGCTTTTTTGTGTTTTTATGGTCCTCTAGGCCTCCTGACAGCTCTTTCAGTATTGCTGCATCAGTCTCTATAGTCTCCTCGCCATACAGCTAGCCCTACCACTCGCGCAGCTCCCCACACGGACCTCGAAACTCAGGAATCTTCCAAGTCTTTGTATCTTCAGACAGACGCCTCACCTCCTCCTCATTGATTTCAATTCCCAGCCCTGGACCAGACAGAACATCGATGTGACCGTCCCGCACAGTCCACACCTCAGGATTCAAGATATAGCTCGTGATATCCTGCCCCATATCATTGTAATGCATGCCGATCCCCATTTCCTGGATCGCAAAATTCGCCATCGTCGCATTCACCTGCACATTCGCCGCCAGAGCGATCGGGCCTAACGGACAATGCGGCGCAACACCAACATCATATGCCTCGCACATCGCCGCTATGCGCTTCATTTCCGAGATCCCGCCGATATGACAGATGTCCGGCTGCAGGATATCCACGCTCCCGTTTTCCAAGAACGGTTTTACGTCCCACCGGCTGTAGAGTCTCTCGCCCAGAGCGATCGGAACACCCGTCAGTTCTGAGACTTGCTTGATTCCACCGATGTGTTCCACAAGGAGCGGCTCTTCGATAAATAGCGGTTCGTGGGGCTCGAGAGCCCGCGCAAGCCGTTTGGCCATAGGTTTGTGTACACGGCCGTGGAAGTCAACGGCGACGTCGATTCCGAGCGTTTTCACGGCTTTGAGTCGCTCGAGTACTTCGTTAAGCACGCGTGGCGAATCCAGCCATGCTGTGTCTCCTGTGCCGTTCATCTTCACAGCGTGGAATCCTTGTTCTTTCCGAGCTTGCCTGGACGATATCAGTACATGTTTGACTCAACTGGACTGGTAACGCACGCCTGGACCTCGACCTCGCTGGGCCTGTCCCCGCCAATCCAGGCGTATACTCGAACTTTGTCACGAACCTTCCCACCTAGCAGGTGGTAGATAGGTACGTTAAGCTTGCGTGCTAGAAGCGCGTTAGCATGCATACATCTTCGACGGGAACCACCCGCCCACTGGTCCAAGATATGGTGATCTGGTTAGGTGTTCCAGACCTTTCAAATCCCACAGCGCGATATCGATCCCAGACAACGCGCTCATGAACACCGGCCCGCCGCGATAGAAGCTCCCGCGCCACGACAGCTGCCAGATGTCTTCGATGTTTCTGTCTCCGTGGTCAGAATGTACCTGGAGGTTGATGTGTGAGAACACTGACGAGGCGATACCTACTCTGCTTCTAGCCCCTTGTATCTCTCAAACCACCCATCAAGACACCCTTCCACCGCCGTCGTGTGTCCCTCCAGAGAGGCCTCTCCCCATCCAGCGACGCCTGTGTCATCTGTCAATTTGACGAAGAGCCACCGCGGAGGGACTCGGAAGTACTCCATCGATGTTATTTTCCCCATGATGAAGCAAGCTCCGGTTCACTGAACGGGGTATAGGGAGCGGTGTTGGCTGAGATTTGGTAGCTAAGGTGCTACATTCGTAGGGGAGCTAGGCAATAATTGTTACCGAATGAATTCCGATCACTTACTAGGTATAGGAACTCGGCGTTAGGGCTGTGCCGCTTCGCGGAAAGGGCCGACGGATAATTCCAACGGATATAAACTGCGAGCCGATCCGTGTCCATCAGTTATCCGTCCGCCTCGCCGCTGCCCTAGGATTTGGCTCTTTCGCAAACAGTAGTGTCAATGAAGTCCGACATTGTATGGGATAGGTAACTTAGAACCCATGTCAGACAAAGATTCATGGGCGGAGACATTCCTCCGTGTCTTCGGAATGCAAACAGCCCTCGACCTTGCCTTTCCTTCCATGTTGGAATGCTTGAATTGATGAAAGCTCTCTAAAACCCACCGTGGGTCACACCCGGCAGGCCAAGGCCTAAGGCTCCAACAGAATAGGAACGACCGGATTTATTATATTCGGATCTATGAGATGACCTTCGCGGGTTCACCTTCTACGACGTTTCGATGTCCTGGCAAGATTCGAATCCAAGCCCCCCAAATCAACAGTCAAGCGGTTTCCCAATAAGATCGAAGTTCAATATGCCAGATATTTAATGCAAAGGTGAAGGGCATGACGCAAGACAGGGCTGTATATTACTTAGAAAATAGCACCTGTCACAATCTGCCCACTCCGCTCATCAAGGACAGAATCATGGCGAGTCATATCCGATGGCCAGTAAACCCTCTACCTCAAGCGAAGGCAGGTGGAGAGGTAATTCAACGCGGTACACAGAATCAATCCGTATGCGTGGGAGCTCCTAATCAGCGCTCGCTGACTGCCCGAAGACGTGGACCCGGTCAATTATGCTGGTCGCTTGGGCATACTGCCTCGCACTTTTGTCATAAATCACGGCTCGAGCGCTGCAGCAAGGCAATATACCTGCATCAATGGGATATCTTTAGTGGGTAAGAATGCTATCTATTCTAGCGGGTGATTTACCACGCACCAGTATTTCTCCTCTCCAACGATTCTTTCTCGCTACCCATCCAGCAGCTCAACCAGCGGCAGCACCCATTCGTCCATCTGGAATCACGTCACTGTCAGGCTACCACCATCTAGACAGTGGGCAACGCAAAAAGGAGTTACTAACCTTAGTAGATGAAAGGACCATGCTGTAGTGATGGCCATCGGCGCGAATCACCTTCACATTCCCCGGACCCATCAGCTCCTCCCAGCCCAGCGGCCCATCGTCTGTCCTACCGTTGAGAAGCCAATCCGTGACTCTGCGGTGCTCAGGCAAAACGCTAAATCCTCTATCCTCTTGATTATCGTGCGTACCATCGACCCCGTCTCTCGCGGAGACCAGGACCGTTTGCGGCCAGTTTAGACCCGGCAACTTCGTCACTTGATACTGTTCGAGCTGCTTTCGCGCCAGTGATATATCACCGGGGGAGGTGATGGCGGACACGTACCGGACCAAGGCGTCGGACATACAAGCCGATGAGGTAGGACACGGCACGTCCAGCAGAATCAGTTTCTCGACCTCGTCGCCGGCCTCAAGAAGTTGTCGCACCGCCTCGTAGGCGACAATCCCGCCGAAAGAATACCCGCCGAGCAGGTATGGCCCCTTCGGCTGCCGGCGCTTAATCTCTGCCGTGTAGCTGGCAGCCATCCCTTGGACACTGGGAAGATGGCCTGGCGCGGGCTGCGCTGTTATAAAGGGGCTGTTGAGCGCGTACACGGTCATGGACGGCGATATCCGGGCTAGTAGCTGTCCTAGGGGGTTGAAGACAGTACCGTAGCCCGCACCGTCAGGAGCAAGGAAGAGACTACGGGATGACGGCCCTCGATAAAGAAGCATGGAGGTTGCCTTTGCAGGACACGGCTGTTGCTCATCGTGCGCCGCAAAACCGGCAATGATGCGCAGCGTCCTGGACTCGCGACTCGAGCCCTCGGACCAGTCGACGTGCGCGAATCCCGAGTCGCGCATCGTCCGCTCCCAGGCCCATGGCGTCAGCAGCGGATACTGTCGATCATCGTCAAATAGCCACCAACCGTCCAAAAGACCCCAGACGAGGTCATACCAGGGGAGCTGTTGAATCAGCTCCAAAAGAACGACGCAGCCATCGTGCGGTCGCACAAGCTTGTGGATATTTCGGAGGGACTGTCGTATATCCCGGGTGGCGTGCACGCAGTTGCTAGATACTACGGCATGATATCGTCCTTGTAATTCCTGCGGTGGCTCTTCTTCGACGTTCAACTTCAGGAACTCCATCTCCGGTACGCCCTTGAAATCGGCCTTTTTGGCGCGCGCAACGAGCGAGACTGAGAGATCCGTGAAAGTATATGTGAATGGCAGACCAGTGGCCTGGAGCAGAGGCACGAGGTGCTTGGTTGTACCACCGGTGCCGGCGCCGATCTCGAGAACATTGAAGGGCTCGCCACCGGCAGAGTGGATAGCCGCGGACAAGAAATCGCAAAGCAGCTGAGTAGCGGCGCGAATGTCCGGACCATGACCATAAAAGCCATCCAGCAGACGGCGACCGTGATCGCTGGCGAAGAGCGGTGGGATGGGATCCCTTTTTCCCGTGAGATACTCGGCCAGATGGGGTCCCAGAAGAGCTAAAAGGCCATGCGCAGCCGAGTAGGAAGGAAAGTCGGAACAGAGCCTGGTACTCTGCTCCTCGGAGTCATGGTCTTTCTCCAGGGATGCTACACCCCGGATATATACAGGGTTCTTGGAGTGTCTTTGTATAGTGACAATTCCACCCTCTGCGAGGATCTGCCAGAGACGCGTGACTTCTCTTTGGTATTTAGGAAGAGTGCCCTGCACTGCAGGGAGGGCCTGCCCAGATTCGAAATTGCGGATTGGACAGCCGAGCTTCTCGAAAGCTTCGACGATGAAGGTGGTGACTGTGCGCAGCTGGTCGGGATATACATGTTTCCAATAGCCGGCGAACCCGGTGGCGCCGGCATGAGCATCGAAATTTTGACGAACCTGGAGGAAGGCTGCATGCATCGAGCCTGGATTGGAACTGCCTTCTTGGCTCATATCAGAAGCTGGAGTATCGGGATTCGAGGCGGACGAAGACAAAGAAAGAGAATTACTCGAAATGCGCGCTGGGCTGCCCCCGACGAGATGGCAGAGGGAGATCACGTCTGGAACAGAGGCAAAGTCAACAGACGAGATTTCCACACCCAGTGCCTTCTTTAGGCTGCTGATTATCTCCGGGGCGATGAGAGAGTCTGAACCAAGATCTTCGAGTCTTGAACCCAGGTCAATCTCTGCAGGGTCAAGACCAAGAGCGTCGCTGAGTATCCGGATGACGATGTTCTGCGAATCTTCTGTTCTTTCAAGATCTTGTGGTCTAGACGCATTGTCGGCTGGACATCCAGCCTCCAGCCGCGACGAAATAATGTCACACAACGACGCCACGTCTAGCGCTGCAGCAAGGTCACTGGTAGAAAGATCGACGTCGAATCGGCCAGCGATGCCAACCAGGATTTCGGGGCTCACAAGAGAATCAGTGCCGAGCTCCTCCAGTAACGATTCCTTCTTCACGTCAGCGACAGGAACATCGAGACATTTGCTCAGCACGTCCTGGACTCCGCTCAAGATGGCGTCTCCTCTGGGGGGTGTTGGCTTTTCCGGCACAGAATGTTTTATCTCCTGCTCCGATGGTCTCTGGGGAGTATCCTCCAACAAGACGGCATTGGCACCCGTCAGCGCCTTTACCAGGGAGCTACGAGGCACCCTCGTGAATCTAAGACCTTGAGCAGACCAGATCATCTGCTGGCTCATGCGATCGAACGCGAACAGATCCAGAACTACCACTCGGCCGTCATCTCGCACCACCTTCGTGTACGCGCGATACCCCCCGCTCCCGGGGGACCCATTCAGGGGTCTTACGATTCCCATGCCCGTGCAGATATACGACGTGGCATCGGTCTTGTCAGCCTCCTCTGGATCCGCGCCACGCAGGCTGTGCACGAAAATACCCGCGACTTGCATGAAATTGTCGACGAGCAACGCATCAGTAACGCTCTCGTTGGGCGCCTGAGCCACCAGCCCCAGCTGGGCTCTAGGCATTTCGATTTCACCTGCACCCTCGGAGCCCTTGCCAACAAGATACCGCAGGCCTCGGTACGGAGCCGAGTATTTGGCCATGCTCGCAAAGACTTTGTACACCATTCCTCCGCGCAGAGCCTCCGTATCCGGGTCATTCTCGAGCAAGTTGGATATGCGCGGCCACTTGTGAGCTGCGCTGACTTCCTCATCGATCCTGACCTTGCCGCATTGGATGATGCCCGTGCCGTGGGAAATTGGCCGGTCATCATTTGGATCACCGTGGATAGAGAATATATCAAATCTCCAGGTCTCTGGCTGCTTTTGGCTCAGGGTGCATTTGACGGAGCGCGTCGTGTCCAGACCGAGCGGCGCTTTGATCTCAAGCGACCCAATGACGATCTGCGCTCCGTCCTCGATCCCACCCCTAAGCATAAGAACCGCGTGTGCGGCAAACTCAAGGTACATTCCCGCCGGACAGAGGGGGTTGCCCACCACAACGTGGCCGCTAACCAGCTGCTGGTACCGTTGGCTGCGAGTGTGGATGTGAAATGTGAATTTGGATCCCGAGCTTAGCTGGGATGGCGAGCCTTCGCAAACAATATATGGGTAATCAGCAACGTTCTTTTGACAGTTTTGACAAAGCTGCTCGGTGTGCTCGGCTCTGCCATTGGCTTCCAAGTGACGAGTCTTCTTGTATTCGGTCCAATGTCGGTGCTTTTCAAACTGATACGGAGGGAGATCCAATGAGGTGCCGTGGGGCGTCCCATAGTCCACTGACTGGCTACGATGAAACAGCCAGAACTGGACGGCGCGATCTCTCTTCCACAGAGCGGCAGTGGCAGCTGCCAACGATCGCCTTGGGTGTGTACCATTGATGGCGACAAAGGTATGCTCGGCCGGTGCCAGAGCGCTCTGCGCCATAGCGGTAATGGGACCCCCGACTCCGGCTTCAAGAAATGTACACGACGGACCTAAACGGGTTACAATGCGCTGGACGGCGTCTCCAAAATGCACAGGCCCGCGCGTGTTACGGGGAATAATAGCGGCCGTCTCACTCGTCCGCTCCCAGTCCTCGTCATCGGAGCGATGGCACGAAACAAAGGGGAGTGTAGGGCGCTGAAATGGAATCGAAGCCGATAGTTCGGCACAGGCCTTCACGATTGGATCCGCCATATGGGAATGATATGCGTGCATCCCTTGCAAGACCTTACAGCGGAGCCTGTTCCCGTGGGACCTCACGTTGGACTTTTGATCTTGGAGGTACGTCGCCAGAAGTTCGATCTCTTGCGTGCTCCCCGCGACCACGTAGTTGTTCGGTCCATTGTAGCAGGCAATCTCGACCTGGCTGTTTGGGTGTTTCTCAAGAAGCAACTGCAAATGCTGCACTGGGGTCATGTTCGTCGACACGAGGTCCGCTTCTATTGCGACCATAGACCCGGTGTCGGGGCCCCACAGCTTCTCGATAATGGCTGCACGGCCTGTGACAAGCTTGATGCCAGATTCGAGCGTCAAAGCCCCCGAGATGGTCAGCGCAGCCCATTCGCCGAAGGAGTGGCCGCAGATCGCCTGCGGTGTGACCCCAGAGTCAATCCAAGCCATGCCACAGGCATACTGGATGGAGAACAGGGCGGCGTGGCGGAGGACGAGGTCCTCATGACCGTCGGCGTCGCCGTTCCCATTGAGAACGCTCGAAACCACACTAGGCAGGCCGAGAGTGAGCATGGTCTCCTCGCATTGTTGCAGCCGTGTGCGGAATAGCAGTGAGCTGTCATAGAGACTCTTCACTGCCGGCGTCTTACTTCCGTTCTGACCGCTTATAAGCAGCACAGTGGGTCGAGCTTCGGATCTAGAGATATGGCTCTCGGGACTCCCGAGCTGTGCGTGTAGATCATCCACTGCTAGGCTTAGTGTCTGCCAGCGCAAATTTAAAGGGGCTAATTACTTACGTGATTTTGCGGTTGTGCAGAAGGTCACAGACAACTGTCGATTGACTTTGGCTGTCAAAGCAAAGGCCAGTTGGGCGAGGCTGAAATCGTTTCTTTCATTGCCGACATACTGCTGGAGATTGGTACAGTATGCTAGAAGACTGGGCTTGGAGGCGGCAGAGAGGAAGATCGGCCACGATTCAAATTCAGCGTCTCGAATTGGTCTGGTAGAATAAGGGCGTGCAGCTGGAGGTCCAACCACAGCAGCGGCGTTGCTGCCAGACGCACCGTAACTGTTCACTACGGCCAACCGCTCGCCGGAGCTCCAGTTCCTCAGCGACGTCGGAATAGCCATGCGATCCGGTTCAAGAGCCGCGATGTTCGGATTCAGCGACCTGAAGTGCGCCTGCGGTGGGATCTTCCCGTGCTTGAGCATGAGTAGTACCTTTATCAGAGAAATCACCCCGGAGGCTGCTTCAGAATGGCCGATGTTTGGCTTCACCGCGCCAATGTGCAGAATAGAACGCCTATCCGGTCCACCCAAGACCTGCCTGATACCTTGCACCTCGACGGGGTCCCCAGCGCGAGTGCCTGTACCGTGAGCCTCGACATAGGAGACATCGTGCGGGTGGACTCCTGCCCGCGCAAGCACGTCTCGGTACAATGCGGATTGGCTCTCGAGAACAGGATTCGTGATGCTGGTATTGCTGATGTTCTGGTTATTCCCCGTTGAAAGAAGAACGCCCTGGATGTCATCCCCGTCCCGGACCGCCGTTTCCAGCGGCTTCAGCACGACAACGCCGACGGCTTCGCCACGACAGTAGCCATCTGCACGTGCGTCAAATGTCTTACAGGCGCCAGTCTCACTGAGAAACCCACCTGCGCGCAGGGCGTCGAATAAGGCCGTGTTGGGGATTAGGTTGACGCCGCCTGCAATGGCACGCGTGCACTCGCCAACCTGAATCGCGCGACAGGCCTGGTGAATGGCCACCATGGCTGATGAACAGGCCGTGTCAATCGTATGCGAGGGCCCGGTCCAGCCGAAATAGTGACTGAGGCGGCCGGCGACGAAGGAGCGCATCATTCCACCCCCGGTATACGGCGAGGGTGGCTGGGAGCCCAGGTTTACGACGTAGTCGGGGGCGTTCATTCCGATAAAGCAGCCCGTTATGTGGCCGCTCGTTGCTGGATCATGGGTCTCCGGTGACATTCCCTCGCCACCAACCCAGCCTGCCGCTTCGACGGCGTGGTAGGTGATCTGAAGCATGAGTCGTTGATGTGGATCCATGGCCGCTGCCTCGCGCCTTGACTTCCCAAAGAATTTTTCGTCGAACCTTTCGATGTCGGGCAAGAAATTACCCCATAGACGGTTCGGACTGCCGGCTGCGTCTGCAAATCGAACGGCATCGATCTCGCGAACCGTGCTCTGACCACTCTGAAGCAGCTCCCACAGCTCGTCCAGGGTCTCTCCCGCGGCTGTCTGGCAGGCCATGGCCACGACGGCCACGGCATGCTTTGGGTAGTCGCGGTATTCCTTCTGCTTCCTTCGTGGTGTGATGTGCTTCAGAATCGGGTGCCGCGGTGGCTCATCGGCTTCGACCTCCAACGCGCGTACCACTGCCACATTGTCCGTCTGAAGGGCGAGGATGTGCTCCAAGGCCTCAAGGGCCTCCTCCTTCGGCATGTCTCCCAGGCCTCGCTCTTTGTTCCCCTGGTTCACCATCCGCGTTACAGACCTGCTCTGTGCCACCATGCCGACGCCGCGCCAGCTGGTCCACTGAACCGACGTGGTATTATCGCCCTCACGTCTTCGCCATGTCGCCAACCCGTCCAGGAACGCATTTGCCGGCGCGTAGGACAGCTGACCCGGGAACCCGACTAATTGTCCAACGGACGACATCAGGAGGAAGAAGTCCAGTGTGCGCGGTGGAAAGAGAGCATCTAGGCTTAGGGCTCCTCTCACCTTCGAGGCGAACACATTTTGGATGTCAGTCGGTGTGCAGGCGTTGAGTGTATGATACCCTGCAGTCCCAGCCGCATGCACAACTCCCTTGACATCCGGCTGTTGTAGACTATCGATCGCTTTGCGTAATGTGTCGGCTGCACCCGGCAGACCGAGGTCAATGGCCAGTACGTGAACGCTCGCACCCTGGGCCTCCATGTCGGCGATGCGAGCCACGAGGTGATTAGAAGCAGCGCCTCCTGCTCCTGATACTTCCAACCCGTGCCGGGACACAAGTATCAAATGCCGAGCGCCGTGAGCGACCATCCAGCTTGCGATCTCCAATCCAATCCCCTTCGTGCCGCCTGTAATCAGATACGTGGAGTTGGAATTGAGCTGTGATGAAAGCTCATTTTCGCCCTCGCCATTGAGCACCAACGGCTGCAGTGACGCTGTCTGCGGCACACTTTCCTCCCCCTCATCGCACACCCGGATAACGTCAAATCCTTGCGCATATTTGATGGCTGATAGAGGAAAGCCCCAGCTCGGGGTCCCTAACTGCAGCAATCCGCCGAAAAGATCCGGTATTTCCATCCTCAGGACCCGTGCCAGGCCAGTCAGAGGCGCATGACCCAACTCGCTTATGCCGTCATCGTCTGCGACTATTGAGAACAGCTTGGTGGTAGTTCCAGGCCGAGATACAAGCTCTTGTGCGATGGCAATCAGGCTTGCACATGAGTCGATAGCCGCATCGTAGACGCCTTCACACCCGTGTGCTACGTGCGGTATGTGCACGATAATTGTCGCCGTCCCTGGCGTTAGGATATCATGGATTTCAAGGGGGTTGTTGATGACGGCTGTGGCGTAGCCCCAACTGACGAGCTCAGCCTGATACGCAGCCAGGAGCCTCGTGCTTTGGCTTTCTTGCGTTCTGGGGGAGTCAACGACAAAAACCACCTTCGTGAAATTGAGCGGTTCTTGGGCCAATGTGGCTGGCGTCCAATGGAGTCGGTGAAAGAGGTCAGAAGTCATAATTGAACACCGAGGACTAAAGGTGCGAGACAAAGCCGATTGACCGTACTACCTGGTACGCCGGAAGGATATAAGATAAAAAAGAACTGAAACTAAAAATGGAATGAGCTGAGGCCTCATGGAAACGGATTTATTTCGCCAGTTCTTTCCGTATGCATCGCCATGCTCACCGCCAGGAGAATCCTGATGTGGCGAGGATCCTGGCATCGCCTGACGAACACGCGCAGCGTAAATAGACCGACAATGAATCTTATAAAATCCCGTTGCATGTGGCGCCTGTGGCCGCCAGGACAAGGTTCAACGACGCTTCGTAGAGAAATCTTGTAGCGGCAAGTCTGGGCCCGGGGATGCGACTTGGACCAAAACACCTCTTTCAGGCCGACCGACGCAACTAGGATCGGGCTCTGATTATCATGCATGCACGATCCCCCTTGCTTAAGTCTAGGTCTATCGGTCAGCGAACTGGACCGGGGAGGTGGAAACTGCTGACGTACTTCCAAGAGATGCGCTCCACTTGCAGGGAAAACCCCGGTTGAAAGTGCAGGATACTTGCGATGCATCAGACAAACAGTCGGTCAAGAATGAGAAGTAAGGGCTCAACAACAAGGGTCGGTGTCAAGTGCTAAATGTCGAACGTAGGTGTGCGAGTCGGTCGCTCGATCTCTCATGGACTGCTGCATGACTCCGTTGACGAGGCCTTGAAAAGGGCCTGAAAAACCTCGCCTGGTTACTTCCGACCAAGCTTGGTCTTCACTCGGTTCTTTTTCGCACCATATCTGACTGCACGTTCATCCCAACGGCCTCACGATTTTCTGAGAATGAAACTGAGCCTCTTGAAAGGCCCTCCAGAGGGGTTTGGACTGGTGATAGGCGCCGCGGCCGCCGCCGTTGTTGTGTATCTCTTCCGCACGTGGTGGTCGCTGAGGCACATCCCAGGTCCATTTCTGGCCAGCATCACCAACCTCCAACGAGTATGGTGGGTGAAAACGAAGAAGGCATACCTGCACCATCAAGCTGTTCATGCTAAGTACGGCGACATTGTCCGGACGGGCCCGAATATGGTGTCTATCGCCAACCCCGAAGCTATCCCCACGGTTTACCCCATCAGGCCAGGGTTTACAAAGGTTGGCTTGCGAACTCTGCTCTGACAGGCTCTCTGCGGAAGGATGAGAACCAGGTGCTAATGTCTTTCCTTCCTTGGTTCTTTCCTTAGGGCGACTTCTACCTCGCCCTGCGCCCATACAGTGAAGAGCGCGGCACCGTGCCACTGGTGTTCAACATCCAGGACGAGGCCGCACACAAACAGGCCAAAACCCCAATTGCGCCCTTTTACTCCCTGACCAACGTCATGGCATTTGAGGGGCTAGTTGATGAAGTGCTGGCCTTGTTTTCGAAGCAGTTGGACCAGCGTTTCGTGGCGACCGGTGAGGTCTTTGACTTGGGCAAATGGATACAGTATTTTGCCTTTGACGCAATGGGAACAATGTCGTTTTCGAGAAGATATGGCTTTCTAGAACACGGAGAAGACCCCCATGGTGTGCTGGACGCTATCTGGGCGTTCTTTACCGCTGCTGCGCCGGTTCGAACATCAAATCCTCTCTTATTGCGAATGGATCTGACCGGCGATACCGTTCCAGATGACCCAAATCCCCTGGTTGCATCAACTCCTGCGCAACAGCAGGTTTATGCATATGTTCCGAAACAAGGGCGGAAATTGGCTGCTCGATTATGTCACTAAGACCATTAGCGAACGATTACGACACGTCGAGACCGGCAAACATTCGTCCTCGGAGGACTTTCTGGCGCGCTTTCTTGAGGCCCATCGGGCCAACGAGGGACTCCCTGCCTGGTAAGAGAGGGCTGCTGTCATCTCGTTTTCTTGGACTTATTAAGCCATCAATCTAGGTGCCCTTATTCCTGGACGTTTACCAATGTCGTCGCCGGCTCCGATTCCGTGGCAAGTTTGATGCGAACTATCATGTGGTAAGTAGTCGTGAAGAAAACTGCCCCGATATTGTCTGAGTTCGTCGAACTAATCACGATGGCCCTCCGAGACAGTTTGTCTCCCCCGTGACCCATATCGCTCTCATGGTAGAGCATGGCAGCGTATTAACTTGCGTTAACGAAACAAGACAACCTCCTGGCCCATCCAGCTACCCTGCGAAGACTTCGTGAAGAACTCGCAACGGCCGATATCTCCAATCAGTATCCCAAATGGAGCGAGGTGCGCGACCTGCCCTATCTGGACGCCTGCGTACAAGAGGCCGGGCGCATCCATCCGCCCTTCGCGATGCCCTTCGAACGTGTCGTTCCGGCGGGCGGGACCACCGTGCTCGGCCACTATCTTCCCGAGGGGACGGTGGTTGGAGGAAGCGCGTACGTAGTGGGCCGACACAAGCCGACGTTTGGCCATGATGCCGAGAGCTGGTCGCCGGAGCGATGGCTTTGCCCTGCAGCGGAGAAGAAAAGGCTCGAGCAGAGTCTGCTTACGGTCAGTGCGAGACCCTATTAAAGAAAATTTGAGTACCATGGAACCCTTGGCTAACTGCAGTCTGGCGGGTCCAGTTTGGCGGCGGTCGACGAGTGTGTTTGGGGAAGCATATTGGGATTCTGGAAATCAAAAAGCTTATTCCCTTCTTGCTGCTGAACTATGAGGTGAGTCACTTTTCCCTGGCCTTTGAACTGGCATTCGCGGATGTACAGACCCCTAGCAGCTGCTGATAGAACGATATCACCATGTATAGTTCGAGATAATCAACCCCGCGCCTTTGGAGATTGAACACCAGTTTTTCTTGAAACAAGGGGGCCTCGAATGTCGGATTCAGAAGCGAGATCACCCGCAGTGCAAGTCGGAATGAGGCTTTAAGGATATCCATGGTATGGGAAATACTGCGGTAGACTCCAACCTAGAATACCACTCGGCTCAAATGCTAGATGCTGGTGAAGTATCCAATTTCTAGTTGTCATGCTGGCTCGATGTCCGTTCCCATACAATGCTGGTTTTAGATATGTCGAACATACCTCTACTCGCTGTGTAGTTTCTTCGAGTCCCGTAGGTCGAAGCATCGGATCACGCCGGCCGGTTAGCAGTCCGGCCGTTGTATGTTCGTAATTATTCGCGTTCAATCAATCCTCGATATCCAGGGCCTTGCCCTGGACATTTGGATTTCTACGAAACGTAACATGAGGAGATCATTTGATGGGCTTGCACGCTTTACAGGCGGAATTACTATCGATCCGGAGCAAGGGATGACGGAGTGCCCAGTCAATCGAATGTTCGCAATCTCTCGACGAACCTCCAACGGACAACCAGTACAAGACAGATATCTAGTATCGACTGCTTGGCCCAAATTCATCTCACCGGTTTGTGACCCTCTTATTTATCCGGTACACCGTGGCCTTGATGCTTCAAAATACGCAACCTTCCCAGGTCTGATGTCATGTCCTGGCGCGGAGTCGAAGACATGATCCAGCTCACAGCCTTAGATTTTCTGTCTAGACGGCCAACGCATCGCTGCGAAAAGTGCCGTCACAACAATCATCGTCAAGCAGCAGAAGGATGGGTGGGAGAAGGAGTTTAGTGATGATTGTCGATCTCGAGGAGGTCTATTTCCCCGATCAAATTAGGGATTGGGAAACCAATGTTAACTTAGGTGGGGTGGGTTCTCTAATGAGCGACTTCAGAGACATCCGAGACCGAAACCGTGAACCATCACCTGTCAGCTTCTAGATGACCAGAGCTGATAACAGGGGTACATTGGCAACCAGTGGACTTCAAGGTTCCACGCAGTCGATGAATCAGGACAGCAACGAGGAGCGGAAGTGCATCGGGCTTTCGGCAAATGCAACGGAAGAAGGAACCACAGACGCAATATCTAAGAGGGACTCTAGAAGGAAGACAAAGGCTCACACGAACCTCGAATCACAGTGAAGGCAACAGGCCAGGCTCCTTTGTTTCTTGTCGCAAACTACCAAACTCATTGAACCGACCTTTGATGCGATTCAATCAAGTTAATTTAGCAAACTCGTACTCAGGGTCCATAGTAATCTGGCATATAACATGTACTTGACTTTTTAGCCAGGGCGGCAGCTTTCCCTTTCCGTTTTTATACTCACCTCTCGCCGCCCTTTACTTACCAGGTAGATCCGAGTACGCCCTACGCAAAGGAGACAGATGAGCCAAACAGGAGAGGTGACGCAGCAGAGGGGCTTTGTATATCATTCATTCTGATGGCCTGGAAGTAGTCTTTGCCCAACGGCTCATTCAATTCAACCAATCAAATACTTGTGTCTACCGCCAATCATGAGGAACATATAACCCACAGATCACATAGTAAAGAATGTACCAGCCTTGATAGTGTATCTACCTTGACGAGAAGAATGATAAATCGCAAAAGGAACACCTCCAACCAAAGCTCTTCAAACCCCCATGTTTGCCGTCTGACTTATACTGGCGTATAGAATCCTAGCGGTGCCGAAGGTCATTGGCGAATACTCGAACATCAACCCCATACACTCTGCCAGAAATCATGAACAAAATCCCCACCTTCTGCTAGCAACTCTCGGAAAGCGCTGATTTCGCCTATCTGACCAAGCACAGATACAACATACGTTGTAGCTAATGTTCTTAGAGCGTCGTCAGCCCGTGTGTGTTGATAGGCGAATTGAACCAGCTCAATGACATTACTTATGTTATCTTCACTCAATTTGAAATCCCCTAGCGTTATTGCCAGCTTTTGCAGTACCAGCGCTGCGAGAGAGGGAATATTGTACGTATCAGCCAATATGTATAGCTTTGCATGTCCGAGGAAAACAGGCGCGAAATCCTCCTGAGGGTCAGAATTCCCCTTGGGAGCAAACTCGACTTTCTGCAAGGGTAGGGCGCTGTTATATGCGTTTGCATATAGTTGATTGAGATTTTCGAACCTGTCTTTAAGGTGTCGGCTCCAGATGCTCTTCTCCCTATAGGGTAAGATGTGCCCGTTGAAAGAATCATAAGGCTCCTCCTCCTCAGGCACGGGCTCTGGCTCGGCGGCCGCTGGTTCCTCTATTGAGTCCGCCGCAGCGTCTTCCACGGGTTGGGGTGCCGGGATATCGTCTCGTATATGGTTCCTCTTGACCCTTCCCTTCTTTGACTTTTTCTTTGCGGCCGATGTCAAATGACCCCGAGCGGGTTCTTCAGATTCAGCGTTGGCGTCTGGGTTATCCAACGTTGCTCCTCTATCCACACATCGCGGTGGCTTGTAATCACCCCGATAGGCGTATTCACACAGCCTGACGAATGTATCTTCCTCGACAACCTCCGACCAGTCGGCTTGACGAAGCTTTGCCTCAAGCATTCCACCATTCATGAGGCTGTCGAGCGTGGGCGACAGGTCGGCGAGGGGGGCGGAGTGCACAGTAATCTCCTTCCTTCCCTGGCCAACAATGAAGGTGAAGAGGGCTGACGAGAGAGATCTGCCATAGGTTAGGTTTCCCTGACAGTAGTAGAGGTTTCTTTGCAGGTGACCTGCCTGCCAAATTTGCTATCCATCGCTTTCGATGATGTAGGGATACCAAAGCTCTAGTATGTTTTGAATGCCCGGAAGAATGTGGTAAAGAATTGGAAGCTCGATATTGAATGGGATATTCCATTTGATGACAAGTCTGCCACGTCACGGTCAGTATTGCGGGGTTTGCGGACCAAGTCACATGCCTGGTAGTAAAGCGTCCCAGACCAAGAGGTTTTGAGAAACACTTCATTATGATTCGATTTGACTCCCTTCTATCGGTATTCAAAGTCGACAGTCAAATGAAAAACATTGGTTTACTCATCAGTCATTTAATATTCTCCACTTGCATCAAATGACCAAAGCAAACTGAATGGTCTTTCTTCTGATGCCGGATCTATATTTCTGTTTCATAGTAAAGGTATGAGCTGATGGTATGATCTTGCCCAAGTCCAAAGTGGAGAACCAGTGAGTTTAGGTAGTTTAGGTAGGGTGAAAGATGAGTTGCATCTACTTACTCTTAAAATAGCTTCACGTAAATATACTGTAGCTGCTTGGCTTCCTTAATGCGTTTATGCTTTCCGAACTTAAAAGTATGCCAGTGCGAGCAAATATGATCAACCCCACGTCATCTACAGCAATATGCATTTGATCAGATATATACACCGCGCAAGCAGACCAGCTAGGACGGGCCACAGCTACAGGAGCTCGACAAACTAAATAACCCCCCCCCCCTCTTCTCTCCACCCTGGAAGCACACAATTTAAGAGTTCAGATCATGGAATATCCAAACATTTGGCTCCACATACACACCTCTCTCTTCATCAACATGATACATCAAAGGGGCCAACCCCCCGGGGAAAGAGATCTCGACATACGCCCCGTCTCCCTGTCCACTACTAACCCGCGTCGAAAAGTCGACACCAGTCCACTGTCTCCAATCCTCCCGACTACCCTGCACCGTCATACTTCGCGGCGCAACTTTCACGATCTTCCCTCCGAAGCGAAGATGTTTTCGCAGCCATGGATCAAAGGGGACATGGTGGCTCTGGTCGCCGTTTTCCACCATGCTCGGCTCGGGTGACAGGGGATGCATTCGCTGCTCAGCAAACGGAGATGACGCACTCGACTTGACCTGGTTCGGCCACTTTATATATTCCTCCATCGGGACAAGCGGGTGGTCGGCTTTCCGAGTCGGTCGTAACGGAGCGACCAACAGGCGCAGATTCTCTTGTCGCGCGGTCGCTTTCATCGTTTCTAGCAATGCTTCTGCTAATCCTTTGCGTCGCCGGCTTGGCACCACGGCGATGGCTATGGCGGATAGAGCATTAGGGTCATCTGCGCGCCTGCACACCGGCGTGTCGCGTTTCTGGTCCTTCGTCAAAGATACAGATCCGCCTGGGAGACCATGACGGGTCAGGTATTGGCGCACGCCTCGCGACAGAATCGTGTCGAAGCCACCATCAGGGAGGGTCTCGAGGATACTGTGGCAGTTGTATCCGACTGGATGCTCCCTGTCGGGCTGGTTATCGTCGGCTTGCTTGACTTCCGGCCAAAAGAACGGAACGGATTGCCCGTATGCCACAACGGACACGCTGTTGTCTAGGGCTGTCTCCGTTATCATAAACTGGTATCGGGCTAGTTCTTCGTGCTGGGTCAGCTGCGGGTTGTATGTGGTGAATGTCTCGTCTTGGTCTATGAAGACAGGCCAGACGGTGTTCAGTGGGTGGTCTGGATGCTCGATAGTGCCCCATAGATCAGGGCGATCCTTGGCGTTGTGTATTTCATATTTGGGCTGATGGCAGGTGTTTTGGGCAGGGTGAATGCTTTCTCCGTCTATTATCATCGTGAGTGGCTTAGAAGAAAGAGATATTGAGAGAAACAGGGTGCTGATGATTTGGGGCTTCCAACACAGGGGGATATATATCTACCCGGCCCCCTTTGACATGACAGCTGTGACTCGCCGTGCTATTGATTGGAAAGGGCTCCACTTCTGCCAGATCTCAAGCCATCCCGACGAAATCGATATATGACAGATCTTGGGTGACGCGGTCCTAGACAATCGCGGCTATCAAAAAAGCCTTAACGAATGCGTCTCTGGGCTTGCCTTCTGTGAGGTCGGCAGCGTCTCATCTCTGTGAGGGATATTACCTCGATCCACGCTTTATTACGAGTGCTAGCGCAATATCTGACATGTAAACTTCGATTTCCGCGCGGAACTGCAAGCCTTGTACCCTTTACGATCAGCCTTGCTCCCTCCGACTATTCATTTGCAAGATCCGATTACTCCGCAGAGAAAGATATGAAACTATACTGACGGGTCGATCCCAGCAAGGAGTAGAGCTTGAGATATCGATTTCTCTCTGTTTTCAAAATAAGGATCTCTGTGGTTGCACCGAGTAGGAGGGATAGCACACTAGATCCTGTCATCCCTTGCTTCGATAATACATTATCATCCGCGCTATCTTTGCGCAAATGGCTGGATGTAGTGTCCATCAATCAATATTCCAATTGACTTTTCTCTCGGTGGATATTTATTGACAGCTGCATATTTGCTGCTGTTTATACCCTGGTTGTGAGGTATTGAGTCCACGGAAAACATATCGGGTTGCTACTACCTCATTCGGACTCACTTCGTAGATGTCCAGTTTCGCTTCCCTTTGTGGCTCAGTTGGCAGTAGTGAACATTAGGTCTTTTTCTTCGTAAATGGTTCCATTGCTCGCTTGTAACAGGTTTACAGTAATAGTAAGACCAGAGTGGTTCAGATTTGCACCCACACAGTCGTGCCTCAGGCATCGTTGGTGGCCTTAACCTGTCCCCTTTCTACAGCATCATTTATAGAGCTAATGGAGTAGTGCATTTCGTGGATATCTCAATTTACAATGACCAGAAGCTTTGCGCCAGACGGAAGAAAAGCAACCGATGAATTATTTAAACTCCATAGACAGCAGATACCCAGTTAAAAAATAAATACATGCCATGAACCCATATTCATATCCATATTCATGCGCATCCGTAACCCAATCATTTATTTCATTCCAAATTCACAAGCTTACAGTTTCGAAGCCTGCCCGGCCGTCGAAATCTCATTATACAGCAAGCTGGTCAAGAAATCGGCATACTCCTCGCCCGTAACCTGGCCGGCGAAGTACCGCCCGGCGAGCGGGAACTTGTTGCCCTTGGGACCCTTGGCGGCCAGCTCGTCGACCTGCTCCTTCAGTAGGCGCAGGGCGTAGGCCTTGTCGACTTTCTTGCCCTCGCTGGTCGAGATGCCGTGGTGGGTCCATTGCCAGAGTTGCGAGCGCGAGACCTCGGCGGTTGCGGCGTCCTCCTGTTCGTTGTTAGATCTGCTGTATATGGATTGGATGAATGAAAGGGTAGTGAAGGAGGCTTACCATGAGGAAGTTGATCGGGATGCAGCCCACACCGCGCAGCCAGCCCTCCATGTACGACAGGCCGATGTTCAGGTTCTTCCGGATGCCCTCCTCGGTGATCTTGCCGGGAACGTTAGTGTTCAGCAGATCGTTGGCGGTGATGTGCACGTCCTCGCGGCGCTTGAAGAGCTGGTTAGGCGTGGGCATGTGCTTGTTGAACACGTCCGACGCGATAGCTGCCAGAGCCGGATGCGCCACCCATGTTCCGTCGTGGCCGGCACGCACTTCGCGCAGCTTGTCGGCGCGCACGCTCTCCATGGCCTTGTCGTTGGCGGCCTGATCGGTCTTGATGGGGATCTGAGCGGCCATACCTCCCTGTTATATTGTTAGACTGCACAGAATTTCGAGCGAAAAAAAGGGACATACCATCGCATGCACGCCTCTTCGGTGGCACGTCTTGATCAACAACCTAACGTATGCATCCATAAACGGGACCGTCATCGTGACGTCCGATCGATCAGGCAGGACAAAGCTGGGGTTCTTGCGGAACTTCTTAATAAACGAGAAGATGTAATCCCAGCGACCACAGTTCAACCCGGAGCTGTGATCCCTCAACTCGTAGATGATCTCGTCCATCTCAAACGCCGCCGTGATGGTCTCGATCAGGACGGTTCCACGGATCGTGCCGCGCGGAATACCAATGTAGTCCTGCGAGAGGTTGAAGACGTCGTTCCACAGACGCGCCTCCAGATGCGACTCCATCTTGGGCAGGTAGAAGTAGGGACCGAACCCGCGGGCCACCAGCTCCTTGGCGTTGTGGAAAAAGTACAGACCAAAGTCGAACAGACCGCCGGAGATGGGCTCGCCATCTACGGTGAAGTGCTTCTCCTCAAGGTGCCAGCCTCGAGCGCGTGCAATCAACGTCGGCAGCGTGCGGTCCGTCCGCAGCTTGTACTCCTTCTCGCCCTGCTTGAAGTCCACCTGTCGGCGGATGGCGTCGTACAGGTTCACCTGTCCGCCGATCATGTTCTCCCAGGTGGGTGCGCTCGAATCTATTCCCGTTAGCTTACTCCTCATCTCCTCGATCGAGTGCACGGCAACATACCCTCGAAATCAGCCATGTAGGTCCACACGTCCGAGTTCAGCGCGTTCACCACCATCTTGCGATCCGTCGGGCCGGTGATCTCGACTCGTCGGTCCACCAGACCCGGGGCCGGGGGAGCACCCCTCCAGGCATCGTTCTCGCGGATGTGCTTCGTCTCGGGCAGGAAGTCGAGGAGCTGGCCCTTGTCGATCTCGGCCTGGCGGTCGATGCGGCGCTGCAGCAGGGCTTTGCGAGTGGGATTGAAGGTGCGGTGCAGGATGGCCAGGAAGGCAGAGGCATCCTTGGTCAAGATCTTGCGGGCTTCATTAGGGATGGCACCCAGGATGGCAACATCCTTGAGCTGAGCGTCGATTTGGCTCATGGCGGCGGTTCTTATCTTATCGTTATCTGATACCAATATACAGTGGGTTTCCGTGTTGGAGTTGAAGCTAGGTGAGGTAGGGTATATTCACAACCACAAGAAAGAGTGAAGGTCAAGAGAAGAGAAATCAGACTCAAGGTTCAGAAAAGACACTCCGGACAGGCGATATAAGTAAGTTCGAGAGCAGCGACGACTACGTCAGAAGCCCGACACAACCGCGGCCCATGGGAACTTTGTTCGGCCCCGATAGGCGGTATGCTCGTTACCGCGTATCGTCACGGTCTCGGCATCTTCAGGCAGCTTCGGGCCAATCAGAAGGGGCAATGGCGCTGCGATCCCGGCGAGGATGAGCGGAACTTGCCTATTGGGGACAGCCCGTGACTTTTCCGCGGGGAACTCGTACGTCTCCGCGTAACGATACCCTATCGATACGCAGCGGTTATCGGCCGACTCTTTTTCCAGTTACTCGACCGCAATTACTCACAGAAGCAGTAGTTACTAGTAGTCCCAGTAGTTAGTTAGACCTGAGGGAAGAACGAACTCCCCTCGGGTAACGCCGCCCACCGATTGATAAGAGTGACCATTCGGAATCGAGTAATGTATATTAAGCATCTATCTCTATGCCTCCCCTCAGCCGAGGGACAACTGCCCCAGACTGCAAAGCTCCCCACACCCGAGAGGCTGCCGCGGTTTCACGTCATGGCTGCCTCAGGTGTCGTCGAGCTCTCTACATCCTCCTCGTCAATCATCAGTGCCTCGTCCCGTCGTCTCGTTCTCTCCCATCCAGTGGGGAGAACAACTAAATATAAAAAACAGTCACCCCGACGGCATCCACGGTATCGACTTCCCCAGACCAGTCGAACACACATCCAACATGTGAACGCCTCAGGCTCACATGTGATCAAGTCTTGTCCGCACTCGGAAACCCTCGGAGGCTTCAGGCAAACACCCGGACGGTCCTCGTCGCGGCGCATGTGCCCTCCGGTTCTAGACCGTCTCGATGTACCGCCGCACTTCCCTGTAGATCGGGGTCAGTCAGTGCGCTCTCTGCCGTCGTGAAATACATACCAGTCGGTAACCGCCTCTTCCCACAGCCGCACTTCATGCTCGCGAGTGCCTCCGAAATGTTCAACGAAGGCATCCCCAAACACCTCGCGTGCCACGCTGTCTGGGCGCATAAATGCCGTCGTTGCGTCTCGCAGCGACTTGGCCAACCGTACTCCCTGGTCGCTGGCACCGCCCATATCCTCGCCCTTCGAGAGCGGCGGCACCGGGATCGCCAGCTTCTTCTCGACTCCGCGCCATCCCAATGCGACCACGGCCGCCAGAACGAAGTGCGGGTTGGCATCTGCGCCCGGCACGCGCACCTCCAGTCGCGTCGCCTTCGGGCTGGCCGTCGGCGGTGCGATCAGTCGAACTGAGGCGGCACGGTGCTCCAAACCCCAGGACACCGTCACCGGAGCCCAGAAATTCTCGACCAGGCGTTTGTAGGAGTTAATCGTCGGAGCGAAGAGCGGCATTATATCCGGTAACCCGGTCAGAACGCCGGCCAAAAAGTGGCGGCCTAGGTCGGACAGGTGCGCGACGTCGGGGTACGGCGGCGACGGATCGGGAGTGCTGCGGAGGAAGGCATTCTGCCCGTCGCTCCCGACGAGAGAAATATGCATATGTCCGCTGTTCCCCGGTAGGCCCTCACGAGGCTTCGCCATGAAGGACGGAGTAATCCCATGCTTCGTGCCGATGGACTTGACCACAAACCTAGCACGGTCAGTATCCTACCATACGCGCCAATTTTCCGACCTACTTGAACAGTCCCGCTTTATCAGCCATCTGTTTGGCCTCCCCGAATTGTAGTGCCTGTTCCGTCAGCGCGGTCCTTCAATCATCGTATGGGCACTCACAGCCTCGAAGACGCCCGGTCCGCTCTCAGTATGCCATCCCTCGATCTCGCAATCGAACTGCTCGCAGGCGTCATATACTCCGTAATAGTAATCCTGGTTGTGAATTGGTCGCGTCAGACTGTATGCGAACATTCCCTCCGTCAGGGACGGCAACGACTCGACGGGGTTCTCTTTGAGGAAGGTAGCGGTGGACGACGCATTTCGCTCGGGGGTCGCATGTTCTCCGGGGACGCGGAACTGATAAAACTCGTACTCGGCTGATTCGTCAGTATTCATCCCGCGCAAACAAGGGGGAGGGGGCACCAACCTCCAGCCATCGCACGATAACCAGCCTTCTCTGCCTTGCCGAGCGCTGTCTTCAACAGACCGCGCGGACACGCGCACACGGGCTCCCTCGTCTCTGGATCATGAAAGCTGACGAGGAAAAATGGCACATTATTTTCCCAGGGGATACGGCGGAAACTGCTCAGGTCCGGCACGGCGACGATATCGCGATATCCGTTGTCTCTGTTGCTGATCGATAGCTCCTTGAAGTATGTCTGGTCGTGCATGTCCCAGCCAAACACCACCGAACAGAACCCGAAGCCATCGGCGACGATGGAGAGGAACTTCTTCTTGGACACTAGTTTGCCGCGCAGCTGGCCGTCGACGTCAACACCGGCCAGCTTGACACGGGTGTCGTTTTGGAGGATGTCGGCGACATTATCGAGGGTGACGGTGGGGGAGGACATGTTGCTAGGCAATTAGTATGGAACTCCTGAAATTCAGATATGCAGACTCACAGAACAATGGAGACAGGTAAGAGGAAGAGGGGAGAGGAGATGACGAGGACGAGGACAACCGAAAGTGGGCCTGAGGCGGCTTATCGGGGCGGTGATCACGCAGCGCCGAGCTGGACTGAACAGGTATAGGAAGAAGATTAAGCTACGGCATCTCTGTCGATTGGACCGTCTCGCCGATAAAGGTCATGCGACCGACTGTTATCTGCTCAATTGTGTTCACTCCCACAGTCCGGATGAGGACACGCAGCAATGCAGAAATGCAGCATCGCTGGCATCGCAGGATGGGGTTATCAGGGAGCTTAGCTAATGCGGGCCACTGCCCCGCGTGAGCTGTTCTCTTCTCTCCTGTCCTGTACGACCCCCTTCCTTCTTCCTCCTTCCTTCAATCCAGCTGTTATCTCCTCCCAATTTACTTCTCCTTCCTCCTCTGAGCCTCTCTTATCAACCAGTAAGTCAATTCACTCGTTTGTCCCCTCCTCATCCCCTACATGTCGTCAATGACATCATCGCCTATGCCCCGCGATGTCCCTGAACAAACACAGCTAACCAGCAATGTATAGATCAATATGTCCGCTCCCCGAGGCCGTCTCCAAGGCAAGAATGCCATCATCACCGGTGCCGCTGGGTGAGTTGTATTCCACCCTACCAGCCTCTCCACGCTAATCACCTGCAGAGGCATCGGTCTCGAGACCACCATCCTCTTCGCCCGTGAAGGCGCCTCCGTCCTAATGGCCGACATCTCCGAACCCGCCCTCGAAAAAGCCATCGCCAAGGTTAAGGAAGTCGTTCCCACCGCTCCCCGCGTCGAGATCATCAAGTGCGACGTGTCCAAGGAGACGGACGTGCAGGCGATGATCGACGCCCAGGACAGCTGGGGCGGCGTGGACGTGATCTTCAACAACGCTGGAATCATGCACGCCGACGACGCGGATGCCGTCGATACCCCCGAGAAGATCTGGGATATGACGCAGAACATCAACGTCAAGGGTGTCTGGTTTGGATGCAAGCACGCGGTGCTGAGCATGCGGCGGAACAAGAAGGCGCGCGGCAGCATCATCAACACGGCGAGTGTGGTCGCTTTGGTTGGTAGTGCCACGCCGCAGCTGGCCTACACGGCGAGCAAGGGCGCTGTTCTGGCGCTGACGAGAGAGCTGTCTATCGTGCATGCTCGCGAGGGCATTCGCTTTAATGCCCTGTGTCCCGCGCCTTTGAAGTATATCCCCTTCATTTTCCGTCTATCGATGGCTGCTAACGAATATTCAGCACTCCCCTCCTCCAGGACTGGCTCGGCGATGACCAGCCCAAGCGGTTCCGTCGCGAGGTGCACTTCCCCACGGGCCGATTCGGCGAGGCCATCGAGCAGGCGCACGCGGTGGTCTTCCTGGCCAGTGACGAGAGCAGCTTTGTGAACGGTAGCGATTTTGTGGTCGACGGTGGAATGTCCAGGGTATGTTCCCATTGTACTTCTTCGAATCTTTGGCTAACTGAATGTAGGCCTACGTTACTCCCGAGGGACCCCCCACCGCTGCGCCCCAGAACTTGGGCCATTAGATTATGAATTAGCAGTAGCATGAGAAACGAATAGATTGGTTTATGAGATAACGATTGGTTCATCCGCCTGATTGCCGTACGTGCTTTTCTGTTGCTCTGAACACCTCGGGTTACATACATGATCTGCCAGTTTGAGTCCTGATCTAGCTTAAAACCTCAGATAGTGCTTGGAAAACACTTAACAGCTATCTCCCTTCTCCACAACCCGATACCCCTGCCACCCCTCATACTTCAAGCAGACCTCCCACCCATTTCGCAACGCCATGGCCTCTTTGTCCGAGCAGTCGTCACTCGCATACAAGCAGAGATCATGCTTCCCGTTCTCCCTCTTGGCTTTCCACGACAGCGAATCCACCTCACTCAGGTCAATTGTCGTTCCGTGGGGGCCCACCTCTGTCAACAACGAAACGCAGTCCCTGGTGCCGACTCCGGAGCGATGTAAAAGCGATATACTGAGACCCGTGCGGTTCGGGCTGCAGCCGGGCTGAGAGAAGCGGAGGTCCCACTTTCAAGCCATTAGCCCCAGGAATCTTGGTGACGGAAAGCAGGAAAATAGACTCACGTTGCGGTACTTGAGGATCTCAAATTCCGGGTTGGAACTGGTGGATGTTGGCACGGCAGCTGCTCCAAGGAGGAGGGCAGATAGGAGGAGAAAGGAGCGCATTTTGGGAATCGTGATCGTGATCGTGCAGAGGGAGCATTCTATGGGGATTCAGCTGGCTTAAATCTGAGAATGCGAGTCAGTTGCCCTGCTGCTAGTCCCCAACGGTATTCGTATTGCTGTTGGAGGTGAGAACTTATGCATGCATGTATGCTGCCATTGCAGAAACACAGCAAATCATGTTCCTGCATGGTGGCAGCCGAGCTGGGCGTCTTGTCTTTATGAGGGATTCGAGCCACAAATAGACCTTTTAACAGGGTATGTTGCCACCAATCATGTGGATCTCTGATGTTGCATTCGTCTGGGACAGGAGCCTAACGTATAATTAGGTTATAGGCTACAGTCCAGGCTCGGCTGAACAGCCCTGTGCAAATGAAAATCAAATCAAATTCTCATGCCCCTGGAATAGCCATATCTTACCTGACTTGATACGAGCACTACCGAGAGTGGTTGTATACGTCAATTCCAACCTGCCCATATGAAGTCCAGACCATTTTCTACTCATCTTCACTTTCCTCCACCTCCTGGACCCTATCTCCGCTTGCCCCCTCAGGGTCCTCAGGATCCTGCTCCGGCAATGCCTCCAGTCCCCGTTCCACAGCCAATGCCTCCGGGACACTCAACGTGCCACACTCAACCGCACGCAGCAGAATCGGCGTATGAAGGTGTCCATCATGGCGCGACCTCGAGCTCCTCGCCGAGAACGCCATGATTCGCAGCCCATGAAGCAGCAGCTCAGACGGCGCCACCTGCCCCTCGTCTCCATCTCCATCCCTAACCCTGCCTTCCTCTCCTCTCTCCTCCTGCTCTTCCTCCCCTTCTCCCGCAGCAGCAGTGCTTCCCTCGAGCAACCTCCCCCGATTAACATTATAACTCCCCTTCCATCTCGGATGCACATATCCGCGCATCGAATCCGCACTCCCAATCACCGTCTCAATCACCGTCAGCGCCCACCCCCCTTCCCTCGCCCAGTCCCTGAACCCATCCGGATCCGTAACCGCCTGCCACGCGACCGAAAACCCAGCCGACAACAGCGGCCCCACTCCGGGCACGCAGCCCAACCCGGCCGCAATCACCGTGCCGATTAGGTCGCGGATGAACGAGTTCCTCGGCGGCACGGGCTTCCAGATCACATCGACAGCGAAGTTCGCGTTGATGAAGTCGATGAAGTCGAAGTGGCGCAGTTGGCTGATGTTGACGACTGACCCGCCCAAAAGGTTGTAGTTTGCGATCACGATGAGGCGTTCACGCCAGATGTTGGTCGTGCGGAGCTTCGGGGGGAGGGCGAGGAGTTTTATGCATTCTATTCTTGCGTCAGGACCTTACTTTACCTTGTTGGTGTTGGAGTGTGGAGGAGGGGGATATGTTTACCTTGGACGTTAATCCCCATGGTGTGGTTATTGGCGAAGCCGACGCCGTTTTGGGGAGAGAAGTGGTGAGCCATGAACACGTTCCCGGGCAGACGCCAGACATCACGTCGTCCTTGTTGGTAGAAGTTCACCTGGACGTAGGTGCAGAGGTGCGGAAAGTCTTCGTCTGCGGACTGGGAAAGTGGGAAGTAGACGGCTCGGATGGGAGCGATAAGCTATCCCCGTGTCAATAAATCTTTCTATAGAGCCGTACCGTACATGGAGGGGAACTTACATCAATCCAGAGCCACTTCTCCTCCTCAGTCGGCATCGGACAAGGATGCACCCAGACCTAATCAAACCATCAACAGTCAGCATCCCACACCCAATCTTGTACCGATATGAACTCACCGTCTGCGCCGCCCCATTATCCCGATCCTTAAACCTGCGCACATCCGTCTCCAACGGAATGCGCACAATGCGTCTGATCCGATTCCGCTCCCCCAGACTAACCGGCAAATGGCTCCAGAACCCAAACCAGACGTTATAAAACAATCCAGGTCCTTTCTCACGAAGATACGTGGAGCGCGGGTTCGTGGCGTGATTGGGAGCGCTGCCTTGGCGTCGACCCATGGGTTCATTGCTGACCCATTCGATCAGGCAGTGGGTGTAGAACTGGTCGGCGCGCGCAGCGCTCCAGCCTGGGAATTGCAGGCTGGAGCGTTGGAAGTAGACTTCTCCTTCGGGGTGGGCGGAGGCCATGGTGGATTGACTTGCTTTGCTGAGGGGAGGGGGATGAGATTGAGGATTGTGGAATTGCGATGGGTGGGTTTAAATCGATTCAGAATCCTTGGAGTGTTACATTGGCTAATGCAGTGGTGAAGAGGGGATATGCATGGTAGCTGACGTGGCTGGCTGAGATACAGATTGATTAATTTGTGATGTCACGATGTATAGGATGCAGGGGAGTCTCGGCCACCGAGATTAGGGTCCTGGCTTAGTTGTATAAAGCTCGGTTGAAACATTAAGGCTAGTAGAACATCAATACTACAGCGTAGAAGCAGTAGAAATATCTACGCAACTTTAAGCCCGACCAAGAATAACGACTTATAAATGTGCTGCTCAAGCCAGGATGACCTACTATACCGGGTGGCAATTTAGAAAAAGCAATATCAGCGGGGTAGCAAACAATTAATATTGTAGCCCTGCTAGTGTCACCCGCGGTTGACTCTAGATTCCTGGCGGGGCAACATAAATCAAGAATAAATGGCACCACAGTGTAGACCTGGCGGATGGGATAGTGCAATCCCTATAGGATTCTGTGTTGGTGTTTAGCTTATGGGTACTTCATCCACTACGGCGCTTACAAGTGGGACCTCAATATGAAACCTGTCGATGTCTAGGCCCTCTATTACAATTGATAGTAGCGTACACACTTAACTTTCTTAGACGAAAATCAAGTACTCTAGCATGGTAATGCGACAGAATAAAATAGCCCAGGCAGACCAACTGTGAATCCAGACCGAACTATAATTCGAAAGTTCATTCCCGCCGTCAAACATCGAAATGATCAACACCAAAATTCTATTGATCGGGTTGTATACTCAGAATGAACCAAATCAAACAAATAGAAAATTAAACAGCCGGAATGGCTCCTTTCCCAACCTCCTCTGACCAGCCCAACCCAGACCTCTATCTTCCGTATTCTCTCTACCCATTGACCAATATTGATCCTGCCGAAATGCCACGCCCACACAAGTCAGTAATGTCATTTGCAATGGGGACCCGGTGAAGCTGTGTGCTGTAGACATGACTTTCAACAACGGCCTGCTGTATAGCAATGAGTACTATTCTGGGATGGTAGGATTGTGGCAGGTCAGGGTAACATCGTTATGTTAGTTCGGTTCTAGTCAGTGCATTATGTATATTTGCTGCATGAGGTGTGAATGGGTTACAAAGATAGTGACTTTTTCTGTTGAGCTCTGCGAGAGAATCATAGTGGATTATAAGGCATGTTTCAACCGCCGTACAGGCTTGTCTGAGCAAAGTAACAGAGGACAACAATTGTCGCCCATTCAAACGTGCCAACAATCACGAGACATCACGTGCGGCCCCTGGCTCCAAAGGGCGGAATGGCGGAAATGTCAACGGATCCACCGATCCACCCCTATCTATCAGCATGCCCCGGACGCGCCGACTACTTCGAGATGAGCAGATCACATACTCAGTTGCTCAAGAGCAGGAGACTAATATTCTTCATCAATTGGGGTATCCCGAACAGCAGAGCCGGTTCTTCGCCCATCTTCACGCCCGGCAGGATTGGATGAAAGCCATCGTTGCTCATCATCTGGGCTTACACACTTCAGCCGTATGCCATGTGGCAGATGAAGCCCACTGGCTCTCGGGTAGTTTCAATGTCTTTGTCCCAGTGACTATCGATGGGTGGAATGGGACACGCGTCCTGATCCGCTTCCCCCTGCCATACCGCGTCGGTGAATCCGTGAGGCCGGGCAATGGGGACGAGAAGATCCGATGCGAAGCAGGGACCTATGCTTGGCTTCAAGAGAACTGTTCGGATATACCGATCCCGTGCCTGTATGGCTTTGCCTTGTCGACTGGTGAAACGGTACGGAGATCTGGACGGAGATCTAAGTTCTCTCTAGCTATCCCGACTGACTGAATCCAGTTTACTCGGCTTGAGAGCTTACCAATCCCCACCCGGTCCTATCAGGTTCTCCGTCGACGAATCTTAACCTGGCTAGGCTATCCGGTCTCGAAGTATGTTCGTCACCAGATCGCAAACCACACCACCTTGGATGGTGTCGTTGGCTCTGGCTATCTTCTGGTAGAGTACATTGAAGAAACCCAAGGACAGATGCTTTCCGGAACATGGGTCAATGGCCAGCACAATGCCAAACTGCGGAGGAACTTGTTCCGTGGTCTTTCTAGAATCCTTCTTCATCTCAGCCGCGTTTCCTTACCCAAGATAGGATCATTCCTTATTGACAATCATGGATACTTACATTAAGCAAATCGACCACTCTCCATGGAAGTCCACCAGTTGGAAAACGAGAATATTCCAACATATATACCTAGGGACTACACCTATTCAACCGTTGACTCGTACATTACCGATATGCTCTCACTCCACGACAGTCGCTTCCGACACCAGCCGAATGCTATAAACGATCTAGGCGACTGTGGCTACCAGTTATCAGCCTTAAGTACAATGCGAACAATTTTCTCGTCCCTCTTTCGGCGGGACTTCCGACGTGGCCCATTCAGCCTTACTCTGACCGATCTTCACCAGAGTAATATATTTGTGGACGCCGAATGGAACATCACTTGCCTCGTTGATTTGGAGTGGGCATGCTCCATGCCCATGGAGATGATAAGTCCTCCCCATTGGCTCACCAACAAGGCCGTGGACCAGCTGGATGCCGCAGAGTACGATGCCGTACGAATGGAGTTTATGAAAGCTCTCGTCGCAGAGGAGAAAGAGAGGGAACTCAAGTCTACTGCGCTAGGAATGGTCGGCAATAGCGAAGCCGTCCCGCGTCTGTCGGATGTTATGAGTCAAGCTTGGGCGACGGGGACATTCTGGTACACACTTGCTCTTTCCAGCCCTTCTGGGCTGTTCAGCATTTTTCACAAACATGTCCGGCCTTTGTTCTGCGCCAACTATGGCGAGGAATTTAATTTGATCATGCCTTTCTTCTGGGAGAGAAATATAGGATACATTGCCGCGCGCAAACTTTCTGATAAACGAGAGTATGACGAACGCCTTCGGCAGACCTTCGAGGATAACTAAACAGCAAATCCAAACAGACTTATTGGGACCTTTTCTCGCTCGGATTCCCCCGGTCTTGGCGTTCTGTCCCTGGAAACTGATCCTTCACAGCTTCACCCAAAGCCTCCGTCTATCCTTCAACTTGATTCGCATCGCGGCATCGGTGCAGTAAATGAGCAATAGAAACCCACTCTCCGAAACCCAATACCAAGCGCCTTTTCCCGAAAACATCATGCGGTACACTATGCTGAAATGAGTGCGCTTTATTGGCTCCCATTGCGTGGGCGCGACAGGAAGACTGAGTGAGACCTTGTAAGTTCATATTTTGATGGCTGAGTACTGCTGGCTTCAACATTTACAGACAGATTCATTCAGCATTATCTCGTCAATCGAATTCAATACTCAAAGGATTCTACATGCGAGCGAACGCGGCCAATCAGGGCACCTACTCGTCGGCCGCCTCTATTGACTTACCAGACACTGTAACCGAAGGAGGGGGAAGAAGGCTGTCTATATTAATCCGAGCGTTTCCACTCGTATATTCTGCGTAAAGCATTATTGCAAGAATCTAGGGCAACTGATATCCGTAATTTATTTTTCCTCGTGCCCTAAAGCCTTATCCCGGGCACCATCAGCAGCCTCCTCGAACCGTTGACGCAGCAACTCCTCATACCCCTCCTTATCCCGTAGTTTGTGAGCAATCACATCCTCTCCATCAGGAGCCCAGAGTCCCGAAGCAACCTCCGAAAACTCGCGCGGAATACCCCGGGAGGATATAAACCGCGGATAAACATGCTGACCGAAGAGGTTAAACAGGCCCTTCGGACTATCCAGAGCATGGAAGTACCAGAACGCTCCGACCTGCGAGCTCCTTCTCATGAGATCTGTCCTGGAAAAAGAGACATCGTTGACAGTGATAGGAGGAAAGAGCTTTTCTTCCTGCTCGAAAATATCCACAAACTCGTCGTGCGCGCGCCGGAAGGTTTCCAGATGTTTGCCGGTTAGTTCGTCGATGGAACGGCCGGTAAGCCAGTACGGAGGACGGAGTGTCTCCGCGGGTAGTGAACATGCCCATTCGAGATCAATCACGGCTTTGATGTTCCAGTTGCTGTCGACGAAGAGGTTGCTGGGATGGAGATCGGTGAGTCGGTAGAAGAAGGGTCCTGATCGATACTCGCGGTCGGAGAAGTGAGGTATTAGAGCTCTCATCATCGTTAGTCGTGCCATCTGGGCTCGGGCGTCCTCTTCGTCTGTTATGGAATTTGGCTGGTGCCGGATGCGACTGTCATGACAGGACAGAAGATCATGATAGTATGCGTCCGCGGCTGAGTATGTCAAGCTGCGACTGATGTTTGTCGGGATTCCCCCGTTTTCTAATTGATGCAGTCGAAGGGTGAGAGGTCGGTTGGAAAGTTGTAGGACCCCATTAGAGTCTAATGTCCAGGAGCCTATGCGAGGTAGTGGGATGCGACTTAGAGAGAGCATGATGCGAGAAAGACCCTTGAAGAGGTTCCTTCTCTTGTCCTGTTGGGAACGGTGCTCGTCCCATGTCTCAGAGAGCATTTGAACGTCCGAGTTTCCGACATCCTCCATCACCAAGTACCCAGTTTCGAGCAGTGCCGAACGTTGATGGCGAACATAGGGACAGGGCAGGGGGTGCCCCAAGAGCCTCGTAAGGAATTGTTTGAAAGACCAGAAAAATCTCACTCTCAAAGGGGTATTCTGCGGTTTCGTAAACTGCACAGACCACTGTTAGATCCCAAGCAATCCAGACTGTCAATTCAGCATTCATACACTTTGGCCCCCAACCAGCCCAAACCCCCACAGCTGAGGAATGGGTATTTCCGGACAATGCTCCTCCATCCAGATAAAGGTCGCGGCTTCGCAGCGAAGCTTTTCGTCCACATTGCCAGGGTGCTTGAATTCCCCCACTTTATAAGGCAAGGGGAATCTGATCAGCGCTCGCTTTTCCGGAAGCTCTCGTTCGCCGACATAGAGCGGAATGCAGACGTTGAAGCTGCCGTGGACCCATTCGTTGACGCCTCCGATGCGGCATGTTTCTGTACGCTCCAAACCAAGGTGATAGGATGCGATCCGCTCGATTTCATCACGATTGCTGTACAGCGACACAAAGAAGTCTACGCGCTGTTCCGGCAAGTCTAGGTCAAGCAGGATATCCTCCTCTGACTTCAGCGCTGCTTCTAGGGTTGTTGTGCCCCGGAGGAGGGGGAGGGTGGTCACTTGGCGCGGCATCGCGAGAGCTGGTTGATCTGGAATAACATCAAATGCAATGGTTGGCACTCAGGAAGTGCTTGTCTGAAAGATCCAAATGTCCGGCTTACAGTTCGATGAACAATAAACTGCTGTCCCGCGGCCCCTTGAACAAAGGCGATCTTCACCGCCCCGGTTGAGACATCCAGCCAAGCCATCCCTTGTCATTCCGGATCGGACTATGATGAAGCAACTGCCATCTTCGGGTTTTCAACAGACAGTGCATATCAATCCTGCATTGGGTTCAACAAACCAGAAAAAGAGCTCACCATCTACATCATCCAGAAAGCTGTACACCAAAGGAGGAACATAATGAGCCGATGGAATTGGAATGCTTGAATTGATCAAAGGTCTTGAAGACCGCTGACTCGCCAAAACCCACGGTGGGTCACATGCAGACTAACTATATCAGGCAACTGAAGGCCTCAGGCGCCAACGTGAGCTCTACTCTCTCGGAATCAAAACACTATATATATGTCTTCAATTAAGCACCACTCCACCAACTTCAAACCGATTATCCTTAGGACAGCCTGCCCAGCCCGTAATGCCAGCAACCGGGCCCTTCCTAGCCGCTACCTGCTTGGCAGTATCACCCAGGATCTCTGCAAACCCATCATTCAACGACCGCCATCCATGGCTGGGCAATCCATTAACCGGATCCTTCGCAAACGCGAGCCATAGATCCTGCATCACCTCGCTAGTGACAGCTTGGAACTTCGTGCCAGGACCATTCACATTCCCGTAAGTTCCCATAACCAGAGGCAGCTCGGCCGAGTGATACGCTCCCGAGCCGTCCGGGGAAATATTCGAGAAGTTGCCACGATACTGATAGAAGAAGCTCGGTTTATTTGCTTGCAGTCGATGTCTCAGGCCCTGAACTTCCGGACACAGGAATGTCGAAGCCGGCTCGTTGAGATTCGCCCCGTAGATGGCGGGTACGTCGGCGAAGTGCCCTTGTTGGTACAGAGCCGTATAGTCCGAGAACACGGTAATGTTGTCTTGGACTGGTTGGAAGCTCAGCGCAGACCCCGAGGGGCCTTCGATGAAAGCCTCGATCTTTGTGGCTGGTTGATTCCGTAGGCACGCGAGTTGCACGGCGTCCGAGCCCGTGCAGTTGAAATGCGACGCCAGGGTCGCAAACCCAGACTGACTAGCGTTTCCCTGGCCGCCGAAAAGCCAGACACTCCCCGAGTCGATGATAAAGCCCTTGGCGATGGGGTCGTTCGGGTAGGCAAAGTTGTACCAGTCGATTGAGGCCGCGCCGGCGGACTGGCCCCAGAGCGTGATCTGGTCCGGGTTGCCGCCGAAGGCAGCGATGTTATCTCGCACCCACTCGATGGCAAGACGCTGGTCCAGAAGGCCGAAATTCTGGGATTTGTCTTTCAGCGCATGCGAGCCGGGGAAGCCGAAGACGCCTAGGCGGTACTGGATCGATACGACGATGTGTGACTGGGATCGTTCCACCCAGTTGGCGGGGATCTGGTATTGCACTGATTCGCCGCCGGCGGAGAGGCCGCCTCCGTGGATAAAGATGACAACGGGGAGGCGTTCACGCCGTTTGGCAGGGGCCCAGATGCTGAGGGTAAGACAGTCTTCGCTGACGGGAGTGCTGATCAGGTACTGGCCTCCGGTCAACGTGCCGTAAATGTCATCGCCGATAGTAGTAGTTTGCATGCAGGCATTGGGCATGTGGTTTGCAATGATGGTTTTGTTGGAATGGGGCAATGGTGCCGGAGGTGCCCATCGACGATGTCCGACTGGAGGCTGGGCATATGGGATTCCAAGCCACGAGTGGACGTTGGGAGCGGTGCTATTGATGACACCACTGACTACGTGTTTGTCAGTATTATGCGGCAATCACAATTGGGTTCCAACTCACCGGTGCCTGTCGAAGTAGTAACCGTCAGATCGCTGGTCGTGTTGTCTTTAAATTGAGCCAACGTAGGGGCCGTCGCCGATAGAAAAGAAAGCAGCCCAAGGATAAAATGCATCTTGAAGCAGCAAATGTGAGGGGCTAGAAATTTGAGATTCAACTATCACAGAAGAGAATGGGTGTTTATAGCTTTACAATGCTGGTGGTCTATATGCCTCGGAATTCATGATTGGAGTAAATTGCCCATTGCGGGGTGGAAGTGGAGCAAGTCCAGATTCCATCTTTCTATAAAGCGCAATACATAGGGGGATGAATAATGAATTCCTAGCAGATGCCGATCATTCCTCCATATGAGTTCATCCTGCATCGTAGTGGCACGCATACCTGCCGAGCATAGCAGCCGAACGGGGACTACGCCACAATTCAAAGCACTAAGTTACAGTTCAATCGAAAGTGAAGATCTCTAGTATTTAGTAGCCTAGCACCAGCAGCTAGGCTGAACAAAGCGTATACAAACTTGGAGCTCGAGTTCACAACCCGTGCAAGGACGCAAGAGTAGAAGACACACGCATCATAATATACGGTTCTTGCTCGCTTGAACCGTCCAAAGATCCACTCAGGCCGGATATCCAATCCTTCAGTCACGGAGAAACCCCGCGGTAGTTGCGTCGGCGATCGACATCAATTTAGTTATCTTGGCTCCCCGCAGTGCGAGCAGTCCTCGTACCATGATTTTTACGGGTGCCTATCTGAAGCTAGCTGAGGTGTACGGTCTAGCAAGAGCATATCCGGAAAGAGTCCTTCTGGGGGCTTTCTTAGGTATCATGAGGTCATCAATCGATATCCTCTCGAGTCTATCCAAATCAGCTCCCTGGCAATGTTCCGAGTATTTCACCGTGATTCTTGACTTACAGTGAGGAGAGAAACATATAAATCCCTGATTGAATATGGTCTCCATGCCATTGCTTACTGTTCATTTAGTTTATTTAAGTAAAAAACATCTCTAAACGAATGTTCCACATTGCGCTATACCCCTAGATGATGCTTGACTCTCTAGGCTATAATTCCTATCCCAACCCCTCTCACAATCTTACTGCGACTGATCATCGGTCTCTTGTTCTGTTCTATCCTTCGGCCCCGCTCTACCTCATCCTTGATCCGATTGGAGCCGAGCTGAAGTACATTCCACCGACGTTCCCAAACTCACGATGATCAGCTTTGGAGCACTCGAAGTATAGATCAGAAACAAAGACGCAAATAAATAGACCCCCAATCCTAAATTATACCATGAACATGCCACAGACAAACAATCTCTCAATTCAAGATCTCACCCCATAACAATGCACTTCAACCTCCCCCTCGCATTCTTAGCACCTCTCGCCCTCGCCCTTACTCTCAGCCATAGGAGCTACGCCAATACCACTCCTTTATCAAACACCCACTCCTCCCTGCTATCAGAGCAACACATCGTCCTAACCGAGTTCTCGAGAGTTTTCTACACCGAAAAAAACGTCCCCCTCGCATTCAACACCTACGTATCCGAGTCCTACTTCCAACACAACCCGAACATCCTAGACGGGCGCGAAGCCGCCATCGACGCCCTATCCCCGCTCTTCGCAACCCCCGGCGCAGAATTCCAGATCATTAATCTGTTTGTGGGCGAGGGGTTTGGGCTGGTTCATGTGCGGGCGATCACGCCCGGACAGAACGACTCCAGCGTTATGGATTTGTATCGGTTCCGGGGAGTGGAGATTGTGGAGCATTGGGATGTTGGGCAGGTTGTTACTGAAGGGGTAAATCCGCATCCGTTCTTTTAGGTATAGGGAGGGGGAAAGGGGCATGGGGTGTATCGTTAAGAGGAGAGAGAAGATGTGGGAAGAGAGGGTTCGTTAATATGGAGACTCCGAGACTTCGGTTCTTTCGGTCAGCTCCGAACTCGGGTCGAATCAAATGGCCCGATGGCAAAAGGTCTACAGTGGACGTCAACTGTAAGTATCATCAGTGGGACTGAGATATATCGGCTGATCGAATATGGTCTGTCACTTAACATCCAGAGTGGACCCTGAAACCGAAGATACGTCCCAATAACCATCTTATATTACAACCAACATAGCATGTCCATCAAATTAAGTTCATCCATACCAATCAATCTATCTATATACAAACATACATACAACCGCAACCAATCTCAATTAAAACTTCCCGCCCACCGGGAAATTCCTCGAACTGAATCCCACCAACACCTCGTGCTCCCCCTCCGGCATCACCCAATTCTGCTGTCTCGAGCTCCAATAGCTCAGATCCTTGCGGGTAAGGGTCAACTCAACCGGACGGACCTCGCCGGGCTGCAGCTCGATCTTCGTGAAATTGCGGAGCACGCGGTCGGGGAAGTCGATGTGCTCCTGCTGCAGTTCCATTTGGATCTCGTCGCGCTGCTGGGCCGGCTCTTGGTTGGGGTCTTCGGATGCGTTGGGGTCAGAGGGCTCCTCTCCCTGGACAGGAACCAGGTCGCCTTCTTCGATGACGTCGTCGGGATAGCCGACGTAGACTTGGATGACGGTTTGACCGGGACGCTTGCCCGTGTTTTTCACCCGGACTTGGACCTTGGCGATTTCGTCGTACAGGGACGGATTGCCGCCGAGACCGCCGCCGGCCGGGGAGGGGGGATACGGGAGCCCGTAGCCGTCGGGGTAGTGGGTGTAGTTCTTCGGGAGGGTGCCGTCAAGGTCGGGGAGGTAGGGGTAGATGAATCGGGCGAGGGGGACAATGTTGTCAGGGAAGTAGAAGCTCTCGTTGGAGGGGATGGTGGTGTTGTATTCGGGAGGAGGAAGCAGGGCGACGGACGAGGCAGACGGAAGAGACGACTTGGGCTGCAGAACGTTGATGTTCAGGTCGGACATCTCGAAGCTCGTGTACGACAGACCAAACCCGAACTCGAACCGCGGTGTGATGTTGTAGCGGTCGAAATGCCGATGGTCGATGTAGAGCGAATCGGAAAAGTTCACCTGCGGGACGACGCCGTTCGGCTCGTACAGCACCTGCGCGCCGGGCCCGTAATCCTCCAGGCTCTTGCCAACCGTGTAAGGAAGTCGACCGCTGGCGTCGAGATCGCCGAACATGACATCGATCAGCGCACTACCGCTCTCCTGTCCGGGCAGGTGGGCGAAGAGCACGGCGTGCACACCCGGCAAGTCAATCCACGGCTCCACCACCACGGGGCCCACGGCGTGGATGACGACGACCGTGCGGCCGTTGCCATTGCCGCAGTTATTGGCGACCGTCTGGATGAGCGTGTCCCCGCCGCGCTGCAGGAACAGGTTCGGCCGGTCGCCGTGAATGCCACCATAAGACTTGTAGCCCTCGCCGGAGTTGGCGTTGGCAAACACCAGGCACAGGTCCTTGTCAGCTGCATCCGCCGGCATCACGGCATTCCGCAGGTACGAGGTGGTCTCCACGTGGTGATCCCAGGCGTCCTCGATGGCCTGCTGGGGAGCTACCAGGTAGGGGAATTCAACGGTACCGCTGCCCCAGCCCGTGGCCAGGGTCCCCGAGCTGCAGGCACGATCCTCACACACGTTGGGTCCCATGGCCGGCCCGGCATCGTCGCCAAAGATTCCGACCTTGTACCCCTCGACGGGGCTGCGCGAGAGCGGCAGGGTGTTGTCTTGGTTCTTCACGAGCACCGTTCCCTCGGCGCCGATCTTGCGGATGAGAATCATGTGCGCGTCCTCGCCCTCGCCCTGGACATCCACATAGCGATTGACGAAATCGTAATCCCGCGCGTTGTTCTGCTGCAGCCAGCCCACTTCGTCGTCCGTCCAGGAAGAGAAATTGGGGCCTCCGTCACCGTCCGGGCGCGGTAAGGGCCATGTGTCCTGGCCCAGATGATACCATGCGGCCACGATGCGCGTAACCATGTCGTTCAGACGCTCCATCGGAATCGAGATGTTGAGCACCGCTCGGGTCAGCTCGCTGCCCCAGAGAGATTTGCCATCCTCCCAGTGCAATCCGTCTCCGGGCATGCTCATATCCAAGCCTCCGAGGGCACTGTTGATGCCCGAGCGCTGGGCCAGCCAGTCGGACTGAACGAAGCCCTGGAAGCCTAATTCGTCCTTGAGGATGCCGTTCAACAGCTTGCTGTTCTCACACGAGTGGCTGTTGTTCACCATCTGGTACGCACACATGACACTGGCCACGTCGGCACGGATACTCTCCGCGAAGGGCCACACGAACACTTCATGCAGGGCACGATCTCCGATGTTGGACGACAAGGCGTGCGGGACGCCCCATTCGTGGGGCTGGCGGAAATGTTCCTGCTCGTTCATCACGTAGTGCTTGGCGGTCGCCATGACGCCGTTGCTCTGTATGCCACGGATGGTCTCCGCGGCGGCCACGCCCTGCAGCACGGGATCCGAGCCGAAAGACTCCCAATTCCGACCACCGGCAGGCATCATGCCCAGCGGGCCCATGGACGGACCAAGAAGAACATTGATACCCTTGCCTCGCGCCTCCTGGCCCAAAGCCACACCTCTCTTATGCATCAAATCTCGGTTCCAGGTGGCTCCGGTGGTCAAACCAGCCGGAAAGGCGGAGACGTGGTCGGAGTATCGGATTCCCATAGGGCCGTCTTGTAGACAGAGCGAAGGGAATTTGACACCGTGCGCCGCACCTATCGACACAATATCATCAGTAAAATCCACGCGATCCTCCGCAAAGAACGTACCTGTGTTTCCCACGCAGAGGCCCATCTTCCAGCCCGTCCCCGTCGTAATGTTGATTTTCTCCACCAGGGTCATCCTCTCTACCAGCAGCTGAGCTTTCCGGTAATCCTCTGCCCATTCTTCGTAGACGCCACCTCGCGGCGTCGGGAAATAAGATTCCGACGGGAAATACGACTAAAACATCACAGTACCGTTAGCTCAGTAGACCCTCAACAGCTACAAGTTCACACGCACATAATCTGGCCTGTCCTCTCCCTTGGACCAGGCAAAGCTCAGGAAGCCCCACACCAGCAACGCCAGCGCAATGATGACGCCGACCAGCGTCCGCCACCAAAACTTGGAGTAGTAGACCGCGCGCCAACCCTGCTGGCGACTGCGCCGCCGACCATGCAGGAACCGCCCCTTATTCAACGGGTGGCCGTACCCGTCCGTGTCCTCGCCATCACTAAGCTCATACTGCCGGCTGGCGGATAGCAATTCCTGTTCCGCCTCGGTAATCGAACCTAGGTAGGCTTCGACGTCTGTGGAATTGCGCGCGGCGTAGGCGGTCGCATCTTTGCCGGAGCGGGAGGAATGGGTCGAGCGGTCGAGGCGACGCAATTTCACGTCAGAGTTGTCCTCGGCGTCGGACGGGTCGGAGAGAGGAAGCGAATCGTCATCGTCGGAGTAGCGACCATCCTGAACGGGGGCGTAGCGCTGAGAGGACGAGCCCTGGTTGTTGTCCCGGAAGAGGGCAGGAGGCATGGTGTGGGATTAAACCAGGGAGGGCATGGAGGGAGGGAGAAGGTGAGGAGGAAGGTGAACTGCGAGATCGAAGACCGGCAAATTAAAAAAGGAGACGCCGTCTATGCCAGAGCAACCAAAAGAGCTGAAGTGTCCATAGGGCCAAAGACCAACGGAAAGAGTAATGATTGTTGATGCTGGAGTTGAAACGTGCCGGCGGCCAATCAGCGCGGTGGCGGGCGGGCGATTACGCGGACGCTCGTCTTGGGTGGAGTGGCTGCGATTTGAGGTTGATTGTGCCGGAGCGAGGGCGATGGCGAGGACAATTCATGGTGACGGCAAGGGAGCAACGCAGGAGTCAAGAAGAGCGAGGGAGAGAGGGAGAGAGAAAGACTGGAAGAAGAAAGAATGTCGACGTCGAAAGAATCGCGGCAGGAATTCGAACCCTAATGTCGTTGCCTTAGGCCATGTCACGTCACTTCTTGCCAATCACCCCCTTACTTGGAGACGTACACTTGGAGCAACAGGATTCTGCATCATATTATTCAAGGTACTCTGTCTGTCCGACTACCCACTACGCTTCTACAGGTTCACAGTACCACGCGCTCCTCGATCTCGCGATGTCGCTCCGTCTGGCCTCGGAATGAGCGCCGCCCGCGCAGAACCCAGTCGCCCACGATGATGATCGCCACCACGCCATACACCGCAGATACGTAGTTCATATCTGACACCGAGGTTAGCTGCGACTGCGCGAACGAGACGGGACTCTTACCTCCAGCCGATACCGGATACACCGAGGGAAATGAATAGATCACCAGGCAAAACAGAGTCCACAGCAGGACCACAATATTGCAGGCCAGGCCGATCTTGCCAAGCCAAAACGGCCCATGCGGGACGTTATCGCGTCCGCGCCAGAGGAGACAGACGATGGGCACGACGTACGAGGCATACAGCAGCACGATGCACGCCGTCACCATGCTGTTGAACGCGGTCGACGACCCCAAATACAGAAGCCCCAGCAGGCCCACAATGAAGCAGCTGACGCTGTGCGCATTCAGAGGCACGTCCAAGGTCGGATGCACCTTCGACAGGAACTTGGCCACCGGCAGTCCGCGATCGCGCGCGAAAGACCAACACAGCCGGGACTGCCAGGTATGGCTGGCGATTTGGCATCCGATACCCGTGGCGAGAATCAGAGACTCGAGGACAATGGCGCCCGCCTTGTTCTGCAGCGCTTGGTAGAAGAGGGCCAGGATGGGAACGGCCGTCGGAGTGTCCAAGATCTGGTCGAGGTCGCGCAGGCTAAAGAACATGGATATGCAGTAAAACCACGAGGTGACGAATCCGATCAGCACGGTGCAGAGGATGGCAACAGGGATGCTGCGTTCGGGACGTGTCACTTCCTCCGCCAGATGGGTAGCCGAGTCGAGACACGCAAATACCCAGTTAGGATTGATCAATCCCACCAGGAAGGCGATGCCGTCCGACGGCCAGCCTGTCGAATTGACGAAATGGGCAAATACAAATCTGGCCGACGCGTGCGTTGGGGCTGTGGCGGGCACCGTGATCAGGATGACGGCGAACGATATCAGGGAGATATACAGGGTGGTTGTGGCCACTGTCGGGAGCACTTTGCCCACGCAGTTGAACAGGAAGGCGAAAAAGTTGATCACTTCGTACGCTACCACCGTATGCCACGGGTGAAGCTCACTACGGATGCTTCATTAGAGCGCACCATTGCAGCCATGAGAAGAACCTACAAATCCGGATGGGTCAGCTTCCACATGCCCACGCCTGCCGACCCCAGGCTTAATGCCACGCTGGCGCTGGTGAAGATTGCTCCGGCCCACCCCAGCCATCCGGTGAGATACGAGGCAAAGGAGGCGTACTTCTTCGGAGCCAGTTCGCTGGCCCAGAAGTATTGACCGCCGGCGTTGGGCATGGCCGATGCCAACTCGGATAGAGTGACGCCGACGCATGTCGATATAAAGGCGACCCATGGGATGCCGTAGATGCTCAGCACCGTTCCGCCAGAATTGATCCCGGTGATCAGCGACGCGGAGATGCCGAACCACGAGTTGGCCAGCGAGAAGGCCACGCCTAGGAGGGAGAGGACCGAGAAGTTGCGGTGCATATCCTGGGAGTAGCCCATCTCTGCGAGCTTTCTGGCATCGGCGTCAAGATTCGAGACTCCGACATCGTCTCCGGGGGGGCGTCGCGGCTTGTCGGACATCACGGGTTGTAGAGAGGTCGTGGTCTCTACCAGAGCATTAAGGCAGAGGAGTCTGCGGGATGTAAGAAGGACGAACCTGCGGGGTTGGATTATTCGATTACTGGACCACGCGAGAGCAAGGCTTGTCCGAGGGATGGTCGCACGGCCACTGAAGTCATCCGCTCGAGTGATGCGGCGAGAACGGCCGATGCGACGTCGGGGGGTTTAAGGTTCCTCTGGAAGTCTACATCTTAGTCCTACGCCGTCTGATCGGGTTAATGGAATTTTGATTGATTGATCGATCGATTGAATTTTACAAAGTTCCCGACGAGGTACTTCGATCACATATCCATGCCATCCACTGTCGCAGCCACAGCCGCCTACTGCTCCTCTGGACTGAAGCATTTCCGGGTAACAGACGGGGTTGTACCCAGGAACATCCTTGATCGCCCGCAGGTCATAATTCGGCTGCGCACTAGAATTTATAGAGCATCGTACCCCAGTCTTTGTCAGGTATCCCCCATCTATGAGTTTCATTGCTACTCCCCTCTTTGGCCTCCCAGGTGTCGTCACCCGCGTCATTCGTCACATAGCGCAGGCTCTTCGTGTCGTGGACAGATATGACTCGGGTCATATTTTGATCACTGTCAGTGACCAGTTCCTCAGGCACGCAGACCGGTCCCACGGTGAATGCCGGCTCAGAACGCAGTCCCCATCTTTTCCCTATGATCCAATTTGCGTAGGGAGCCAGTCTTTCGCCGCACAGGACATAAGAGTGCCTATACACCGGTAGGAAGTACATCCCGTGCGCCTTTATGAATGGTGGTTCGCCGCACGGCATACGTGCGACCCTGATATCGCCACGTTTGTCGAAGTCTCCCGGGTAGCGTTCTTTTCTGACGTCGCTGTCCATCAGCTTCAGGGCCAGGTATACCCAGCAGTCGGAGAGCAGCACGTTCTTCGGTGGCCAGCGCCCCTCCTTAATCGGGTCCCACAGCTCATAAACATATTTCATCTTCGCATAATCATAGACGTTATACTGGAAAGGCAATTTCTCGCCTTCCCCGTCGTCTTCCTTCCAGGCGGTGCGGGCCATTTTCTCCCCTTAACTCCGCTCGTACCTCATAAGGGCGTCTTTGCGAAATCCTTTGAATTCTCTTTCCTACTTCTTAGTATTGTCTAGTGGGTTGGTTCGTTCCACTTGGACTCATTTCTTTTTGGTTCGTTTCATTTTGGCTTGGACACAATAGATCCATGGATCATGGAGTCTTGGATCTGACTGCGTGGCAGATGGGCAGTTGCCTACCAGCGGTCTACCAGATCAGGTAACCGAAGGAATTTCCATCAAGATCGCTCTTGCCTCACTTATCGATATCCCTCATTCAATCTCTTCACTTTAATGAACAACAAAGAATCGATTTCCTACTCATCCGCCCATACACCTACGTGGAAATAACGCTTTCTTGTTACTGTCAACCATGGTTCTACCTCGTTAAGAAACAAAAAAAAAAAAAAGCTCTATTTCAAGTCGCTTCATACTATTAGGCTCTCGTAACTAGCACCTTGATGATAACAGGGTCAGATTCCGTCACCAGGTAAGAATAATATATATTCAGTCTGATAGCTACCAAATACAGACGACCACAACCACAGCTCTTATCATTGCACTATCCCAGTATCATATAGTTTATTATGACCCCCTCAATTTTACAAGTTCCAATATAACATCAATTGTCTGAGTATAATTGGTGTTGATTCGCCGTGAAGAAGCTGCCCAACAGTGCAGATCCCAACCATAAACAGACTAGCACCGAAAACACAGTCTGTAATTTTCAACTAATTTCCCACGGAATTACCTGCTCCGTAAAAAACACAACCTGAATATCTGTCAATCCAGTCTATTCTCTAAACATCTATGCTGTCTATCTCGAGACCACTGGGCACAAGAACGTGACAAAGGTATCAATCAGATTCAACGACATGAATCTATCAAGACTCAATCAACAAAAACAAACATGCTAAACTGCTTCAGAAACAAATTACAGGTCTTATCCACCAGTCAATCACTTCTTCAATCCAAGCAAGTTGATGCTCTTGGGTCGCTCGATGGGAAGTCCCAAGGCGCGATCCCAGATGAGTTGCACCAGTGGCCCGAGGGCACGGCTGACGCCGAAGGTGACGGTGTAGTAGAGCGGCTGCTGGAAGCCGTAATGGTAGAACAGAACTCCCGACGCGGCGTCGACGTTAGGGTGAGGGTTCTTGGTCTGCGATTGCGTTAGTCAAGGGTTGCAAGGGGCAGGACAGCGGGGGCAAAAAGGTAAACATACCTTGCCATGCTCGGTCAAAACTCCCGGGGCGATTTCCGAGTTCTTCTTCACCAATTGGAAGACCGGGTTGGCCAGCACGTCCGGACGAGTGGCGGCGAAGTCCATCAGAGCCTGGAACCGTGGATCCGGCTTGCGGAGAACGCCATGGCCGTACCCCGGAACCACGCGGCCGGACTTCAACGTGTCCCAGAGGTAGGTGCGCACATCCTCGTCCGTGAACTTGGTGCCGATCTTATCCTGCATGGCGAGGATCCATCGCAGGACTTCCTGCGCGGCGAGACCGTGCAGAGGTCCGGCAAGACCCAGCAGCCCAGCGCTGTAGCTGAGGTACGGATCGCTGAGGGCGCTGCCGACGAGGTGGGTGGCGTGGGCGGAGACATTGCCACCCTCGTGGTCGCCGTGCAAGGCCAGGTACAGGCGCAGCAGGTCGTGGAAGTCCTTGTTCTGCGCGCCACCCTTGCCCAGCAGCTCGGCGAAGTTGTGTGACCAATCCTGGGCGGAGTCCAGGGCCTGGGGGCCGACAGCGTCAATTTCGTCCGGACGAAAGACGAGCGCTGCGACACGGGGGATCTTGGCGAGAAGCGAGATGCTGTCGTCGAAGGTGGGTTCCCAGTACTCGGCCTTGTTCAGGCCCTTCTCGTAGGCCTGGGCGAACTGGGACTCGGTGTTGAGGGCAGCGACCGCAATGGACAGCTGGGTCATGGGGTGCATGGAGCGGGGGAAGGACTTGATCAGGTCGAGGATGTGCTGGGGGAGATGGGACTTCTCGGCCAATTCACGAGAGAAGGCGCGGACCTGGCCGGTTGAAGGGACCTGTCCGGTCAGAAGCAGCCAGAACATGGCCTCAGGCAGCATCTCTGTGCCGGTGGTTCCCTTGGGAAGTTCCTTCTGACAGTCCTTGATGGTCTTGCCGTGGAAGCGAATGCCCTCGTCCGGGTCGAGCACGGAGCCCTCCCAGAGCATGGACTTGAGACCACGCATGCCACCGATGACATTGCCAACCTTGACCTCCCCGATGACATGGTCACTCTGTTGTTTCACCTGTTGGAAGAGTTCGCGTTTGGCGGGGATGACCGACTTCAGGGCGGTTTTGAGGTCGGGCTCTGCCGTTGCATAGGATCTGCGAGAGGTGTGGACTGCCAATTGGCGGGAAGACTGAGAACGATTGCCATTAGTGTCTGCATTAGGGCGGGAATGAAGCGATTGGGGCGTCTCTACTAACCTGGGCCAGCTTAGAAGCATGGCGAGTGGCTCGCATTGACATGGCCATTGTGTGTTTGGTGTTAAGTGAAAGAGAGGAGGAATGCGGGGAGAATGAGCAAGGAGTGGGATGTTGAGAGAATATAAGGAGAAGCGAGGACGAGGAACGAGGCGAGAAAGTCAGAAATAAAGGATGCGACCAGGGGGATATCCGACAGGACAGGCACTCGTTCCCTTAAGCCGGCTGGCCTCGGACAGTCACGACGCCTGGCCGAGGTTGGGCGGTTGCATGCGGAGATCAGCGTTATGTAAGGTGGTTCGGTGGATGACTGCGGTGTGAAGGAGCAGGGGTGCGAGAGCCGGTGTACATAGGCGGTATAGTATGAGTTAGTAGTCTGGCAGATCATATAAATAATGTTCATTCCTCTTTTGTATTCTCATATTCTATTGAGACCACGAGTGCCTGTGATTGCCTGAGATATCTGGCTGCTGGCGGTGATAACGGTCGGCGTCACATGGTCGGTGCTCCCGTCACCGGCAAATATGCTACGCTCGGGACCTGGGCAGAGAGATACCAGTGAGATATTGCGTGTGGTTTACAACGGGTTAATGAGGATGTACTCTATTCCTTTCCTCCGGACACCCGAGTGACATGACTCTGGTCCTAATCATAATTCTACGCATGGCATTGTCATGTTAAGATGATAATATGATCCTATACTACTTCCTCCGTGGGCCCGCGGATGGCGGATCCCGTGCGGGGTAATCCCAATACGGCCTAGTCGCTTCCCGGGGTCTGTCTGCCTCAGGCACTCAGGTATCCACTTGGCACCAATCGCCGCGCCACACACAGCCTGGGCCCGGCACCAGCCACAGCGCCGCCGGGCGTCAGCCACATCCAATGGCCGGCCCCCATGCGAAAGCGGTGAGTGCTGATTGGCTTGTCGCACGGGGCCCACGCCTCAGGCAGAGATTTTCGCCCAAAAAAAAATAATCAGCCCCGCCGGTCAACTTTTTTCTTGAGATTGTTCTCAGGGAGTCTTTTCCTTTCCTCTCTTTCTCTTCCCTTTGTCATCTCCACTCCTCTTTTCTTTTCGTTTCCTGTTCTTCAGTTGTATACCCTGTTTCTTGTTTGCATTCTAGACGGCTGATCCGTGTGCGGAGGCCCCCGGTTTTCTTTTGGTCACAAAAAGTTTTTGGGATTTTTGGTTCTTTTTTCTCTTATCGCTTCTTTCTTGTCCGTCAGCTTTTTCGACGGCCCCGCCATCGCCGTTGGAGCGAAGGATTTGTGTGTCTGGATAGAACACAACGCACACAGTTACGACCATCTACGCAGATTCTATCGACTGCCTTATATACCGAAGAATGCCGCATTCTGAAACCCCCGCGATGCCGACCGCCGTCTCCAAGACCCCTTCGTCCGTCCCACCGACCACCGAGGAAGTGCACTCGCTCCTCAACACTATCTTCACGGCCGACACTTCCCAGCAGTCT